GCTCATGATGAAATCCTGAACCAATCAAATCCCTACAAACCAACACCTGAACCAACACTTGATTTACATTTTCATTAAATACTTTATAAAAGCAAGCATAGAAACGTATTCATCTTCTACATATTGATTCAGTGGACTAAACAGTTGTTTCATTTCTTACCTACAAATCAACGCTTATTCCGAAAACATTCACATTATGTACAGGTTTTATTCCCAAAGTGCATTTCATTGCGACTAAGATCTTTTCCATACTAACAATAGCTAAAATACTAGCTGATGAACCTCCTAATCAAAGCTAGTACATATGATTCAGTAAAATAAACTACTGAAACTGAAACTCTTCAAAGTGTACTATAATATACATAAATTCACGCATAAATATTAAATACAAATCATTTATGGCGATTTGTCAAGAAGAAAAGACAGATATGAATTATGCCGTTATTCATAACAGTTATAATAATAAGTAATGAACAGTGGAGAATAGCGTAACTAACTACAGAGGTTAAGGTTCCTGGCTTTCAGCCAGGAGGCCCGAGTTTTACTACTGGTGCGCAAATGGTTTTCCACGTCAGTGATTCACGGGTGGAATGATTATCAATCACTCCCAACCGCCATACTACCAAACCTCGCTTAGCCAGTAGTAATCTCTGTAAAGAGGGGAGGTGAGCCGTCAGCCTAGCAAACCCATTGCGTAAAAACGTCAACAAAACAGCCCCTGGAACTTCGAATTTCAAGCCTGGAGACATAAGTTTCACTTGAAATACGAAGAATAAAAATGGTAAAGACAAATATTTGAACAAACATACAACACAGCTTGGAAAGTGAATAACTGAAGTGATTAAACCTTATTGCTAAGTCCTTAAACAAACTGATTTTAAATGAAGATATAAAAAGTTTGTGAAATAGTTCACAAAAAGCGGTGAGGAGAGAATTAAGAGTATATGTGTAAGAGGAGCTATAATTACTTAATTTTCGCATGTTTGAGAGACAGATAATGACTGTACGAAAGTTTTCTGCAAGCATGATGTCGGCAGCTTTAAATAAATCTTACTTCTTGTTCACATGGCCACAAGGAGAGATATTCTGTGACATGTTGACCAAGCCTTCCATTTCTGAATAGTTTAACTTCCTCCTTATGAGCAGTTGAATTGATAAATATGGATGAATATGGCACAACTAACTAACTTATCCAAAACGCATAAAATCTTCTATTGGTCACCATAATTATAATAATTTGCTTTATTTCAAAGCAGTACTTGTGATGCAGAATGAAATTCTCAGCATTTTTACTACAGTATTGCATCCAGTTAGTACATTATCAATAAATAAAATTCCACATAGATTAAGGAAATCTCAGTTCATTATGACAACATCATATTGGCATGTCGCTAGCAAAGCCAAAGTTGAACAGTGTTTGAAGGTGTTAGAAAAGTAGGTGCTAGCATATTTACTGGCGTAAGCGGTACCAAAAAGGTCGAGATATACAGAGTGTGAAAGAACGAAGAAGAATGTTTTAAATAGAGTTTGTAAGGAAGAGAAAAACAACGCAGCACAAAACGGAAAAAGAGAGAGAGAAAAGGAAAAGAAAGAAAGAAGATGTTGTACCTATAAATGATATGACTTGGAAAGACGAGGTCCAATTGTTCTACTGACTATTTAATGAATTATAGGTGTCACGCCTAATGCTTTCTTTTTCGCACAGAACACGAGCCAAATAGGGTATGGTTGAGTTTGTGTACTTGCTGGTGTGAGCATAAAGTTTTCTATATAGGCTTCAGGTTTTGCCTGATGAGATGCAAGGGGAGATTTGTGAGTGAAGAGGAACCTTACTGTATACTTCATCACTAGTCTAAATGTAGTCTAATAACGAAAAGCTTCTTCTGTATAGTCACTGTTTCCAGTTTCCTACCTACTTTGTTTATACGCATTTATGGAAATGAGCTTATCTCCCATAGAATTCCGCCTGACTGTCACAAAATCAAAGATACTGATTCATCAATATTAATTTACTGTTGTAGGCATCATGTTTTGGAAGTGAATAATCCAAAATCAAAAAGGATTTCATGTCACTTTAGCGTTACACCAAGTTTGGTTATATAATTTGTCAGTTAGTTTATTTTAGTAGTTTATATCACTTTATTTTGCAGAAAAAAAATCAACGGAGCTCCAAGTGGTTAACGCCCAAAAATTGTAATTTTAAAAAATTAAGCTCATAGTGTAGAAAGCTGTTCAACAGGAAGTCTAGTTTACAGAGTACTAACATTGATATAAAATGTAGCTAGATTTTATCTGTAACTTCCGGAGCACTACATATATACATACCTATATGAGACACAATTCACGGTTAATAAATAATTCAGAAAATTTTGTAAAAATTTAGCTTAAAATTAAGTTTACTTCAACGCATACTGAAATTTTCTTCCCTTAATAGACAAGAAGTAGATATTTACTCAAGAAATACAATTGTATATAGGAAGGTTAAAAAATGAAATTGAATATGCCTCCCTAAATGAATTATTGATTATCCAGAGTGTTTTAATTCACTTGAGCTGTATAATACTAATTCACTATGCTTTCGGTTTACTGATGCTGAATCAATACAGGTGTTATGTAGAAAGTTAAGTAGGAATAATGGTCCTGAGCACATTATTGCATCATCTCTTTGATGTCAGATACAAATCAATTATATGGGGTTCTAGAAACCAAGAGATTCAACAGTTTGAGAATAGGATCACATGAAATTTTCTGAAATAAAATTTCAAGGCAAATTATGATACTTAGCGCAAAATCCTCAACCAAAAAAAAAATAAATAAAGCGGAACAGGAGCTGAGCAGGAAACGTGTATTCAACACAAGACTGAATCCATAGTGCGCGGACAATCTATCCTTCTTTCTTGTCTTCATTAATGTTAGGTATCTGATAGGGTTGCACCACTTGTGTCAGAGAACTGACTAGAGAGTTTCTACCTGCAAGGAAAGAAAACAAAATGTCAGTTGACGTTTAATCTGTACAGTTTTCGGTTCCTCTATATTGCCTCCTCTTCTCCGGAGGCGCTGTATTCAGTACTAAATTGAAGAATCGAATTTCATATTAATTAGAGGTGGTTAGTTGGAGTTGAGAAGGCTGCCATAAGAAAATGCATGGTTAGGTTCCAGCTAACTGTAGTGGTCATCATCTGGTTGATGAAGATTTTTCAGAAAATAGGCATTTAGTGGATACGCCTGCATGATTTTAAATGACCCCTGACATGCGGAGAAGAATTTGGAGCGTGATTCAGATTGGCGATGAAATCAAAAATAATCGCTGATAGAGTAGAATGGTTTACAAACAAGACAGTCATAAATTTGCTTATTCAAGCGTTGGTTTGCAGGGATTTGATTGGTTTCAGGATTTCATCATGAAGTGACATTGGTTAGAGGACCATTGGGAAACCTAAGAATATTGGCCGGCTGTTTCGTTTTAGTTTGGGACTCTTCATCAGTACGTACCCATTAAGGTTACAACCCACGACCTTCTGGTTACAAGGCAAGCTTGTAGGTAGTTACCTGGGTTATAATGAGAAGTCGTGACCAGTAGGGTACAGCAGGTCGAGTGTGAGGACAGATACTCACCGAAGACATTGACTAGTGGTCTCTCTATGTCGTGAATTGACAGAAGTTGGAATTCATGGACCGGCTACTAGATCGGGTCCCAGGGGCTTAATGGTCTACGAGCTCTCCTTGTAACCAGAAGGTCTTCACTTCAAACGCTAGGGGTGTCTGCGCACTGCCGGAGGCTCCCAGACTAGGACGAGACAACTATCCAGTATCCCTAGGCTTTCCAATGGTTGTCTAATCTATGTCAGTTCATGATGATATCATGAAATAAATTTTGTTGTTGTCATTACGACGCTGGACATAGTGACAAGGAAAAATTTAGTCGAAATAATAGTTTCAAGCATACTAATGTATCATCCTTACTATATGAGTTGGAAACAGTAATTTACCAATTTCCACTGTGAAATTAAGAACAAAAATCGGCTAAAAATCTCTTTTCAACGAACTTATTAATCTGTACAATTATATACATATATATTCAAGTATTGGTTTTGTAGGGATTTTGTTTGATTGGTTGGAGCAAAGTTAAACATAAGGCATGAATATATCCTGAACTAAGATTATTCTGACAAATATTTTATCTTTCAAGAGTCTGGTTTGTAAGGAATAGATTTGTTTATACGAGTTTCATCATGGATTGATATCAGTTAGAGAACCATTGAAAACCAGGGAGTACTAGACAGCTGTTTCTGTCATCCCAGTTTGGGAATCATCAGCAGTACGCACCCTCTGGGTTTCGGACCCAGGACGTTCCTGTTACAAGACAAGCTCGGATACCATCCAGCCACTGGGACCCGATTCAATGACTAATGAATTTTCTCTTTATTTATCTACTTTTCTTGAAATAAATTCATTCAAAATGGCTACCTTATCATTAAACTTTTCGTCACATGTAAAATATGTAACGGGGTGTACTTTACTGAACCTAGTAAATACATCACCTCTGTCTCTTGTTCACAAAGGGTGAATTCGTCATCCATATATCCATTATAAACTGTGAACATTTTGACTGAAGGTTACAGTGAACCATCTTCTAAATTACCTAGGAATACTTCTACTTAAATAAGATCTAGTATGGAGCCAATTACAACTCTGTCAGCCTGTCTTCTAGGCATATTCAATGAAATCCTAATATTTATAAACTTTTCCTCTACCTGTTCACACGTATAACTAACAGTCTGTTTCAATGGAACCTTCGTAAAGTGGAAGTTTAATTTCTTGATATTAAATTTCTTAAATTTTCATAATTTGACTTAAATATAAAAAAGAGGTGACATCTGAACTTTAAAACTTTTTATTTATCAAAGTTTTATGCTGTCACATTTCATTTCATATAGCGTCTTCATTGGGAAAATTACATTTAGTAGTCACTAATACTATTTTTCTTTTTCTTCTGATAGTATATTCGTACAGATCAACGTAATACGCAAGACCAGTGGAGACGTATATTAACTGAAAAATGGAATTTAAAACCACCAACCTTGATTATTAGCATTCTTAGTACACATGCTGAATTAACAAAACGATTTAAAAATACTCTAAAGAAGGGTTTATGGAAAGCTGCAGAAGCCTCAGGTAAGTGGTAATTTTTGTTTGTACTTCTCCACTGTTAAGGCATAATAGGGAGTATTATCCATTTTATAACGTGTGATGTTTCTAAAATTTAGTTAAATATGCTCTTGAAATGAACAGATTAGCTTGGACCCCTTTTATTCTGGGTGTTTCTCGTATCACTGATGACAGGATGTTTGCATCTTTACATGTGTTGTCTACCTGAATTCTCTCAAACGGCTGAAAGTGTTCAACGGGAAATTGTAAATCCATTTCTTTAGTTTTTCAGAAGTTACTGGTAATTTTTATGTATGACTTCAAGGAGTTTGGTTTAACTTTTATTGAATTACAATGTATATCACCACCCAGAGATATATTAGAAAGGCTAAAGTGTAAGCTTGTTTAAAGTGACCTGTTTATTCATACAGGTGACTGTATCAAACTAGGCGTCTTTATACATGCCTTATGAGAAAGCGAAAATGTTTCACTAAAGATAACGATTAGACTAACTTAAAACAGTTAGTCCCTTTGATAAATTTGAATGATGCATTAAGAAGACAAATTTCGCGAGATGATATCATTTCGTAGCTTCTTTACAACCGCTTTACTATTAACTGTTAGCAGATATTTTCATGTCGAAATTGGAGAGACAAATGCAAGGTGTGCTTGGAGAATTTATGCTGTATAAACGTTATGTAGGTGATACTCTCATTATTGGTAATAATAGTGAATCTATTGAAAACTTTATTACCCTATTTAATCATATTCATCCAAATATCCGAGTGACTTCCGAACTAGAATCGAATAACAAACTCGGTTTCCTTGATATTACAATGACCAGGAGAGATGATGGGACGATTCAGCGATCTATTTTTCGTAAACAGACATGGAGTGAACAATATCTTCATTTCACCAGTTTTGTTTCTATCCAGTATAAAGGTTCCCTAGTGAAATGTTTGTTCTCAGGGGCCCGAAAAATATGCACGAGTGACACTTTGATGGGTGAGTTTCGAAATATACATTCAGTTTTATTAGCTAATGGTTATCCGGAAAACTTTATCACTTGTCACAGTAAAGAAAAATCACATCTCGAAAAGACAGCTTTGGTACCAAAGAAAGCTATCTTTATTAACCTACCATTCAAGGTTGACCAGATTATGCAGTTGACAGCTCAAAGACTTTGGTCAGCCATCAAACGCACTTTCTACGCCGCATATCCTTTTCTCACTTGCCGAACATTTTCAATCCCTGTACCTACGATTAAAGGACGAAATTCTGTGGACTCTACTTCAAACTGTATCTACAAGTTCACCTGCAGCTGCGGTGACACCTATATAGGTAGAACCAACAGAATGTTCCAATGTCGTCGGAAAGAACATGTCCCAAAATGGCTACTAAATCATATAGAAAATCCCAATGCGAGTAATCTGAATAGAAATCCAGCATCATCCATTGCAAAGCACTTATTAATGTCAGGTCACAAAATCAATATTAATGACTTTCACAATTATTTCACATAACTCTAATTCAAGGTTATTGAAGGTGATGGAAGCACTTTGGATTAATCACATACAGCCTAAACTGTGTGTACAAAAAACAATAGACTTCAACCTTCGCCTTTCATGGTATACATGACCTTTTAAATATGATTGGTCATTAGTATGTACTTTTGTTTTTTATTTAACTGACTAATTGTCATGATCTTTATTTTATTATTGTTAACCATGTTAGATGTAAAGCGGTTGTAAAGAAACTACGAAATGATATCACCATGTGGCGAAATTGATCTTCTCAATGCCTTATTCAGATTAGACTAACATCAAGAACTCTTCTCAATAAAAGTCAAAGTCACAGTGTGATATTAGCGAATGATATAAGTGTAATCTTCTGCATTTAATTTGTTCTCATAAGAACTGATGACAGTTCCCAGAAATTATCCTTCTTTTCTGATTAAGATATTGATCACTGTGAGTACTGTAACCACAGTACCAGATAAATGGTTTTAAATAAACAGGACGGTGAATGTAGTGCTTGTCAAAAGGCCTCGAACTTAAATACGTAAAAGTTAATCCGTTAGTACAAGGATATTTAGGTAGATGTTTCATATGAGTATTTATACTATCTTTTGCTTTGTAAATTGAAGTTAGCTATTATTATTTTACAAACTTTTCCACTTAAACAACTCTCTGTTTAGCCGACTGTTTTCCATGTCGTTCGAGGAAAGAATAATCTTTGACAATGAAACACTTATGGTTGATTAACGTTTGTTGTTCTAATAGCAGTCAGTAGCATTCTGCCCATAAGCCTGTTTGAATCACTGGGCTACCTGAATTTCTATCCGAGACAGTGCATCTTGTTTTCTTTAGTTGTCATTATTATAATCATTCAATTATGTCTGTGGGTGGCCAAATGTACTCATACACATTTTTAATTAGTTTGCAACCTATTTCTCTTCAACTGTGGGAAACCAAAGAAAAATACCATAAGGAATTATTCTATTTTTTTCAAGTATTGGTTTGTAGGGATTTGATTGATTGGTTGGAGGATTTCATCATGAGCTGATATCGGTTAGAGAACCATTGGAAAGCCTGGAAGTACTGGACGGCCAGCTGTATCACCAGCCTAGTTTGGGAGTCTTTAGCGGTACGCACCCACACCACGGCGTTCGAACCCAGTACCTTCTGGTTACAAGGCGAGCTAACTCGTAGACCATTAAGCCACTGGGATCCGATTCAATGGCCATTCCATGAATTCTAACTTCTGCCAATTCATGACATAGCGCTAGCACTTGGCAGTGTCTTCTCCGATGAGTTACTGCTTCACCTTCAACCTGCCACACCCTGCTGGTCACTGACCTGATGCTCACTAGCGAATAGCCCTATTCAGGTAGGTAGTTACCTGGGGTTCTTGTGGCAAGCCGTGACCAGTAGGGTACAACAGGTCGAAGATGACGACAGTTATTCATCGAAGAAGTCATTGCAAAGTGCTCGCGCTGTGTCGTGGATTAGCAGAAGTTGGAATTCATGGACTGGTCATTGGATCGGGTCCCAGTGGTTTAATGGTCTACGAGCTCGCCTCGTAGCATGAAGGTCCTGGATTCGAACATTATGGTGGTGGGTGCGTACTGTTGAAGAGTCCCAAACTAGGCTGACGAGGGAGCTAGCTGTCCAGTACTCCCAGCTGGTTTTCCAGTGGTTCTATTACTGATATTAGCTCATGCTGAAATCCCCCAACCAATTATTTCTTTCTTCATATCTAACATCACTGCGTCACATAACGTATTGAAGATGGCTGCGTTACATGAAACTCCTAGGTGAAGAGAAAATTTTATGTTATGAACGACGCAAAAAATTATGCATATCGTGTAAACTTATTGTGTATAATAAAGCTATTATTATTAAACTCTCTAAAGCTTCTTGGTAAATCTTCAGGAATCCTTTCATGGGAATTTAATATCACTCTATTTTTTTCATTTCTGCCACATTTAGGTTGTTGGATAATATCAGATGGCTTTGATCATGGAATGACAAAAGTTGCCGCAGAAGCTGTACGTGATTATACTGACGCTTATGGAAGTGATCATATGATTATGGTTGGTATAGCACATAGTGAACGAGTAACATACCAAGAATTATTTGATTTAGCTAATCAAGGAGTAAGTTCAGCTGCAGACAATTTTCTTTTACATTATCATTCTTGTAAGAGTCGGTGGCACAGTGGTTAGGACGCTCGCCGACCATGTACATGGTCCGGGTTTCGATCCCCGGCCAACGCACTGCTTTACCTCGCTCAATAAGCCAGTAATAAAAAGCTGGTAAAGAGGAAAGGTTGGACATGAGGCTAGCAACTTCATCCTGTAAAAGTAAACACTGCTACAGAAACTCCAAGCCTTTAGCTTGAAGCCCTATGTTCCACTGGGAACGTGAAGGAAAAAAAATCTTGTAAGAAGCCTATTTATTTCATCGCTAGTTTTCATGACGTGATGGATGAATTGGAACGAGTGGAAGCTTTGGACTAGTGATGATATACATATTATTATTAGTGTCTTCTGAGCTGCACAACTGCTATAATGGGACGATTGATGCTAATTTATGAGGTGGATTTCTAAAATTGTCTACTAGAATAATAGTTCATCATATTACATATGAAATTTGTGAACTTTCACAATGAGACGTTTATCTGTGAGGCAAATCAAATCAAACATAGAGTGATAATATCAACCTACAGAGGTATTAAACATTGCCTTTGATAGATAGCAGACTGACTAAGACGTTAAAAAAGTGTCATTAAGCCTATTTCAAAATGATGGTTAGATAATACCTGAAGCGGATGTCTTTACACTCGATGGTGTGAGCCTGTAAGAAACTCTGTGCTTACTGACAGGTAGTCAACATTTCGTTCTTGATTATTCTGTATGAATACGCTGAATATATAGGGGATTTGATTATCATTATTTCTATTTTTAACTGATTAAAAATACCCATTAAAATTTTCAAAAGAATGGACACGGAACAAAGAGTATTCTTTTCGATAAATTCATCATCAGGCTCTACGGTTATATATACATTATAATGAATGAATGAATTAGTCTTATGAACGACATTAATGTTGTTTAAATAACATCGAATCAATAATATTGATAGATTACAGTTGAACAGCATCAACATAAAATAAGCTGAATGTCAGAAGAATTAGGAAAGATAATATTACAAATTCATGAGTTTATAGTTTCTACTGAAGGCCAGGGCAGTAGTAGGGGCTGGACTTGTTTCTTTTGAACACAGAGCACTGGTTGTTTGAGGCGAATTGCAATAGCCTCTGCTGTTTGGAGCATGCGGTGCTTCGATGATTTTGGTAATTTATTAGGCACCCGGTATATTATAGAGAAGGATTCTTCCACGCTAGCTGGCTTTATGGCCGGTTTACACCAGATGGTCCAAAATCGAACTGTTAATGGTTTTATAAATGAATGCTTGCAGGTATTAAGGTAGAGTATACTTTAAGCTGAGGTAATAGCAGAGGGAGGTGGGAGAGGGATAACTGATATGCCTGATCAGAGTTTCGGAAATTGATTTAAATAATTTTTCACTATTTTTTAGGTGAAAGGCAAAGATGACTCTTCAAATGTCTTATATCCAGATCCTTTATCCGATGAAGAAACTGAAGATGTTACAAACACAGCAACAACTTCAATAGAACCTGATTTATGGCAATCAAGTGAATTAGGAGGACAAACAGATGATGTTAACGGCCCAAACAGGTCAAATAAATCATTGACTAAAATCAATACTTATCGATTAAATCCAAATCATCAATTTTTAATACTTGTTGATCCACTTACTGAACAAGAACAAACTTCTGAAGATCGACTATTAGAAGCACGTATCATGCTAGAGCGTACTATTATAACCTGGGCAAAGGCAAGTTACACAGTGGTATTCAGTATACTGATAAGTTTCTCGTAACTGGGAAGTTGATTTACTTATTCCATATATACAGAAACATACGATTAGGTTGATGTGCCACAGGGTGATAGTTTTTAATCACTTATTAACTGTATATCATGAGGTGTAAGCATTAAATTCTAAATATTATTGTTATTTCATACATTTGGTTCCCTTGAAAAATTTCGATAGAGAAAGAAAGACCAAATTCGCAGTATAAAATGACATCTTTCTGTTTCGCAAGTTCTTATCAGCTGCAAACTACCTGAAATTACAATATTTATAAATAAAAACATTTCTTACTTCAATGTTTGAAAGATAACAGTATAAGATGAACGCATCCAGAATATAAGTATTACAATTTTTAGTTTGTCACAATCAATTTATTTACGAAGTGCAATTACCAGACACCATGTAGATACGGGTCATTTTGTCGAGATTTCAAAATCCTTCAAAATATTAAACATACAAAGGACAGCTAGTCTACTACGATTTACTGCTGAAGCGATTGCAATCAAACGTTTCAAACCAAACTTATGCACACAGAAAGAGAGAGTGTAGTCAATCTCTCACTCCCTTAGTAACCGTATTATTTTCATTACACTGATAGTCATATGCACTAGTGAGCTCAGCTCACTGAGTAAGTTTTAAATTTGATGAACTTAAAACCTTCTTGAGTTGCCATGTTGACGTACAACTGTTAGCTTAACAGTGTTTATTTGATTTTTCTGTCTTCTCTCATCCCCCGTTTTTTCATAGTGTGATAGCATATAAATTGACGATAACTTAAACTAAAAATAATTGTAATACTTATATTCTGGATGCGTTCATCTTATAATGTTTTCTCTATTATCTTTCAAACATTGAAGTATGAAATGTTATTATTTATAACCATTGTAATTTCAGGTAGTTTGCAGCTGATGAGAACCTGTGAAATAGAATGATATCATTATTATTATTGTTCCCTTTGGTTCCAAGTGGAACATAGGGCTTCAGTAACATATCTCCACTTTGTTGTATTTTCTGCTACCCTCTTTAGCTGACTCTGTGATTGCTCATAGTCTCTAATCTGCTCCTCACACGATCTCCTCCATGTCATCCTCGGACGACCCACTCGTCGTTTCCTATTCAGATTCCACTCTAGGGCATGGCGCGCGATGCCAGTGGATGGTCTCCTCAGCATTTGTCTGACTCATCTCCACTTTCTTCGGCATATTTGCTGATCAATTGGTCCTTGATTGGTTTGTTCCCAGAGTTTCTTGTTGCTGATTCCTTCTGGTCGACCATCTGATCTTCACTGTGGAGCCAGTGAAGGCATCTGTTAGTAAGAGTCTGTATTAGTCTGTTAGAAATGCTTTATTTGACGCGAGCCCCAAGTTTTTGACCCATATAGAAGAAGTGACTTCGCATTCGTATTGAAAATCTGAATCCGGTTCTTCATTCTGCGGAGCGCAGCAGATTTCCAAACTGGTTTCAGGTTAGTGAAGACGTATCTTGCCTTTCCGATTCTGGCTAGGAGGCTTTGACATCATCTGTTCGGCCTGTGGTTGAAACAATGCTTCCTAGATAAGTGAAAGAAGTAACCTCTGTCAAATATCTCCCATTGACAGTGATTGGTGCTGGTTGTTGTTGCTGCAGTTCGTTGGTTATCTTCATCACCTCTGTCTTCTCTATATTCACATAGAGTCCTGTCTTCTGTACTTCTTCTGTCGGTTTGCTGGTTTTCGCCTGTAAGTCTTCGAGCCTATTTGACATTAAATTCCGAATAATCACAATCAAAGTAATTCCAGTTAAATTACCCAATCACTTAAGGTCATACAGAAGGTGATATTTAACTAAGAAGTAAAACGTATTGGATATATATCCTGATAATCGGAGCATTAGGTCCCATAGTTTTATTTTTAGGTTATGCACTGTACAACTATCAGTTAGATATATGCTGATACTACCATATCTGTGCTTACATCCCACTTGGAATACAGTTTTCCGTGATTTTCATAGTCTGTGATACTAGGGCGAAATAGCTGTCCAATTAATACTGGTGCTCATTAATAATTTAACTGGTGTGTATCCATTGCCAAGTCCACTTTTAGACTAATCGAATTTCCTAAAAATCTGGCATTTGAGTAAACTCACCCACTTTTATGCACTAATCTATGAACAACTTATAGATGAAAGTATATACACCTATGGGAAAAATGAGGATGCCCATCAAACAATGATTTAAAGTTGATGTATGGTATGCTGATTGATTTAAAAAGATTTGGCCAGAAAATTTCACTTTTGGATTAAGAAATTAACCATTTTTCATGTAGGATAAATTTTGTATGGTTTCTGTTTCTATGAGGCTTCTACACTCACGAAAATTGTACACACTACTGACAATTCACACACCCAAATTCACAAAGAAGTTGAAAGTATTTTTCAGACATACTAATGTGGTAATCGAGGAATACTTAGCCCTTACGAACATAAGTGTTTTTAGAATCTCTCTTTGTGGAATGTCAGATGACAGATAAAATTATGTATTAACCAGGCTAATCATCAGTATTTGATAAAATGGCTAGGATCCATTATTTGCATAGATAAAACCTGTTACCAATCAACTTCCTGATAAATAACACTTGAAAATAGATCACAATGCCTGTTGACAGCTAATATCCACTAACTAGATTACATATTGTATTATTATTATAGTTCCCTTGGGTTCCTAGTGGAACATAGGGCTTCAACTGCACGTCTCCACTTCCTTCTGTCTTCTGCTATACTTTTCACCTGCATCCATGTTAGTCCATACTGTTTCAACTCTTCTTCACACGATCTCCTCCATGTCACCCTTGCACCGACGAACCACTCACCGCTTCCCTTTCGGGTTCCACCCGAGCGTTGGCCTGACGCACGATGTCATCCAGCGGCCTCCTCAGTGAGTGTCCAATCCATCTCCACTTTCTCCTGCATATCTATTGGGCGATTGGTTCTTGTTTCGTTTGTCCCCATAGTTTGTTGTTGGTGATTCTTTCCGGCCATCTGATGTTCAGTATAGAGCGAAGACAGTTGTTGATAAAGGTCTGCAACAGGCTGTTGGAAATATTCTTTGTGACCCGCCACGTTTCTCATCCGTACGTATAGAAGAAGTGACTTGACGTTTGTATTGAAAATCCGAATTTTGTTGTTGATGCAGGCTGAGTGACAAAGATTTCCAGATTGGTTTCAAGTTGGTGAATGTGTTTCTCGCCTTCCCGATTCTCGATTTGACATCTTCGTCCGTTCCTCGTGTAGTTGAGACAATGCTCCCTAGATAAGTGAATGAAGTAACCTCTTTCAAATCCCTCCCGTTGATGGTGATTGGCACTGGATGTTGCTGTTGTTGTTGTTTGTTTGTTATTTTCATAACCATAAGGGGAAACTAAATTTACTGATGTTTTTCAAAGTTATCAGTAATATGGTATAATATTTTCTAAGAAGTATGGAAATTTAACATGGTGGAATAATAAAGATAAATAAGTGAAATAAAATGGCTGCTTAAGAACACAAATCATCGGTACAGTGGTCTTTGGTTTGTAGTGATTCTTTGACTAACACATCTACACTGAAATGTAATGAATGTGTTTGAACAAAATGTCATAGTGACGTGGAAGTTGTTGTAGGAGACAATATGTGTACTTTTAAAAAAATGTGTCTAAATTAAAATCAAATGTATGAGTGAAAAAAAGTGAATGTCATTCCCATGCGTGTTTTGAAACTGAATGACAGTATTACGGTTCATATTGACAATAACCTTTGGTATATTAGTGGGAATATTAACTGTATACGAGTTTGACCACGGATTGATATCAGTTAGAGAACCATTGAAAACCAACACTGGAGTACCAGACAGCTTTTTCATCCAACTAGTTTGGGAATCATCGTCAATACGCACCCACCACACGGAGTTCGAACCCAGGACCTTCTGGTTACAAGGCAAGCTCGTATACCACTCAGTCACTGGGACCTGATTCAATGGCCAGCCCATGAGTTCTAACTTCTACCAATTTGTGATTTAGCGCAACCATCAACCAATGTCATCGGTAGGACATCCATCCTCACACTTGACTGGTTGAACCTCACGCACCCCAGTGGGTGCGTACTGTCGATGATATTGTGACAGATGGCAGAGATACTCAGGTTGACAATTAGCCACTGAAATTATTGATAAGATCCTGTATTTTTTTTTATCAAAATTTGTCATATATCATCTTGACTTTAACGTGATGCGTTCATGCGTAACCATAGCAACAATGGTTTAACTTTTGAAAAGGATTTTCTTTAAGACAATTCAGGGAAGGAAATTATTTAATGATATTATATGGATTTATTTATTTAAGAACTACTAGATGGGAGTTGATTAAAGCCTGTTAAAATAGGATCAATTATACTGACAGAAGAGCATAGCAGAAATGACAACACCTTAAGTAAATTAGGTTTCATTAAGTAATGAAATAGAACACTACCCTTCCTCGGTGAGTTAAAACAGCATTTTGCATCCATATATCTGGCATGTTTCAACAAATAACGTCTGATGACACCGGTAAATGAAAAAGTATGATTCATAGAGGTAAATTAAATTCAACTGACACCCTTGAATATCATATATATAATGTCCTTGGGTTCCCGAGGGGAAGATAGGGCTTCAACAGCTTATATCTGTCTATTTCACCCTGTTCTCTGCAGTCATTTTTAGCTGGCTCCATGACTGACTATATGCTTTCATCTCCTGGTCATATAATCTCCCCCATGTCACCATCAGAAAAACATTTAACTTCTCATTTACCACTAGGGGTTCCACCCTACGGCCAGCCTGCAAGTGATGTCACTCAACGGTTTTGCCAATGTATGTTCAATCCATCTCCATTTCTTTCTGCATACTTGTTGGGCAATAGGTTCTTGTTCAGCTCACTGACAGAGTTCTTTGTTGCATATCCTTTTTTGTCATTTGATCTTTAATATGGAGCGTAGACAGACGTTGATGCCAATCTATAAAATCCTGTTGGAAATGCTTTTGATGACACACGCGCCAAGTGTGTGAATTAAATAGAATCACTGAATGACTTGACATTAGTGCTGAAAACCTGAATTTCGCTCTTTTTGCTGAGTGCAGCAGATTTCTACGCTGATCTCATATCAGTGAAGATATGTCTGACTTTTCCAATAACGCCATCGATATCTTCATTTGCTGCCTAGGCAAGCAAAAGGAGCAACTTCCTTTAGATTTCTTCTGTTGATGGTAACTGATGCCAGTTGTTGTTGTTGTTGGTTAGGTAGCTTTATCACCTCTTTACATATGTGATATTGATTTTTGAAAACAACGTACGAGCTGATAGCATCAACAATACTAGAATTACAAACCCGTATATATATAGCAAAGTTCAAAGTAATTTTTCCGTGAATTTTGGAAACTGACTCTGATCGCTAAGCGTCTTCATTACATGCATACCCATAAGTAATAACATTTTTAAAAAAGAAGCAGGAGTCTCAACGAGCGTGATTATCTAAATGACTACCATAGACTCAGGATAAAGGCAACGTAATGACTTTAAATTTATTTAATCCTGCTGGTACTTTAACTTCGAAGAGATATCACTAGATTTTAAGGGGAGCCATTCACCAAGATATTAGTACTTGACTTCAGTATCGTTTGTATTAAGAAAGTTGTATTTATCTATGTTCAGATAAAGTTTTTATGGTAAAAATGTAGAAAAAAAGTCCGTATTTAGACATTTAGAAGACAGAGGTAAACATTTCTTTGCTCATTTCCTTTGTGGTTAAATATCTACTTTGAAATAAACAACAAGGAGCAGACGACTTATAAGGATACCATCAGTAGCAAATATAATATAATGATACAATTTAAAGACTCAAATTACATTCCTCTCAAGTCTGTGTGGAGATCAACAGCAATCGGTATGAAAAATAGCATCCGGATTTTCAACTCCAATGTGAAGTCAGTGCTACTTGCTATACGGATCAGAGACTTGACACTTCGTCACGAAGGACACACTTCGAACAAACTACATACCCTCATCAACAGCTGTCTTCGCTCAATACTACTCAAGATCAGATGGCCTCCCAGGAAAGATCAGCAACAGGAATCTCTGGCAATGAGCGAACCAACCCAGCACGAACCAACTGTGCAACAAATATGTAGGAAGAAATAAAGGTGGATTGGATTAGCCATACTCTGAGAAAACAAACCATCAAGTGACATCACACGCCAAGCCATCGCTCTAGTGGAACCCGAATGGGAAGCGGCGAGTTAGCTGGTCATCAGTGAGAGGTTGACATGGAGGAGGTCATGAGGAGAGGAGATGAAGGCATGTGGGCAGATGTGGAGCCAGATGAAAACGTTGGTGGAGAACGGAACGCAATGGAGACGTGCGACTGAAGCCCTATGTTCTTTTAGGAATTAAAGGAAACAATAATAATAAATATAATTTAAAGTCTACTTGTCTTAATGTAACCATTAAACGTCTGTAATAAATTTGTATATTCTTTTATATTTAGCCATCTTCACGCTCTACATCTGAGTGTGGTTCAACGAAGACAAGTAGTCAGTCACTACGTGGCAAACTTAAAAAGATGAAAGATAAAGTAAGTTGGTTTGTATGTTTGAAGCCTGTTTACAAAAATTCTTACAGTTTCTTTTGGTGCTTATCAAAAACTCATTAACAGGAAACACTAACAAGGTGGAATAAATTGTATCTTTGTATATGATATAAGCAGAAATTATTCAGTGTCACAATCATTTGATCTAACACATTCGGGTGTACACTTTAAGAGTTATACCATTAGGGAGTGATGTATACATATATAAGTGCAATTTTAGCTATTAACTTGGTTTTTCATATCAGTTGTATCCTTACAGATAGATAGCTAAATTTTTTAGTTTTGAGACAGTTGAACTCAAGTGTAGTGTTTCTTACAGGGTTCCTATATGCTGTTATAAGTGAATTATCACTAGTTTATGTTATAACTGGGATAATACTGGATTTGTGAATTTTTTCTGCTGTTACCTCAACATAATAACAATATACTACTGATCACTGGAACGCAGTTCACACACTTAATAAGACAACACAGAAAACTGCCTGTAGAGGCAAAGATTTATTTGGTTGGAGGATTTCATCATGAGCTGACATCGGTTAGAGAACCATTGGAAAACCAGCTGGAAGTACTCGACAGCTAGCTGTTTCCTCTGACCTGGTGTGGGACTCTTCAGCAGTTCGCACCCGACAGGGTTTGAACCCAGGACCTTCTGGTTACAAAGCGAGCTCGTAGACCATTAAGCCACTGGAACCCGATCCATTGGCCCATGAATTATAACTGCGTACTGATGACGAGTGCCAAATTAGGACGGAGGAAACAGCTAGCAGTTCAGAACTCTCAGCTGGTTTTCCAATGGTTCTCTAACCGATGTCAGCTCATGATGAAATCATTCAATCAATCAAACAAAATCCCTACAAAGCCAATACTTGAAAGATTTATTTCTCTGTGCAAAAGGTAATATTACTCGAAATTGCGATTATTTATTTAGTCATTTTATCTACCCAATGAATTACTTGTTTAAGATATAGAAACTATGTCTCCACTGGTTAGTACGTTCCAGCAGAAGTCCACTGAGCCCACCCTTAATCTACGTTGGCATTAAATACCTGGTTTACAGGTTACTTAGGAAAAACTGACTCATGATATGTCCCCGTCTAATCTGACAGTTTAAAATTATTTTTGTAGATAAGTTTAATTTTTATTGTATAAAAATATTACGCATATTAAAGCTCACTATAAGATTATGTTGACCAGAATGATGTACTGAAAGTAGAAGAGGATTTCGGCAATATACGAAGTAGTATTATGTAATATTAATGTCGAAATCAACAAATCTATGCACCGTTTACTTCGCATGTCAAAATGTCAGTTAGGGTTTTGATTTTTTCTTGCACTAGTCAGTTAAACTTCAAGAGAGAAAAGTAGAGGTAGGAAACGAAGTTTTGTTCTGTAAATGGTGTATATTTACACCCTAAGAAGAACTGGTCTACACAATTATTGACTATTCCAGAAAGTGTCATAAAATTGGTAACAAATCATATGATTATACAGAGAAATTAGAAGAAATAGCTAACACACTATTTTCTTTCATACTTTGCATTCTTGGTGAAACATCCGGTCTCAAGCTTTGAAGCTTCTTTGAGCTGGTGATGTCAATTTTTTTACGGGTAGGATTGCTGGCCTCAGATCAAATATTCTCTCCTTTACGGGTTTACTATCGGCTGGCAAACTAGGCGAGGTTAAGAGGCTCATCGGTTGGGAGTCGACACTGACACACTATACTGTGGAAAATTCTGAAAATGAACTAGAGTACTAGTTAAAAATTACACATTTGTATCAATATAAATGATGTTGAAATAAATCATTACAACTTTTCTTTCAGCATACTGAAAATTGGCAAACTGTGAATATTACTAATCTATACAAATAGGAGGTCACGCCTTGCGTATGAACCTCTTGTACACTGGTACTGATGAATAAATGTAGGGATTTCTGAATTAGTATCACTGAGGATTTCCCTAATAAAATATTTATAATATAACCACTTTTAATTCCGTGCTCAGTATTTGAAGAGTTATCACGTCAAATTCTGATCAGTATTCATATGAATAGAATGTCATTTATGGAAATTATTTATCTATGAATTAACAGCAGATTTCTTTGCTTCGATCAAATTTTGTGTTTAACTGCTACGGAACATACACAGGTAGCGATGATCCGTTGATAACCTCAAATGGACTCGTATTATATATCAGTCACCATCTTATCAGTAAGCTCTCATTTTATTGCCGATATATGGATGATACCTTTATTCTTTGTGATAATGGTTCTGATAGGAGTACAATAATTACTGAATTCAATGAAGTACATTCGGCTATGAAATTCACATGCGAAGAGGAATCCCAAGACAGAATTGCCCTCCTGGATGTCCTACTTACAAGAAAACCAGATGGTAGCATAAGAAGAAATCTGCATAGAAAAAGTACTTGGACAGGACAATATACACACTTTCATAGCTTCGTTCCCATCAATTACAAAAGAAATTTAGTGAAGACCCTCAGCCACATAGTTAGAGCTATATGCTCTGAAGAAGTAATTAAAGATGAATCAAGCATGGTACATGATACTTTAATCGAAAATGGTTATCCTGACAGATTTATCAAGAAATATATGACAAAGAAAGCCGAAAAGGACTACCCACTATCTGTTAACGAGAAGCCACTTTATATACGACTACAGTTCATGGGTGATATGCCAAGCGAGATAATTACGAAGAAATTAAGAAAATCAGTTCAAAGAACTTTTAATTCTGGCGAACTACACGTATTATTCTCTACACGACCGATGGTGCTACCTCGACTGAAAGATGAAGTACCTAGACTAGCCACTTCAAATTGTATCTAACAATTCAACTGCGCTTGAGTGGAGCGAGTTATATTGGCCGTTGCTCTAGGAACTTGATTTTTCGTGTTCGAGAACATATACCACTATGGCTAAGTAAAGGTGTAGTTAAAACTATTAACGGCTCGATATTAGACCATCTGGTGCAAACCGGTCACAAAGCCAGCCAGCGTAGAAGAATCCTTCTCTATAATATACCGAGTGCCTAACAAATTACCAAAATCGTCGAAGCACCGCATGCTCCAAACACCAGAGGCTATTGCAATTCGCCTCAAACAACTAGTGCTCTGTGTTCAAAAGAAGCAAGTCCAGCCCCTACTACTGCCCTGGCCTTCAGTAGAGACTATAAACTCATGAATTTGTTTTATTATTTTTCCTAATTTTTCTGACATTCAGCTTATTTTATGTTGATGCTATTCAGCTGTAACCTATCAATATTATTGATTCGATGTTATATTAAGCATTAGTGTTGTTTATAACACTAATTCATTCATCCACTATAATGTATATATAACTGTAGATGCTGATGATGAAGTTATCGAAAAGAGTATTCCTTGTACAGCATCCATTCTTTTGAAAATTTTAATGGGCATTTTTAATCAGTTAACTTTTAAGTGTTGACTTTCGATGTGTTAAATTATTCATTGATACGCATTTCAACCTCCTTTAGAGTTAAGAAAATTAATCTTAAATGGACAGAGGTGACTAGACACTTTACTCATGAGTATAAATGTCCAAATTGAGTTCAGATTTAATAGTTTATAAAAATTTGGGCATCAGGTATGTACTATTCATTACTATAAAAAAGATTTGTACTTTCCAATGAATGAAAAAGAGATTTTTCTGTTGAAAAATAAGAAATGACTTTTACAATAATGGACTACTTATAAGTTCGTTCAAATTTTCAGCCAAATATTTCAGGTTCGATTTTAAAGAAATAAATGAAATGGAATGAATTTACAATCATAGATCTTGTCACTTGAACAGCGTTATTGTTTCGCTATTTTCTTTTTCACTTCACAGACATCCTCGTATGAATAGTATTCGTCTGAAGAATGGAAATACATTCATAATAATGCCGAAAATTTTAGTATTATATGCTTTTAAGGTAGATGACAGATGGTATACCTTCAGTTAGACGTCGTGTTTATAGGTATTTATCAGTAGGGAATATTTATCATCTTGAGGCAACTCATTTTCCTGCGCTATGTAGCAACTATTTCCATTTCTTTTCTCTTTCTTTCTGCATGACCTTCCGAACTCACCCAAAGTTAACTTCATTAAGTATGCTGATGATCTGACCGTTTCTGTCCCTGTAGTTTCCACATCGGATTGTTCCCATATGAATGGCTTCTTAGCTGAAGTTAACGATTGGTCTGGCTGAAATGGTCTTAAACTAAGTCCAACTAAATGTAATACTGTTGATTTCAGCTTGAGAAGTGAGAAAGATATGCATGGATTGATCCAATCGCATGATTGTTGTAATATTGATGGTACCATGATAGAGAGTAAGTCAAGTGTTTCTTATCTTGGCATTAGTTTCTCTTCAAACCTTTGCTGGTCGTCTCATATTCTTATAGTTTCTAAGAAAGTTTTCTGTCTCACTTATTACATAAAGAAGTTGAGGCACTCAGGTATAAGCCAACCTCTTCTCATACAATTTATTAATTCATCTGTTTTGCCCATCATTCTTTATTGTTCTCCATTATTCTTCCTTGGGCTACTCAAGAAAGACCATATAATACTACGAAGAACATTGAAGGCTGTAAGTAGGGTCAGTGCTATCCCTTTGACTCAACTAACCAACACTTTTGTCAATAAGCATATGAATTCTTGTAAGCACTTAGCTAAAGTTATCTTGTCTGATAGTAAACATCCTCTTTATTCACAATTGTTTCCTTGTATCTCTTCGGGTAAGACCAGAAGAAATTTCATAAACATTTATGCTCCTACTACAAAATATAAAAATTCAACCGTACTATATTTGGCACGAGTATTGTGTGAAGAGACAAATATCAGAAAAGATCTTTTACAACTTTTAAATCATTAACTAAACTATAAAATGTAATGATGCATATTAATGCATGTGTTATTTGTTATATTATTTATTTATTTATTATTCACTATGACCTAGCAATGGTGTGATTTTGTTGGGGTTTTTATTTTTTCCTATTAACTATCAATATTTTAACATTTTATACATTTATATAATTATAAACAGAGCTAAACCATTGCAATATGTAAAAGAAACGCTGAAAATTCCATGCTGTAAATTGTTATTGTTGTGGAATAAAGTGATTATTATTATTATATGTGAAAGGCTTTATCACTTCAGTATTCTTTCTTTCTTGAAACATGTTTAAAATCCGTGAATGGCTGGTATTTGCTCTCATAACCAACGAACAGTAATAATGACTGAAGATATAATCCTCAATAAAGATGCTTTGGAAGCATTTCTTTAACTTTGTAGATCATTTATTGAATATGATTTTTCAAGAATAGCTATAACTAGTAATATTTCTTTTCTTTACTTTACAACTATCATTACAAGGGACAAAAGTCAATGAGTACAGAAAATGTCCCAAGACCATCAGCTGCTTTACCATCATTGGGTGATGGTCTTGTTGGTCAAACGTTAAGACGACAGACCCGATTGTATTCACAGGCACAAATAATGAATGAAACCGAAGTCAAAGAAAATCTGTTAGCTGGGAAAGATATCAATTTACTACAGACTATTTCACAAGATGATAACAATTCTGTCAGTCAAACAACTGCTCGAGTTCCAATATGTGGGATAGTTGCAGGTGGAAACACCTCTACTATGGATCAAATTTATGCTTCAGTAACACTGAATCGTTGTCCAATGGTACTTGTTCGAGTGAGTTAAGATGTGCTTGTAAAACAAATTACCTGAAATATTAAACCTTTATGGTGATATTATACTTTTCAATAGTTCGTTTTTAAGGATTAGATTTGTTTTTACGAGTTGATCACGTACCAATTCGTGATTTAGCGTGACCACCAACAAATGTCATTGGTGGGAAATCCAACCTCACACTTGACTGGTCGGACCTCACACTGGTTACAACTTCTCACTAGAAACCCAGGAAACTCCGTCCTATACCAAGTCACTAGCGAGAATCAGATTAATTTTCTATAGTTGGTTTGTAAGGATTAGAGTTGATCACGAATTGGTAGAAGTTAGAATTCATGGACTGGCCATTGAATCGGGTCTCAATGGATGAATGGGATACGAGCTTGCCTTGTAACCGGAAGGTTCTGGATTCGAACCCTATAGTGTGAGTGCGTAGTGCCGATGATTTCCAAACTAGGATGAGACGGCTGCCCAGTACTCCGTGGTTTTCAACGGTTCTCTAACTGATATCAATCCATGATCAACTCGTATTATATTATACATTTTATTCTGAAATTGATATTTCAAGTTAACTAGTAGTGATATGTGTCCTATATATGTACTCAAATTAATGCACTTTTATTGGTCCTTTTAAGAATTTACTAAGAAGCAGGGAATAATATCCTCAGTTGACTTTTAATAACACAATGACAAAAAGTGTAGGGTGAAATCAGACTCCCATTTTGGTGACTGAAAGCCTTAATTAAATTTTAGGTGACAGAGTCATTAGCTTATGAAAGACGTGTTAAAAGACGGAGTTTATCCCCCAAAATGTAATGTACATACTCAAACTAATCTGAATAAAAGTCAGTCTGAACGAAGAATATTCTTTTCAATAATTTCTCTTCAGGTTCTTACAATTATAAAATATAATATTTGTTGTCGTTACAATAAAGGCCAGTTATGTGGCAGATACATTTTTAACGTAGAATAACAGATTAGTTATGGAGTGTCAAAATAAATAGTCGTATTTGTGTGACAAACGTGCTAGGCTGAATTCTATTACAAAATATTGTAAAACGGGAGACAATGGTGATTAATCATAATAGATTTGTAGAGTGTGGGGTAGAAAAATTGACAAGTCAGTTCAAGGTTATAAAAGGTGTCAGATGAGTGGCTAGCACAAAGTGGTCTGTGTTAAACAGGAGATAGTAAGACTGCAATGAGAGGTTCATAATGAAATAACGAATCTGTGAAATGAAACAGGTGGAGGCATATATTGAGAAAAGAGATAATATCACTTATAATAAATCCGGATAGAATAAACGAAAAATTCGATAGTATTAAGAGAATGTTTGCATGAAGGGCATAAATTATGACGAATAATATTAATAATAATTGTAATAATAATAATATTTGTAATAATAAGCAAAGGAAAAGAAAAAAGAGCCAAGAGGGTTAAGGGGAAGGAGCACTCTCGGTGAGAAGAAGAATCATCAATCCAAGTTTGGCCACGGTAGGAACAGCGTCTGGACGTGTTCTTTTTGGATACAAAGTTCCGGTTTTTTCGATCTTATTGCAACAGCTTCAGCTATGTGTAGGAGACGTAAGCGAACTGTACGTGATAACGACTTCGGAATTCGGTATATAACCCTGAAAGCTGTGTTGACATCCATATGATGTCCAGTATCAACCAAGTGTGACAGGATCGAGCTTTTTATGCACTTAATCTGAATAATCTCACCATAACTTATCAAGTCAACTAATGTAAAAAATAAGGAATGGAAGGCTAAATAAAATAATAAGGAAATTTAAGAACAGGCAGGATGACAGTTGACACTAGTCTCAGTAATGTAATTAGATAAAGAACACCAGAATGGGTTATGTGTAACAATGAATTATTTTCTCACATTCAAATCGGCTTAATTCTGTGAATAGCTACTGCCACTGTATATTTTACTATGCACTCCTGACTGCCTTTTATATGGTATAGAATCAATCCTATGATTGATTTCAGTAATATTCTATGCTATGAAGGAGGCTGGTAGTCTATCACCTGCACTTATCGAGTTTTATTTTTCAAGCCGTTTATGTAATTCTTTCTCCATCCTAACTCGCAGGCGTAATTATTCCTCTTTATGCTTATCGATATATATATTATTCGGTGTACACTTTGCGATGAGTCACAAGTATCTGTGTAACACTGAGAATTATAACAGGGTATTTTTTTAGCTTTTCTACAAAAGCAGATTTCAATCTCCCTTTCAAAGTCATTCTATAGTTTGGTTTGTAAGGATTAGTTATGTTTTACGAGTTGATCACGGACTGATATCAGTTAGAGAACCATTGAAAACCAGGGAGTACTGGACAGCTGCTGTTTCATCCTAGTTTGGGAATCATCGGCAGTACGCACCAAGTGGCTGAATGGTATACGAGCTTGCCTTGTAACCAGAAGGTCCTGGGTTCGAACCCTATAGTGTGGGTGCGTACTGCCGATGATTCCCAAACTAGGATGAAACAGCAGCTATCCAGTACTCCCTGGTTTTCAGTGGTTCTCTAACTGATATCAATCCGTGATCAACTCGTAAAAGTCATTCTACTTATTTCATCTCCGAAAGTTGATTTAATTTGAATATCCACAAATTGGCAGAAGTTGGAATTCATGGACTATTGGGTCAAGTGACAGTAACTTAATGGTCTACGAGCTCTCCTCGTAACCAGGAGGTGCTGGGTTCGAACCCTGGTGGGTGCGTACTGTGAAGAGTCCCACGGTGGGACGAAACAGCTGTCCAGTACTCCTAGGTTCTCCAATGGTTCTCTAAATGATGTCAGCTCGTGATCAATCCGGTAAATTTAATAGTCAATATCTTGTTGTCATTGTTTATTAAACCAGTTGTGCAGATAGACTGGATCATGTTAACGATGCATTTTATCAGGCCACACTTGTCTTTCATTCTGCAAACGTTGTTAAAAATTAAATACCAACATATTTGGGTGGGTTTTCTGTAGGTTGGTCTCCCTACTGAGCATTCTACTTCTGACGCAAATGCATGCACAAAAACTGAAATTGACTGCAAATGTTTCCTCACATGTAGGGCTTATGTGACTTTGCATCGAGACAAGTTTATTATTATTATTGTTTCCTTTAATTCCTAGAGGAACATAGGGCTTCAGTCGTGTGTCTCCATTGCGTTCGGTTCTCTGCTAGAGTCTTCACCTGGCTCCAAGTCTGCCCACACGCTTTCATCTCCTCTTCACATCACCTCCTCCAAGTCACCCTTGCACTGACGACCAACTCGCCGCTTCCCTTTCGGGTTCCACTCGAGTGATGGCTTGTCTAGTGATGTCACTTGATGGTTTCCTCAGAGTATGGCCAATCCATCTCCATTTCTTCCTGCCTATTTGTTTCACAATCGGTTCCTGGTTGGTTAGCTCCCGGAGATCTCTGTTGCTGATCGAGACAAGTTTATTATACGGATATTTCCATACTTATCCCATATTGTAATGTCGTCAACACTGTTGAAAAAGTGACCTTAGCAATCAAATTGCAAGCCAAATATTTATAAATCGGGCAATAATTATCCCAATGAAGTAGGTATAGCAACGTCATCCACTTGCAATCAGTACTTCAAAAATGAAGTGAACTTTGTTGGTGTACAATAACAACAACTCTTTAATATATGTTAGTGTGCTAGAGGATGAAAGACTATGAGATCATATGCAGCATGTGCTACTGATAAGATTTATCAGTAGTATATAAAGAGACATTCATTGGCATAAAAATATCAAATAGTGGAGAGATAGATTTGACGTCAAAGAGAGCAAATGAACCAGCGTAGTGGCAAAACATGCGAGACACGAAAGGAATACAAAGAAACACAATACGATGAACAGAAATAGCACAACACGAAAGATCTGTGCAAATGATGATTTGGAGATAAGGTGTACATAATTCCTCCATATTGAGACAACAAAATCTCTTGTCTTCTATAGTTACGTGTTGTTACAAAGTATACTAACAGTCTTACGTAAGGGTAAGGCTATCATCTAAGTATTTTTGACTACCTATTAAGTGATGGTGAAGGGGAAATGTGATTCATGAAAGCTGAAATGATACTTAAACACTTGCGATTTTTTCAGTAGTTAAGTTTCATAATTAAGAAATGAAGAAAATCAGTACGGTAGGTGAATCCCTATTATCTGTTATAATAAAGGTTTTTGTATTTCCCAATGAATGAAAAACAAAACGATATTGTTTTTACTGACGTTTCGCTATTTAATGCTGCTAATAGCTTTATCAAAGTATTATTAAACCGGAATTTACAAAATCTCAGCATATATATAGCAAAGAGTTAAGGGGTGAGAAAATAGACTTAGGTCAAGTTAAAGGGGACATATTGAAAGTCAAAATAACAATGAAGATCACTAAACCAAATAACAAAGGTAACAGTACGTCTGTTATAATATCGAAACAAAGTTTACTAACTTGATCATCGTTCATCAGTCTGGGGTCATTTTTCGTTGTCAAGTGGATCAGTTGCTAAAGATAACAAAACCAATTGTAGATTGTTGGATTTGATGAGTGTGTAAAATTATAAAAGCAGTGTGTGTTTACATAGTGAATTTGCTTACCACATTCGTGTTGATTTTGTCACTTGATGGGGGAGGGAGGTGTTGTAACCAGGTGAGATTCTGTTTTAGTCCATCATTCCTATTCAGTCAATATTGGATTCCACTTGATATGAAGTGCTTCTGATATTAGACGTTCTTTGTGATTTCTGAAGTTTTCCTGGATTATTTCAATATTGTCAAAATCAATTTTGTGGCCTGATTCTATTATTATTATTATCTGTTTCTAAAAGTTTTAATGTCCAGTTGATAATCATTTATTTTATAATTAGTTAATAGAATGTTTAATTATTGTTTGAATTTATTAGGGAACGGGTGGTGTTGCTGATATTCTGTCGAATGTTCTAGATTTTATGAGTTTCAGCAGCTCATTGGAAGAAAGTGTTATCACTGATCAAGAAATTAATTATAAGTAAGTTTTGAACTGAATTATAGTTATATTTTAATAGTTTACACACACAATGATAAGTTTTTTGTTTTGGTAATATTTCGAGTGAAATTCCTGTCCATGATCACACCAAATGTTGGAATTTTCCTCGAAATATTACCAAAACAAAAAGCTTATCATTGTGTGTAAACTACTGAAATATAAAAACCATATTTGTAAAATCTCAGTGAAATTGAAATGAGTAATTCTATCGTTTCGTTGGACAGACTCGTCTGAACTTCTTCAGGAAATTAACTGGAATAAAATAACAGAGGTTTATATATAAATAAAAAGGACATCTCTCTTTTTTAAAAACTTTGTCCAGTCATATGATATTCAAGTGTTGGTTTGTAGGGATTTGACTGATCTGTTACAGGATTTCCTTACTGGACAGCTATCCAGTTCTCGCTGGTTTTCCAGTGGTTCTCTACTGCTATCAATCGGTGGTCGAACTCGAAAAAATGTATATTCATATGCAGTAGTAGACTGCAAACTAATATTTGTAAGTTTGAGGTCAAATTTTGATCACAGTTCATGAAATTTTGTTTATTATATATGTTAATACCTGTTTCATGACTCATATGAATGGACAAAGTTTTTAAAAACAAGAGATGTCCTTTTTATTTATATATAAACCTCTGTTATTTTATTCCAATTAATTTCCTGAAGAAGTTCAGACGAGTCTGTCCAACGAAACGTTAGAATTACTCATTTCAATTTCATTGAGATTTTACAAATATAATTTTTATAAATGTCTACTTCCCACTTGGCGCCTAATTATTTTGGAACTATTCAGTCAAATCTTGATCACAGTTCATATGAATGTTGAAATATAATTATAATTCATCTGAAGTATTCCACAATGCCCAAACTTTTCACTTTTATACAGTTATTTCAGTTATAACAGTGCGTCCACTAGCTTAGCAGTAGAATGCTCGCCAACCATGCATGTAGTCCGGGATTCAATCCCTGGCCGACGCACTCCTTTACCTCTCTAGGCTAGTAATAAGACTAGTAAAGAGGAAAGGTTGGGCATGAGGCTAGTGACCCTATCCCGTAAAAATAAACACCATGGCTACCGAAACTCCAAAGCCTTATCTTGAGGCCCCATGTTCACTGGGAACATAAAGGAATAAAAAAATGAATTAGAATTAGTCATAACATTTCGTTTTCATCAAAATATTTGCCACCAAAACTAGAAGAAAAATACCTACTGAATATAACGATTAAAGATCACAATTTAAGCAATTACTTATTTTTCTTCGGTAACTTTTCATCGAGCTTTAGTGTTACATGTCTGTCTGTCTGGATTCAACATAGAACTCGGCACCGAAGTGCAACAGTTCGAGTTGCCACGTTCCAAATAGCACACAAACGTAGACAAGATGAGTGAAGAGAATCAATAGAGTTTTGACAAGTATAAGAGTGAAACAGAATGAGTAATGGTAGAAAGGAATATGAAAGATTACAGAGACTGAATACATCTGTGTAAGCCATTGACAACGCTTTTGAGCCATGTCACCTATTGTCTCCAGCCAATGATTCTTAGAGTCCCGAGGGCGGGTCCAAACCCGGAAGTCTGCATCTCCCTACCTGACTCAGTTTAACTGTCAAGGATTTCATGGATTGTTGCCATGTTTTTGTTTGGCCACCACTTACTCTTTTCCAACCTGCACCTATATCAGCTAGTAATGCCCGTCCGTCGGGAGGGGGAGGCGATGGTTAGGCATGCGCAGCACGTGACCTAGCCATCTCAATCTATGTAACTTTATAGCCTCTTCAATTGATTTTCCCTCCTTGCCGATCACTCTACGCCTAACGTCAACATTACTTACCTTATTATGCCACCTAACGTGAGAAAGAGATCGTAGACATCTATGATCACAAACAGTCAACCTTTTCATGTCTTCAACTCGTATTGGCCATGTTTCGGAGCCATAAAAAAAGGGCGGAGCGAACTGATGAGCAGTACACACGTCCCTTGGTTGATAGTCGGATGTCACGCCTACCCCAGAGATGGCGTAAGTTAGCGAAAGCAGCCCGACCTTTTTGGATCCGTGCTGAGATTTCGTCGCCAATCATTCCGTTGGTGCTGATACAACTTCCCAAATAGGTGAAGTGGTCGACATGTTCTATCACTTCACTCCCTATCGCAAATCTAGGAGTTGAATTTAGTTTTACATAATAAGATTTACTCAGTATATTCATTTGACACCAGTTTGCTTAACATATATAGAGTTCAGGCACATGAATTACTGAATAATAATCAAGGTGACCATAATAATAATAACAACAATAACAAAAAGGATAAATTCATGCAAGTGTTTATATAATCTAGGTGGTCAACCATTGTAAAGGCGCCAGTAGAATGTGGGTATTTGTTATGGCAGAGAGAATAATAGTAAGCCAATTTTTAATTTGATTTTCTTTCTAACCATTGTTGGCGAAAAATAAGCACAGTTATTAGTAATAATAATAATAATAATAAAAGCCAGCATTTTTCAGTTCAGTGTGTAAACGATACCATAACACTCGTACACACAATTATTTCATTTAGTTTGGTCTATTGTGAATAATTTATTTGAAAGGTCTTAGACTTAATTATTAGCTTATTTACGTTTAGCAAGGTTGAAAATATGTGCTTCCAGTAAATGCAAATGACTGTAAAACCAATGTCAGGCAGGATATCCTCTTGAGAGAGTTATGACGTTTAATATCAGGCTTGTTGTATTCTTCTAACACCTACTGTAAACAGAAAAAATAAGGCAATCGACATTAGATGAAATGCATACATTTATATATATACATATACGCTGATAATAATTATTGGTAAGGATGATGTTCATATATCTAGCAGTACCTGGAATGGTTTGACAGTTTAAGTCATCAGTCTCAGCAGTTCCAACAATAATAACATGATAAGGAATAAAATCAAATAGGTCAAGATTTTGTAAATCTTTATTACAGTCACATGATACATCTTTGTTGCAGTAAAAGACCCGATCCTTATCTCGAATAACTGTTGTTATCCTACCTAGACAGTGTATTTCGATAAAGAATTCCTCATTACCCATTCACCCAAGATAACTAGTACTTTCTTAGGTACATCAAACTGTCTTGTCTAGCAGTAAACCTGTTACCAGAGTGAATAGTTTTCTCACATATAAAGATACACAAAATCACTCAGTATTTGGGTAGTTACCTGGGGTTCTAGTGAGAAGTCGCGACCAGTAGGGTGCAGCAGGTTGGGTGTGAGGACAAATACCCGCCGAAGACATTGGCTAGGGGTCGCGCTATGTCGTGAATTGGCAGAAGTTAGAATTCATGGACTGGCCATTGGATCGGGTCCCAGTGGCTTAATGGTATACGAGCTCGCCTTGTAACCAGAAGGTCCTGGGTTCGAACACTGTGGTGTGGGTGCGTACTGCGGAAGAGTCCCAAACTAGGACGAAACAGCTGTCCAGTACTCCCAGGTTTTCCAATGGTTCTCTAACTAATGTCAGTTCATGATGAAAATCCTGTAACCAATCAAATCCCTACAAACCATCACTTGAATAATAAACTGTTTGTTTTTTCATTACAGAATAGCAAGTATTATACAAGAAGTTCAAGAAGATGCTCGTCAGAACAGACGCAGTAGACGACCATTTAAGAGATCAGATAAATCAGGAAAGACTGGAAATAAACCAACAAATTCCACTCTGAATTTACCAAATGATTCAAATAAACAACAGACTGTAGCAGAACAAGCAACAACAAACACAGTTATCAATATTAAACAGTATGAATATCAGATATGTCGGCTAAGAGAGCTGGCTGATGACTATGCACATCTATTTTCTGTATTTGAATGTGATGATATTGATTTAGACGGATATATGATATCAGCTTTATTAAGTAGTGGTAAGTCTATACACCTACATATCTGCTTATGATGAGATATCATTCAATTTTTGTTGACGTGTAGAACAAACACCGTCTAAATAAGGTACGGAATTTGACTTTAGGAAAATAAATTACCATTCAGATGTGAATGAATTCAAAAAAATTTGCATGAAGGTTTTCCTTCAAGATATCTGGGAGCTGGTCGGATGATGTTACGGAAGAACATGGTTGACACAGTTTAAATGCTAACGATTTAGTGCAGACAGAAGGCAATTGTGTGTGTAACACACCAATAAGAGAAGTTAATAAATGGAAGAACAACGAGAAAAGGAGACAATATCGCTGTCACTAGGATTGCAGTTAAATAGCAAAGGAGGTTAGAGGAAACAGAATATCATAGTTTAATTGTTTTTCATGGATATGAGTGGTACAATGAGAATCCTAAGTTCATATCGTAATGAATTCTTTGTGTTTCTCAGTGTTTTAATCAGCCGCATGCGATCTGAATAACTAGATAAATAAAATTGAATTTTAGATTTTCCCGTCGATTGATTGGACCGAGGTGCTCGGTCTCAGGTTGACATGTCGGCTTCATGTGCAGATGCTTCGATGATGTCTGGGCATCTAACTAGTATTTAATTGGTGGATGGCGACTTGTAGTGGAATCCAGGATGTGCATTTCGTCCTATTTGGGACTCGCCAGCTAACTGGATGTACCTGCATTTCTCAGTGAGTGATGACGACGGGAGAATCTAAAATTAAATTAAATTAATATGACTCGTTGCACAAGAGGTGGCTCTCGTGGTCTACTGGATAACGCTTTGGCGTTTGAAACTATGGGATCTGAGTTCGAGCCTCGGTGGGAACATCATCACTCACTGCAGAGTGAAGGTACATCCAGATGACGAGTCCCAAATAGGACGAAATACACATCTTGGATTCCACTGCTAGTCACCATCCACCAGCTAAAAACTAGATAAATAGATAATTATTATAGAGATAGATATCTTAAAAAGTTCTAAAAAAATTTCATTTTTTGAAGGCCAGATAATAATAGTGGTTCACAGTATAAAATGAGTTAAGATAGCTGACATTTTGACAAAAGTATAGAGATGAAGCAAGTAGGTGAGTACTCAAGGTTTTAAAAGTTGAGGCTACAAATGGATAACGTTTAATTATGCAATAGTCAGAAAGAAGAAGATTGTGACAGTTGAACAAGAAGTGGGTAGTGTAAATTATAATGAACACACTAATTGACAATAGTCACAAATTTGAAGGCAAATAAAAATAAACGCGCGTTATCCGGGAACCGAACCTAGACCCGACCCATAAACTACTAGAGCCCGCCTAGGCGGTAGAACTTCAGGTGAAAAGAGGAATTTGGGCATTAGGCTAGTAGCTAGGGCTGCAGAAAATTGAAGGCTCAAAGTTTTATGTTCTTTGATCCACTTGAAACTCAAAGAAACGAGAAAGAGAGAAATTAAAAGTACAAGTCAGTGATTCGGTGGTAAAATGGATGGTAACTACGCACGTGGCTAGGTTTCGATTCTCGGCTGTTAGTAAACCCTGTATGAAGGAAATTTTGAGCGTGATTCTAGCGACCCTTCCCCGTAAAAACAGCAGCACGACCACTTCTCAAACTTTAAAGCTAGCTTTTGAAGTCTTATGTTCCACCCGGAACGCAGAGCAATGGAAAAAATGACAAATATAAATTTATCATAGAGAAAATGAATCAAAACTTATTTATGTATGCGAAATAAATTATTAATTGAAAGCTTATACATAAACTTAATGGCTCGACAAGTACTTTCAACTTTTTCCAAAAGTTTAGTGATTGCACTGCGAGGTTATTTATATACACTTTAGTGACTCACAGAAACCTCTCTCATTCATCCCTGTGATATTAATTTCATTTCATCTGACAGATGCTGACTAGCAGTCGACTGTATTGATCTACTTAAACAAATAATGGGAAGTTACAAGTCTTAATAAACAAAAGGCAGTTTTTATAGTTCAATGGATAATGGGAATAATGTTTTAGAGCTTTCCACCATAGGTTGTAGTTTCAATTCTTCGACCATAGCATTACCATCTAGCGAGACAGACTTTATTTAGCTGACAAGTTCCGAAAAGGACGAAATGTGCATTCTGGACTGCATGATAAGTCAGCACCTATTAAACGACATTAGAATAAATTTTGGTTCCCGAGTATCATGATAATATTTCCACCTTTATCTTGAAATGAATTAATTTTCTCCTGTTTGATGAAATTTATCAAAAACTATTTTTAATGTATACCTTTTATTTTTGAAGGATACTGTATTCGGATAAATCAGTTGTAGATTTGACACGAGGCGTAGTAATAAAGTGCTTAGTTCAAGCATCCAGGATTCAGAACGGCTTTAGGAAATTATCTAATAGACTGGTTTGAAATATTATTTAGTGGATTCACAGTAGAGACATTTTTGTGTTTTTGACAGTAGTAACAAATAAAACAAATCGCATTCAGATCCTTTTTTGATTAGTGATAAGTCAAAGTTCATCAAGTGATCCCATAGCCATTTTGAAAGTAAATGAGTGAGATAACCGAAACGTACCGCTTTTACTATCTGTCTAACATTCGGACCCGTCATCAGTCAGCACCCATAGTCACTGTTGGCATTTTAAAATCCACCTGAGAAAATTTTATGAATTTGCCATTGACTAGGAGTTTTCATGTCAGTATTTCTTTCAGGGCACTGACAAACTTTGAACATCATGTGACAACTCTTTATTAGTGACATAACTGTCTGTTATGGATTATTATTTCAACAAAACTCACCTTCATACACACCCAATAAAACGCTTTGTTGCAAAAATTCCTTTGCATAAGGTGGTCAGTTTACCGAAAGCCGACATGGAATGGAAAATACTTACAGTTTAATAGTTATTTATTCAAATGGCTATAAACGAGCACTAATCAAGACTCTGTACTATAGAGCGAGGAGAATATACTCTGTAGAGAAATTAGAGGAAGAATTTACGATTGTCGAAAAGATGTTGGAAAACAGCGGTTACCCTCAAAGATTTTATCAACAAATATGGAAGGTGTGAAGGCCCAAACACCAAACAAATCACTGCGGAAAAAGCAGCCTGTCTTTATTCACCTCGATTTTAAAGGTGAAAATATTGCAGCAATGGTCAACAGAAGAATGAGTACGTCACTAGTCAGAGCCTATCTTGCAGCTACGTTGGTCCCCGTCTATCGGACAACATGCTCTTTGGTGCAGTCAAACGTCGACAGGTACCCTTCTCATGTTAACTCCAACTATGTACACAAATTTACGAGTATCTGCGGGAGCAGATACAGAAAGAAGGGTGCATCTCCGAGTTTACGAACTTGTGCCGAAAAGCCTATGTTTCAAGGGAACAAACGCTTATTACAGTACCATTACCAGGCATATCCCCGATAGGGTCATGAGGTAGAAATCGTGAAATCCTTTAAAATTACTTATAGACAAAAAACCTCAGTTCTTCTCGAGGTTGCCGAAGCAATCTCTGCCAAACGCCTGAAACCCGATTTACGTGTTCAGAAAGAAGCACTTATTAGTCTTTTCTTGGCCATCCTGGTAACTGGATGTCTTTATTCTCTCTTTCATTTGATTACGTAATCTTCGGCTTTAACCCCACCTCTTTGATATAGTGTTATTTCGCTTGTCTGTGATTTGGGTTGAACTCAGTACATTGTCACCCAAATTATTAGTAACTCACCATCTTACGCATCTCCCGTCTTTATTACGTAACTCCTTTACCATTGTATGCATACATTTACTTTGTTTAAACTTGAACTACCTGTGTAAAAACTATATAAACGTAATTTTCTGAGCACTGTTCACTAATTCCGGAACTTCCTGTCAAGTGACATCATGTAAAATTCGCAGTTGTTAAAACTTTGCTGTACATGAACTTAATAATAATTTATTTAGGCTGTAAGCAGCTGATGAGAAGCCAACGAAATAAACAATGATGGTACCATATTATTCTGCCCAAACCACTGTTGTTCTTTCTTTATTCAAATAAGGCATTTTATTAACTAACTTTCCTCTATCATAAGCTAGCTGAACAAATACGTAAGAATAAACCAGAACTTAAGCTGTCAGCCTTGAGAGTGTTCATACTTTATTTTCTTTTTTGAAGCTGGAATTGACAGACCAAAAACTGAATTAAATCTTGATCAACTGGAAATTACTATACGATTGAATCGTGCAGATATTGCTCGTACAAAGATATTTCTTGAAGGGAAAAGATGGAAAGTAAGTTATTCAAGTTAATTTTATCATACCAATATTTTCTTTCAAAAATAAATTATTCAGTTTGTAGAAGCAAAATAAATTGAACAAAAATCCCCATTCGAACATTAATAGAGAGAAAACCAGTAGTTCAGGGAAGAGTCTTTTTTCGGCGAATTCATTTTCATAGCTGTACAATCGCAAATATATATATGGTTATTTTGTATGTGTGTGTACATTTACTTTGTCAAACGAAAATACAATTCGTAAGTTCTTCGTGGAGTTACGTGATACAAAAAGCGTTCACAGGAATTGGATGTTGATATAAGAGGATAGTAACAAAAGTGATAAGTGGGGTCAATCAATCTAACCTTCGCTAAATTCTTATGTTCTGATAATCTCACTACTCCCGATCTACTAGTTTGACCTATGTACTTGACCTCACTCACAGTCATTGCAAAGTATTTTGTAAATTATGTTATTTTGTCTAATTGGGCCCACCGGGTATTTTAGCCTACAGAGCTTGTCCCTGAGTGCGTTTGTAGGTTTGAATGCCACTCTAATTCCTGCTTTATTGAGAATCCTACGTAGTGTCTCATATGTCTTTTGCTTACGTAGTAAAACTGTTGGTGCGTTATATTCTTTATTATTTATGTTATCATTATTAGTTTCACTACGATTTTTCCTTTTATTTTGACCTTTTCTGATCTTCTTATGAATTTTATAGGGTAGTGATTTAAGACTAACACTTCTTCTGTCTGTTTCATTTCATCGTTTAGGTTTTTCTATTGTACTACTTAGTGCTATTGCTCGGTTTGTTAGACGCTTAACTAAGCCTGCCTTCACAGATAACGACAGATGGAACGTCATTAGTTAATATTACTGTACAACACTGTGTGATTTCGTTATGTCTGTTTAAATAAAATTATGACAATTCTAATAGTATAAATAGTTTTAACTAAATCACTACTCCATCGCACATAACATTATTAGCACAAAGGACAATAGCTAATTACAAATGGCATGATGTCTAGAAAATTATTCCCATGTTGAATATCGTGTTTGGCAGTATACTTGAAGACAGTTTTCATGACATTGCTACAATATACTAGCTGAAGAATAAGCGGGAAATACTGCACCATTAAAAGGCTACTTTATCATAATTTTTAAGCAACAGATACAACACTTAGACTTCTCCTCCATAACTTCGAAATTTCACTTCAAAAGTCATTCTGAAACTAAATAATTTCTAACTAAACTAACCTAAATCATCATTGGATAATCTGGGAGTACTAGACAGCTAGCTGTTTCGTCAGCCTAGTTTGGGACTCTCCATCAGTACGCACCCACCGCCAGGGTTCGAACCAGGGACAAGGTGAGCTAGATCGTGAACCATTAAGCCACTGGGACACGATCCAATGGCCAGTCCATGAATTCTGACCTATGCCAATTCAGCTAATGGTCTTGCTTTATCGTGAATTGGTATGAGTCAGAATTCATGGACTGGCTGGCCATTGGATCGTGTCCCAGTTGCTTAATGGTCTACGATCTAGCTCACCTTGTAACCAGAAGGTCCTGGGTTCGAACCCTGGTGGTGGGTGCGTACTGCTGGATAGTCCCAAACTAGGCTGACGAAGCAGCTAGCTGTCCAGTACTCCCCACAGGTTTTCCAATGGTTCTCTAACTGATGTTCGCTCATGATTAAATCCTGTAACCAATCAATCAAATCCCTACAAACCAATACTTGATAACCTAAATGAGCTTGTTATTTTTATTAGTTTAATAATGGCTTTAAACAATATTTTCCTCATTTTTCACAATTTTCTAATTTCGCTCTTTATCGTTTTCTTTTAAAAAACAAAGAAAGGCGATTTAAATGAATTCATGTTCAATGTTATATTGAATGAACAAACAGATTTTGTACGATTAATATTAGAGAATGGATTTAATTTAGATGAATTTCTTACTGTTCATACATTGGAAAGATTATATACAGAATGTTTAAAAAAGACGGTAAGTTTTACTTTCTTTTTTGTATTTTACTTTGATGATATTTATTCATCTTTGTATATTCTTCTCATTAGTATGTTAAATGTTTCAATAGTATATTTCTGAAATGTGGGATATACGAATATTGACTACAACAGTTGAAGATACAGTCATCAGATGTTTTTAAAACACCATTTCTAACTTTTGGCTAGTAAAAAACAACAATATATCATGTATCAGATGGTTGGAGGCAATCGGCAGGAAGCCTTGGTTGACCTAGGTTTCGTGCTAGTTGGCACTCACCCACCAGTTTGCAAGACGTATCTGCAACCTTAAAGCAACTCATGTCCCTTCTGAGATTCGAACCCTCGTCACCCAGTGAGTGCTGCAGTAGGAGACGTTATCACTGAGCTATTCGGGCTCGCGAATCTCAGAAGGTTGCAGATACATCTTGTCGACTGGTGGGTGAGTGCCAACTAGCACGAAACCTAGGTCAAGCAAGGCTTCCTGCCGATTGCCTCCAACCATCTAATACAATTACAAACTACTTGACAATCAATAAAAAAGTATTGCCAACAATGTGGGATCTAAACTCTGTCTGCAAGAATTAAACAGAACAAATATGTTTCTCACAGACAGTCCAAAGTCGGAAAGTCACACCATGGCTTGACTTTGACTTCATCCAAACAAGCCTGCATTCGTAAGACAATATCGTCATTAATAATACCATCACTATAGCAAATAGAAGCATTGAAAATAGAGGTAAACCAAAAACGAAAACAAATAATAAAGATCTGGTCAAAAGGAGAACGGTAATATACAGCTCAGAGGAAAAAGGGTGGTTAGCTAGTTGGAATATTCAGATAAATAAAAATATTTTAAACAGATTGTTCATTGAGGGACTTTCTGATCAGTTATTATGCTACACTCCTATTGAAACTTTATTAACAAAACTAACTAACTTACTGAATTTACATTTTATCTTTTTCATTCTTTCATCTTTTTCACCTACATACATTCATTCGTTTAGGATTATAAGTCAAGATTATTACAACAATTATGGAAAAGTTCAAGAATTTATAAAATGGATTGGGTTATGCTTAGAGATATTGGAAAAATTATTAAAAATCTTCTTGGCGATTTTTATCATCCATTTTACTTATCAAAACGTTTTCAAAAATCAGTTGTTGAACATGGTTATTGTGACTCGAGTGAAGAAGAGGATAATAATGGTAATAATAATGGAATATATGGTGATCAAGATAAACAAACAGGTAAAGATTAATTATCTTTGTTTCAGTGATAGAATAATGTTTGCCAACCACACACAGGATCCGGGTTCGATTCCCATCCGAGGTACTCCGAAACTTCTGTCAGTCGGTAGTAAGCCTAGACAAGAAGGAAGGTTGGGTTTGTGAGGCTGGTAGTCTGGAGGCCCCATAAAAACCACATTACCGCCACTTCTGAAACGTCAAAGCTTGAAGCCATATTTTCCGCTTGGAACGCCTAGTTTGCTAGCTACCTCTAAGCCAAGGAAAAAGAACAGTTCAGCCATGGAGTTGGCAGCATCATCCCATAAAAATCAGTCTCATCGCTTCTGGAACTCTAAAGCCCTCAAAGGTTGTAACTTACTAGCAGTCACCCGCAACTTTCTGTTTCTTGATTCTTTGAAAGAAACTAATGATATTCTACTTGCTGACATATTGTCAAAATGTAAGTGACGGCGCTGAAACTGTAATCAAGGTAAACTAGTCCATTTGAATCAGCTAACAGAATACTGGACGATATACTACATTTGTAAATTTAAAAGCATCTCCGTTACACTATTCGATGCTGAGTGGTCACTAACAGACTTATTAAATATATATATTCAACAAAAATAATATCAATTGAAAATATGTTTGAACACTGTCAAACGGAAAAAAACACCAGCGTAGTGTCTGGTCACTAGAGTACAAATAATCACTAAGTAGATCACTTATCATGCCTATTCGATTTATTATTCCAAAACTGACCTTACGACATACCACTAATAGGAGGTACTCTATAAAATTTAAAGTCACTAATCTTTCTGTGTCCGTTTGATCCTTGGTGTCTAAATTATCTTCTACACAAAGGAAGGAATTCACCAAATTCATTATTAAAACGAGAATTCTACATCATTTTGTATTAACACCTTGCTTTTTGCCTTTTATGGTATTTGATCATGGAGAAAGGATTTAAGTTGATAATGAAAACTGTTATGTAGTTATACTACTCAAATAGACATTCAGATTATTATCCGATACAATTCTAATAAGCAGCGAAAATCTCCCTGTGTATAAGACCTAGTTTAGTTATCAAGCCATAACACAGCTAAGTATTAGGTTTCATTACGTGATTAACATGATAATATATGGTTATCATTTAAAGAGAATGTAAGCTATTTAGTAAAACTTCATATCCAGTATCATTATTTATTTAATCATCGATTGAATTGATGATATTAGTGATGTGATTCATTTCTAACGTTCACTTTACTTGTTAAATGACTACAGTTTCATTGATACACTGGTTTGCAGCGTTATGTTTTACATCATTTGGTTGGTAGTATTAAGCAGTAAAATCCGGGACACGCACTTTGGTCAATATATGACTACTCAGCTGGATGTACCTGAACACTCAGTGGGTGAATTGTTCCCACTAAGAACCAAAACCAACAAAGATGGTTTCAAACACCGATTTAAACGCAAGGTGCATCATAGCCTCTACTGTTAGTCAGTATCAACCAAATTATATCGGAATGACCTCCATACATCATCGAAATATCCGTAATGGGAGCCGCCATGTCAACAGAACCCCGATATTTCAGTCCTGTAAAAATCAATTAACGTGAAATGCAAAGACCTAAGCTAATGTTACCCCTTTTATACTTTAAATTACGACAGAGATCTGTAAGCAGGTATGGTGTCTTTACTACTAGGTTTAACTGTCGCAATTCTCACTGGATCACAGGAAAGCAGAATGGACAATCGTGAGACGAAGTCAACAGAAATGATAAAAAAGTTGCTTCGCTTCTACAGTCCTTCTGTTGTTACTTCATTAGAGAAGTATAAGGTAACCTGTGGTGGACATTTCGAATTTATGAAAAATAAAGATAAAAACTGAAAACAGGTTGAAATTAAGGGACGGAGAACATACATTCTGTGATATAAGTGGGTGCTGTCACGCTATTGTTCATAAAATATTTTTATGATTCATTATATTACTCACAAATATTTTCAGTAACTTAAAACTTTTGACAAATTTATTTGGTTAACATTTCCAGTATGTTATGATTGTTTTATTTCATTTGAAGGATTTTTAGAATTTCAATAATTTGCATAACTTTGTATAACTCAAATGAGTCAACATCTAAAGTCACACTCGAAATGGGAAATTTTTTCTATTTTTTTATTTAGGCAAAGTAATTGCATCAACATCGACTCTAAAAGCTGTCGACCCTATCCCAATATCATTCAATGTGGATGATGACATGAATGTATCCGCAATTGGAAGATTTTCGGATCAAGAAGAAGAAAGGAGAGAAGATTCCTCTCAGACAAAAAGTGCGTCTAATCATAGTAAGGGAAGCAAAAAAGCAAAGCATAGTAGGAGTTCATTGGAAAAGAATGAAAGACAATCAGGTAATGAGAAATCTGAAGATACAGAAGATGGTACAAGCTTTACTTCATCAAATGTCTCATCAGATACTAAACTGATTAAATCTACATCAAGATCTAGGTCAAAATCAAAGCGATCTAAAAGCACAGGATCAAGAAAAGAGGCTAAGTCACATCGTTCACCAACTGCTAAGAGTGTATCACCTACGCTGACAAATAATGGACGAAGGTGTATTGTGAAGCCAGTTCCGAGTATAAATCATACGAATGATTATTTAGACCCAAATGAATATTCAAATAACAGAAGCAATCATACAAATGGAAAGACTGTCGGTCGGAAACATCTTATTAGTTCAGTTTACCCAGGTGAACCAAATGATCCAATACCTAAAGCTAAAGAAGATATATTTTCTGATATGAAAACCCCCAATTCCAAAGAGAAAAATCGAAGTTTATCAGTGAAAAAAGAATCGAATGAACTGGATAAGATGAAGAGAGTTAGCTCTAAAACCCGAGAAAGTGGTAAGAAAGTGGTTTTCAAATCTGTATTATATATATATATATATATTTACGTATGTATATGTAACCAACAGATCGTAGCATATATATATATATATATATATATATATATATATATATATATTATATTAGTGACAAAGATAAATTGGGCGCTTGAATACAGTGTATCAGAAAAAACCTAAGTTAATACCAAAGATGAGATTAGAAAAGTTGATTCAAAGAAAATAATAACTGAAAAACAAAACCAAAACCTGCTGAAATGAACGAGTATTAAGTATACTACCTCATTTAAAAGTTTCATCATGTGTATAGTTAGTAATTACTCATCTGATTCTCAGTGTTATTTCTGGGTTTATAAGTCGTAGATTAACCCAAGTATTCTTTTACTTCAGAATTCTATTTTGGGAAAACACTTATGCAAACCACTAAATATATCACCAAACTAGGCTGACGAAAAGGCTGGCTGTCCAGTAATCCCAGGTGGTTTTCCAATGGTTCCCAAAGTGATGCCAGCGGATAATGAAATCTCCTAACCAATCAAACAAAATCCCTACAAAACCAATAGTCGTACATAAAATATTATTATTATTCGCTTGGGTTCCTAGTGGAACATAGGGCTTCAACTGCACGTCTCCACTTGCTTCTGTCTTCTGCTGTACTTTTCACTTGCATCCATGCTAGTCCACAATGTTTCAACTCCTCTTCACACGATCTCCTCCATGTCAACCTTGCACTGACGTCCCACTCGACGCTTCCCTTTCGGGTTCCACTCGAGCTATGGTCTGACGCGCGATGTCACCCAGCGGCCTCCTCAGCGAGTGTCCAATCCATCTCCACTTTCTCCTCCATATTTGTTGAGCGATTGGTTCTTGTTTTGTTTGTTCCCATAGTTTCTTGTTGGTTCTTGTTCTTTCCGGCCATCTGATCTTGAGTATAGAGCGAAGACAGTTGTTGATAAAGGTCTGCAACAGGCTGTTGGAAATATTCTTTGTGACCCGCCAAGTTTCTGATCCGTATAGAAGAAGTGACTGACTTGACGTTTGTATTGAAAATCGGAATTTTGTTGTTGATGTTGAGTGACGAAGATTTCCAGATTGGTTTCAGGTTGATGAATGTGTTTCTCGCCTTCCCGATTCTCGATTTGACATCCTCGTCTGTTCCTCCTGTAGTTGAGACAATGCTCCCTAGATAAGTGAATGAAGTAACCTCTTTCAAATCCCTCACGTTGATGATGATTGGCACTGGATGTTGCTGCTGTTGTTGTTGTACATTAAATATAGACCTACATTTCGTTGAAAGGTCTCCTTTTTTATATATTTCTGAAATAAGTAGCAAAACTAGTGGCTTGTACAGTTTTTTATAAACTGTCAACTTTATACATGAACAAAATATCGTTTTATAGAAAAACACAAGGAAGTTAATTAAATAATAATATCTTTATTCTGGACAGTATTCATAAAATGTACAGAATCTTCAAAGGAGTTTATTCCATGATATTTTCCCTTCATATAATACCTTCAAGTAAAATATTAATTGGCAGTATATCCTGTGACACAATGGTCTTTGAGGTGAGGTACAAACCATTCCATTATGATATATCTGCTTTGTCTCCTTCAAGAAATCCACGATATCTGTTTGGAAGCCAATTGTAAGATGTTCAGAAGTACATTTTGAGACCCAAGGACATAACTGAAGAACAGTTATCTCATGTTCAAGTATTGGTTTGTAGGGATTTGATTGATTGGTTACAGGATTTCATTATGAGCTGACATCGGTTAGAGAACCATTGGAAAACCACCTGGGAGTACCGGTCAGCCATCTGTTGCGTTCTAGTTTGGGACTCTTCATCAGTACGCACCCACACCATGAGGCTCAAACACAGGACTTTCTGGTTACGATGCGAGCTGGTAGACCATTAAGCCATTGGGACACGATCCAATGGCCAGCTCACGAATTCCAACTTCTGTCAATTCATGACACAGAGTGACCACTAGCCAATATCTTCGGTGAGTATTTGTCCTCACATCCGACCTGCTGCACCCTACTGGTCACGACTTCCTACTAGAACCCAGGTAACTGCCTACCTGAATAGGGCCGGTCGCTAGTGAGCATTTCATTCATATTCAAGTATTGGTTTGTAGTTATCTCATGTACTAGAGCACATAGCCACTCAAACTTTGGCCTTTCCCCAAGTTTAGTAGGAACTTGCAAATCAGAAACTTGTAAACATTTTAAATACATTCAAGAGTAGATAATACCATTAGAGATCATATCTTAATCGATTAAAACAAACCGAGCTAGAGAAAATATATGCAATAGAAAGATGGAAGTTTTTGGTAGCCCAAGTTTTAAGCAGGCTGCCAAAGTAGTTACAAAGCGCTTAAAAGTCATGTTTTATAGCCAAAATATCTCTTTAAGTTAGAACTGTTCTTATTGGAAGAAGTAACAATAAATTCAGTCATTATTCAGTACTCAGTTGTGCAATGTCTGAATAGTTGTTTTGATTAACACTTGATGGATAAAACCAAACAAGTATTATTCTTTCATATACATGGTTTAAGTTATTTGGGTATAAACTAGATGTCTGCATTCAATATGTCGACGAAGAAGTTTACAGTGGTATACATTATTCATTAGTTAAGACTGTGCTCTAGCCGTCGGTAATTTTTGACAGTAAATAGAATACATCACAGGTGGTTATGAAAGAATTGAAAATACAGCAGTTGCTAGCTTTCCAGAATAAACATCTTTCTGAAGGATATCTATGCGGTATTTTCAATCGATCTTTTGTAATGTTTCAAGTACACCATTAGTTCATGGAGAATTCCTATTGTAGCATATAGAAAATCAAAACAAGTGATTCAGTGAGGAGACTCTTCTCAACGAATTCACTATCAACCTGTACAATCGTATATATATTCGGTGAGGGAATTAAATCATAGGCGTGAGTGCATAAAACAATAATAGTAGTATGAAATGCAATTAAAATGTTTGTGATTGTAATCATAGTTAGATGTCAGGAGGCAAAACAATTAATGTCATATATAGAATAATTCATAGGATGTATAGAAGGGGTTTGCAGTTATAGGATTCGTAGGCAAACGGAATAAAAATGAAAACGTTACGTAAAACCGCGTGAAATTTGATAACATGGAATTTAACGTTGCAAAACAGAACTGATTTAGAATGACAAGTGGAACGAGTGAAATAATACCGGGGACAATTCAAAATGAGAATAGTAATAGTAACAGTTGACGTATTAAAGGAAGAATATACAAAACAAAAAAATTATTAGAGCCAAACTATGATTGGGGATAATCATACTCAAGCATAGAGGGATTAAGACCATGAAAGTTGGAGGGGTTGAATGAACTATTTCTGTATACAGAGATCTGGTTTTTCTGTTTCGATAGCCAAAGCTTCAGCAATACAGATGAGTCAGATACGTAGTGATTTGGGCAAATTACTTTTCGCCTTGTAGATGACTTTAAAGGCTGAGGCTATAGAGAGATACACTATTAGTAACACAAAAACAAGCAAAGACGTGTATGTCAGCCACCTGTCTGTAACACCAATTGCAGCAGAATGATAGAAAGCACTGACTGAACAGTGTAGTTTGAAAACCACGTTAACAGAAATTTCAAGATATGTTAAATAGTATTATGAGTATCTGAAATAATCTCGCTGTGATTCAGAAGTTTCTGGTCACGGTAATATTTCAGTAATCGTTTATAAACACATGACCCATCAGTTAAATTCCTGAAAGAGGTGGCATGAGCATTAATCCCACTATGTTTTATTAATTCTCATAAGCAGGGATAATGTTTAGTTATAAAGTCATACGCTGTGTGACAATATTTCATTAAGGGAAGAATATATCAGAATTATTTAAGTCTCTAACCATAAAGAACTCTTCAATGTATTGTTAGCTATATCATTCAACTGCCAAAGCTCTTTGGTATACAGAACGAGTAGGAGAGCTTTGTAAAGTAGTCTAGCTCCGAACCGAAACATCCCACAGAAAAGAAGACAAAATTAATATCATTCACAAAGTAAAATGTATGAACTGTAACAGACATTAAATCGGCCAAAGTGGGCGTCCCCTTCGAATCCGAATCCAAGAACACAAATTAACCGTGAAAAGACATGATATATATTCTTTCATAGCAATACATGTAGATAACTATGGACATCAATTTCATTGGGATAATATCGAAAATTTTAAACAGAGGAAACACCAAAAGTGCCAGAGAATTCCTGGTACTCAAGCGAATATGAGATTAACAAACATGCTAAAATAGACCAAATCTACCAACTTGTAAAAAGTAAATCAAGTGACGAGAAAGTTCGAAATTTAAGTCAATAAAAAATGATCAGTACAGATGTAAATCGACCACCAGTCACGAAGATGGTAACCAGGAAACGCAGTTCTATCATTCACAGAGAATTTAAATCAGTTCATTTTATTATTCAATTGAATTTTAGATTTTCCCGTCGATTGATTGAACTGAAGTGCTCGGTCTCAGGTTGACATGTTGGCAGATGCAGATGCTTCGACGATGTCTGGGCATGTAATTAGAAGTTGATTGGTGGATGGTGACTAGCATTGGAATCCAGGATACGCATTTCATCCTATTTGGGACTCGTCAGCCAACTGGATGTACCTGGATTCCGCAGTGAGTGATGATGTTCCCACCTAGGCTCGAACCCAGTGTCCATAGTTTCAAACGCCAAAGCGTTATCCACTAGATCACTTAGGCTAAAAATTGCGCTAAAGATGTTGTCCAGGAGGACGACGAAAGCTCTGCAAATAAACCAACCAACTCAGAGAACACAACAAGTCTAGCCCCTACCATAGACCTTAGATACACGCACGGTAAATCCAGAAAGTGCTCACGAAAGTCTTTTGTTACCTGTTATCTTCAACTTTTAAAATCTGAAATGTCAATTATAGAATTTTGTGTAATATCACGATTGCATTTCTTTATCGGTTGCAAATTTGAATTATACTACCTCTAACTGTTTATCAATTTGAGTTTAGTTTCAAAAATAAAATCTCCAGTGAATCATTGATTCTAATTTTCTTTCCTTTTTCATAATTTTTACTTAGCTCCTGTGAATATTACAGTTCAATCTGATTCATCAACAAATTCTAGTAAAACTGAAATATCTGTAATAATTGAACCTATAACAAAAATAAATAATAATAATTCTAGTGATCATGTCCAACAACAATCGAACAGTAGTATACTTCAATCAACAAGTTTGAGTAAACAAGCATCATCAGCTAGAAATAATCGATTGCCTGTTCCACGTGTTGCACATTCCATTTTACATCCATTAAGTGATCCAGAGAAAGCACGTTTACGTTTAAGAGAAATAGAAAGACAAGCGTTGGAGCGTAAACGTGAAAAAGAACGTAAACGAAGGCATAGAATAGCACAAGAAAAATTCACAATTATGGAACGTTTAACTGGTCAGGCTAAGACTGAAAGTAAGTAATAATAATTATTGAAATATTTTTTTTCGCTTGTATTTTAATAACACCTAAGGTTTTTCAAACATTTGGTTCCCTTGATAAATTTTGATGGAGAAAGAAAGACCAGATTTGTAGTATAAAATGAAATCATTCTATTTCACAGAAAGTTATGTTCGCCTAACAAGGTAGAGGAAGAATTAAGCTTTGTTGAAAAATGCTTAAATGAAAACGGGTATTCAAAGGGATTTATCCTAAAGTACAGCAAAGAAAGTGAAGTATCCAGCAGTTGAAAAGAAGAAAGTGTTCATTTGCGTCCCATACAAAGGAGAAGCAGTATCACAAAAGATTGAAAAGAGGATGAAAGGAGTAATAAAGAGATTCTTCCCTGCAGCTAAGCTGGTGACACTATACAGCACTACAAGCTCTATAAGCCAGTCGAAACTGGATAAGTACCTTCCTAGTGTTACCTCCAACTGCATTCATAAATTTACGTGCACCTGCAGCAGCAAATACATTGGAAGGACAGAAAGAAGAGCTTCTATCCGGTTTTCAGAGCATATTCCAAGAAACTTATGCTTAAAAGGAAGCAGATATTTACAAAGTGCAATTACCAGACACCTTGTGGATACGGGTCATTTTGTCAAGATTTCCAAATCCTTCAAAATATTAAACATACAAAGGACAGCGAGTCTACTACGATTTACTGCTGAAGCGATTGCAATCAAACGTCTCAGACCAAACTTATGCACACAGAAAGAGAGAGTGTAGTCAATCTCTCACTGCCTTAGTAACCGTATTATTTCCATTACACTTATAGTCATATGCACTAGTGAGCTCAGCTCACTGAGTAAGATGAACTTAAAACCTTCTTCTTGTCATATTGACGTGCACGCTAATAGTGTTTATTTGATTTTTCTGTTTTCTGTCTTCTCTCATCCCCCCTTTTTTCATAGTTTGATAGCATATAAATTGACGGTAACTTAAACTAAAAATAATTGTAATACTTATATTCTGGATGCGTTCATCTTATAATGTTTTCTCTATTATCTTTCAAACATTGAAGTATGAAATGTTATTATTGTGCGTCGGTGGCACAGTGGTTAGGACTCTCGCCGACCATGCACATGGTCCGGGGTTCGATCCCCTGCCGGCGCACACCCGATATCTATGGTCGGCCTGAATTTGGGCTACCGATATCCATGCTGAAAATTCCACACTTGTACTGAAAATACAGTGTGGAATCAAGCTGTAAATCAAAACTCAAAAAAAATTATTTATAACCATTGTAATTTCAGTTAGTTTGCAGTTGACGAGAACCTGTGAAATAGAATGATATTAATTTATACTGCAAATCTGGTCTTTCCTTCTCCATCGAAATCTATGGTTTCGATTCCATTCTAATTATTATATTATTGCTTTGATTTGAAAAATAAGAGGGATTGTAGATATTAAACTCTTTCATGGTTTATGATTAACTTATGAAAGAACAAGGCAGTAACTCATGTCATAGGTCTAGTCCTCGATGTTGGTGCGAACTGGATTCTGTCACTCCAATTTGCAATGTGACTGCCATGCTAGGTGGCTCACCACCACACAGCACTCTGAATTGTTGTTAGAGCATCAGTTTGTTTTTACTTATTAACGCGTCAAAGTAGTCCCATAGTTTTTTATCGTACATGGTATAATGCTACTCACCTTCAACCACCTAGAATCATTCAGGATGCCAACTAAGAGACAGTGTTTTACGTTAGTGAACGAATTTACGCCACCGCTTGAAAGACCCTTAAAAATAGAATCAAAGAGTTTCCTGAAGATACTATGAAATCTACGTTGAAATCAGTTGAATCGTCACAAACCGTACAACAATAGGATAAATAAAAGTTTGACTGAGTCTTTCTCAGTTATTAGAGTGAACAGTATAGTGATGAGATCTCTGGACAGGGTTCTGAGTCACATAGATTCAGAATTAGGTTTATCTAAGACTTTCACGGTTATGAAATCCATGTCAATGTATGTTTTCTGTAGACTGACTCCCTTTGCCATCTCATATCTTTTAAAATGGTTGCAGTTATGCTTAAGAGTTGAATATCTTAAAAATTAGAATTAGTCAAGGTTGAATTTTTTAACAATTTTTCATAATATTTGTGAAATATATTTTTAAAATGATTATTTACTTGAAACATTTTAGGACTTGAAGAACTGAAGCCATCCAAGCTTGCTAGTAAGTCTTTCATAAAAGAAAACGTTTTTGATTATTTTGCATACGTTAAACTTATGTTACATTGAAGGAATTGAAAAAGCTCTCAATGTTACCCCGGGGCACCATTTTCATTATTGCTTCCTAAGAAGAATCTACAAACTGTAGATGGTAGTACTAAGACTTAAAGGAATGACTGAAGTACCCAAAATTTGGTGTTTTTCGTTCTTCTACATACACAGCATTTGTTTATGATAAATCACCCATACAAGGATAAATGGAACTGGAATAAGAAATCCACTGTGTATTGTGTTTTTATTCAGTTTAGTTTAGCTGAACCATTTCATTTTACTTAATTCAATTTTAGATTTTTCTGTCGATTGATTGGACTGAAGTGCTCGGTCTCAGGTTGACATGTCGGCTTCTTGTGCTGATGCTTCAACGATATCTAGGCATGTAATTAGAAGTTAATTGGTGGATGGTGACTAACAGTTGAGGTGGCTGTCATGGCCCAAGTGGTCTGGTGGAAAACTCTTTGGAGTTTGAAACTATGGACAATTGGTTTTGGAGCCTCGGCGGGAACAACATCACTCAGTGAGGAATGCAGTTACATCCAGGTGACAAGTCCCAAATAGGACGAAATGCGCGTTATCCTGGATTTTACTGCTAGTTTACCCTTAATTCCACTTTGGGACTGTGAGTAACTTAAACATTTAAGCATCTATGTCCCATTGTCCGTCGTTTCAACTTCCAAAATATTCCACTATTAAATGTATATTTCTAACAGATTTGGATAAGGCATTTAGAAGACAAATTTCGCGAGATGATATCATTTCGTAGTTTCTCTACAGTCGCTTTACAACTGGCATGATTCACAATAATGAAATAAAAATAAAATGCAACTAATCTGAATAGAAATCCGTCATCATCCATTGCAAAACACTTATTAATGTCAGGTCACAAAATCAATATTAATGACTACTTCACAATTATTTCACATAACTCTAATTCAAGGGTATTGAAGGTGATGGAAGCACTTTGGATTAATCACATACAGCCTAAACTATGTGTACAAAATAAAGTAGACTTCAACCTTCGCCTGCCATGGACTACTTGACCTATTTAAATATGATTGGTCATAAGCATGTACTTTTGTTTTATATAACTGAGTAACTGTCATGCATTTTTTTATTATTATTGTGAACCATGTTAGTTGTAAAGCGATTATAGAGAAACCACGAAATGATATCATCTCGCGACATTTGTCTTCTAGATGACTTATTCAGATTTATCAAAGGGACTAATTGTTTTAATTGTAACAAATTGTTTGACTGCAGTACTAGTTATTATGAATTTAAATATCTTGATCAGTATCATTCTGTTCAAGGAGGTGCAACTTGAATACTTAAACGGATCAGATTTAGACAATGGTTGTTCACTTCTGATCATTTAATGTTAAATTTTAGATTTGACTTGCTACAGGACAGAGTTTCCTGGAGTTCTAGTGAGAATTCGTGACCAAGGAGGTCCATCCAGTCAAATGTGAGGATGGATGTCCCACCGATGACATTGCTCGGTGATCGCGCTAAATGCATCATGAATTAGTAGAAGTTAGAATTTATGTGTTGGCCATTGAATCGGGTCCCAGTGGCTGAATGGTATACAAGCCAGCTTGCCTTGTAACTGGAAGGTCCTGGGTTCTAACCCTGGTGGTGGGTGCACACTTCCGATGATTCCCAAACTAGGATAAAACAGCTGGCTGCCCAGTACTCCGTGGTTTTCAATGGTACTCTAACTGATATCAATCAGTGATCAACTCGTTTAACTAAGAAATTAAAATGAACTTTAATTTAATTTAGATTTTAGACATACAAGTACAGTGAAATTTGACAGACCAGCTAGAGAATTAATGATAATGTGTATATTACTTGGTAGATTTGAAATGGCTGAAATATTTTGGAATCAAGAAAAGGTAAGACAGAAGAGATATTTGCTTTTCTATACAATTTTACTAATTAAGTATTTGTTCTGTGCACAGATTCTAAATGTGTAAATCTCATGTTTAGGACAAGCGAGGGAAAACCAGTGAAACTAAGGCTTTCAAAGTGTTTTTTTTAGTACAGCTTCATTCCACACCGTATTTTTCGGTAAAGGTGTAGAATTTTCAGCATGTGATATCGGTAGCCCAAATTTTGCAGGCCGACCATAGATATCAGGTGTTTTAACAGTTCGCAAAGAAAAAACAGTTTGAGAATTTAGGCCCGAATAACAATAAAGAAACTGAATCCGAAATCGCCTATTATCGAGTGCAACTCAAGTAATCTTCGGCAACTGGCGTTTTAGCTAAGATATTTAAAGATTTTAGTTTCGACATAGTATTTATGCCGCGATGTAGCTATGAGAAATTAAATGTATCTCCACTTATTCCTACCTACAAAACTGAGCAACGGATAGCATTATAAGGAGATCATGCTGATATGTTAAAGAGGAGTAAACATTTTATTCTGTGGGCTATATCACCTCCCATGCATGAATCTATAAGTCATGCAGTTTTTCTATTTGGATATCACAACGTTATTTCGATACTAAAATCAATATGTGTATTGTAGTCCTATTGCATGGAAAAAAATCTTTTTTCGTAACTTTTGATTGGATGATTTGGTTCAAAAGTGGTGAGCCATATCAACCATCTTTGATTTTAACCAGCTTTCGCTGTCCTATGCCTTTCAAAAAGGCGAGGGAAACGGGAAAAAAAGTGGAATAAGACACTTTATTCTGACTTAACAAGTGACATTTTCTCACAGGATATATCTAATTATGTTCACAACTTATCTGCTATACCACCTACAAAAGAATAAACGGAAATGCTATCAATGCGTCTCAAATTGTGTCCCCACGAAAAAAGTGAGGAAAATTGATTCTGAGCACCAATTTACGGGTGTGCATGCTACACCATACAACACCGATAGCTTGCTGAAATCAAAAATGGTTGACATTTCTCATCACTTTCTAATCACATACTCAGATTCCTACTTATTGAAAGAGATGCTTAAAACGAGTGTATACGAAGTGCATGCATCTGTCTGTAAAATGGCGTTCAGGTTACAAGACTGTAAAACTAATTGGTAATCACATTAGCAGCTGCAATATATATGATAGCTGTGCTACAAATTTTTCAGATCAAGTTCAAATTATTTCAGGAATTCGATAATTCCCTGAAATAAAATTACTTCTTTATGTATGCTACCTGACTGATCAGAAGCATTATTTATCGGTGTATGTCACCGGTTAATTAACTAGGAGGATGAACGAAAGTAATCATGCACCTTGTAAGAATTTCCTAAATTTGTTTCCTTACTGCCTAACTTTTCACCGCTAATCTAAGTCATTAAATATTTTGTAAGATTATAAATGAAAGTTTTGAAACCAGCTTTCTTTGTTTCGTCAGCCCAAACATTAAGTTTATTTAATTAGTGGAGATTTTATTTCCGTGTATTCGATAAGACCCAATGACAGTGGTGCTATGCGGTAAATCCACGAATTGTGGACTTCACTTCACTTACCTATTGCTGTAAGCATACGTCTTTGTATGTTTACCTGGACATTTACTGCTGTGTTTCTCAGGACGTTCTTCTCTCCCTGAAATAGCTTTTAATAACGTGGCGGCATAGCACTTACCCAAATATACGCGGTTCACTGGTTGACCAAAGCTATCATCATGAAACGGAACGAAGTTTGAGTTGTCGCTCAACGTTGATGGTGAAGGATTTACAATTTAACATTTATAAGAACCTGTTCTGATCGCTTGTACCATTATCGAACAATTTAAACTTTTGAAACAGTATTCATATATGATACTTCACGATTGTAATTTGTAACATAACTGATCGTGCCTGTAAAAATGGCATGCATTTCTTGTAAACACCCATTTTTACGAAATATAAATTATTATTATTAAATTATAATACGATCCTGTCTTAATCTCAGTATCTTTCAACTTCTTTTTATTTACTTTCTATTTTATAAATTTTTTCGAAGGAACCAATTGCTGCTGCACTTGTTCTATCGATTATAATCACTGAGTTGGGACAGAAATCGGATGATGTCGCTAATAAAGATGAATATGAAGAGAATGCTCGGTAAGTGAATACAGAGATTTAATTTACAAGTTACGGAATTCTTCAAATATCCTAATTATTGTTTATTCATTTTTCACACCAAATGGTTGAATTAAATATTATGGTTAGATGATACCTGCACAGTCACAGTCACATGGTCGATGTTCACTAGTTGGTGTCAATCATAGTGGCTAGCGTTACATCAATGAAAGAGAAGTATTTATTCAACGCACACAACATCTTGGCAATCTCTAGTACTTCATTTTTAGACGTCCTTATGACCAGAAAAGAGGACGGTACAGTAAGAAGAAGTGTTTATAGAAAACCTACATCAACGGGTCAGTACACACATTTCCTCAGCTCTGTGCCCTTGAAATACAAACGCAATCTAATAAAGTGCTTGGTCCACAGAGCAAGAGAGATTTGCTCGGATGACTGTCTCGACGAGGAACTTAACAATATTAAACGGTTGCTAAGTGAGAATGGTTATCCCGAAAAGTTTATTGATACGAATCTGAATCTGAAACCAAAACAGCCCAAGTTACCAACAGTTTCAAAAAAGGCCTTGCTCTCACAGATGCAGTTCCTAGGAGACAGCACCAGTGAGATACTAACACATCGCCTCAGAAATGCGGTAAAAAGAGCATTCCCTGCTGCTCAATTACGCTGTAACTTTAAAACCACTCCTCTTCTGCGTTCGGGAATAAAAGACAAACTGCCTAATTTCGCCTCTTTCATGTGTATATACCGATTCAACTGCTCCCGTGGAGCCAGTTACATAGGCCGTACAATTAGGCGTGTTTCTCGTCGAATTTCCGAACATCACCCTACCTGGTTAAGCAAAGGATAGACAAAATCTATTCGCAGCGCTATTCTGGCTCATCTTGTGGAGACAGAAGACAAGATTGACGTTGATCATGCTTTCAGGGTCATTCACCGCATACCTACGAATCTCAATTTTGCTTTAAGAGTTCTACTTCTAAATATTGCTGAGGCTGTGGGGATCCATATTAATAAGCCTAATTTATGCACCCAAAAGAAGTTAGTTCAGTCATTACTATTACCTTGGCCATCCAGGTTTGAATAATCCAGAATTTTTGTGAAATTTCCCTAATTTTAATTGATATTCTTTTCGCTATTATATCTTTATTATTATAATAATTTAAGCATCTTTGATGAACTGTTATTCCACTTTGATCTTACTTTACAAATCGATATTATTTAAAAAAGCACTAATATTGTTATTAACTACTAATTTAAAATATTCTGTGTATATAAGCATATCTATAATTGTAGAGCCTGGAAGAGGAATTTATCGAAAAGAATATTCTTTGCTCGATTATTTTGTGTTTTATAGATGTCTGAATGAATATTTTTGCTATATTGAAATCTATAAATGATACATATTGGCAAATTCCAGCCTATGACATCTGAAAGTGTAGAGAAGCAAAAATTATTTTGAAATCAACAGAAAGAATTGTATTAACTGAATCATTAGTTAAAGATGCAAACCTTCAAGACAATTTTGGCCATCACTGAGTACATCTCAGTGAAGATTAAATAAACACATTTAATAAAATGACATTTTTTTATACCACAGTTTCACTGAAATAGGCAATATCAACTAGCCTTATCATCTTAGCAGTAATTTATTTCTCAATAATAGAAAATCCATGTAAAATAAGGTCAGTACAATGGAATTAATAAGGTACAGGTTGAAGTATAAATTTTCCTTCACATGGGTGTTAATTATTCGTCATCTCATTAATTGATTATGATCAACCAAAGTGAAAATTAATTTAAATTCCAGTGATATATAGCAAAATAAGTAATATGAGTTAGTATTTCGCATTTGAAGCATAAACCACATCAAATGGGAGTATGTCTTGTTTTTCGAATAAACTCAGTTTCATATTGGTGGCGATACCTTCTTACGAAGTAAAATGCGCCTTACTATATATTATTACATTATTGTTCCCTTGGGTTCCTAGTGGAACATAGGGCTTCAACTGCACGTCTCCACTTGCTTCTGTCTTCTGCTGTACTTTTCACTTGCATCCATGCTAGTCCATACTGTTTCAACTCTTCTTCACACGATCTCCTCCATGTCAACCTTGCACTGACGTCCCACTCGACGCTTCCCTTTCGGGTTCCACTCGAGCACTGGCCTGACGCGCGATGTCACCCAGCGGCCTCCTCAGTGAGTGTCCAATCCATCTCCACTTTCTCCTCCATATTTGTTGAGCGATTGGTTCTTGTTTTGTTTGTTCCCATAGTTTCTTGTTGGTGAGTCTTTCCAGCCATCTGATCTTCAGTATAGAACGAAGACAGCTGTTGATAAAGGTGTGCAACAGGCTGTTGGAAATATTCTTTGTGACCCGCCGAGTTTATGATCCGTATAGAAGAACTGACTGACTTGACGTTTGTATTGAAAATCCGAATTTCGTTGTTAATGCAGAATGAAGAAGATTTTCAGATTGGTTTGAGGTTGTTGAATGTGTTTCTCGCCTTCCCGATTCTCGATTTGACATCCTCGTCCGTTCCTCGTGTAGTTCAGACAATGCTCCCTAGATAAGTGAATGAAGTAACCTCTTTCAAATCCCTCCCGTTGATGGTGATTGGTGCTGTATGTTGCCTTACTAGGGATTTTAAAACCTGTAAAGATGTCTCTCTAGGTCTTGAACTCGTCAGTAATCATCAACAGGTTATATCAGCAGTCTTGATGACATTTTCATTCACTGATGATTACAAACCTTAGCTATCAAGATACTGAAAGTGGGAATTACATTTATACTGATGGATTCCGTCGAATCACACATAACCATGATGTTTATTGAGGTGAAATTGAGTTAATAGTTGGGTCATGTATGTCAATTGATGATATGCAAATCAATTTATCCGAAACTTGTTCGTCAAAATTCTACTGTGACCCAAGTTTTATGCGAACTTTAACTAATCAACCTCAGAAATTAGAAATCTGAAGAATTTTTTAAACTACAATCAACGATTACATTCATTTTATTCAACATTCCAATGATTGACTGGGTGGCTTGAAGTAAAAATGTTAGCAAGTGGTGGCTTTTTTCTGGTGAAAGCTAAGTTTTTAAAGAGTTAAAATTACTTAGACTTTATAAATGCTAATAGTTATGCCTAAGTGTAGTCGAATCTGATATTAATCTTTATTTGGAAGTTCAGTGTAACACTCGATCATACTTTACAGCTTCTCAAATGAAATCAAGAATTTAACGAAAGCATTAAAATAAGTGAGTTGAGGTTTCATACGAAGTATTGAATACTTCCCATTTGTCAGCAGACTTCATTTTTAGTGAAATAAATGTTGTCATCCCTTAATTCATACTATCCAAAAAGCATCAGTAAGATACTCAGAGATATATAAGATAGACACTATGTCTTCGCCTCTTTAATCTTCGTGTTTTTACGACCTAATCACAATACCAATATTATATTATACTATGAAAAAAATAAACTATCAAGGTTTGACCATGGAATGATATCAGTTAGGGAACTACTGAAAACCTGTGGATACTGAACAGCTGTTTCGCCCCATTTCGGGACTCATCGAAAGTGCACACCTACCCATCGGGTGTCGAACTCAAGACCTTCCCGTTACAAGATAAGCTCGTAGGCTATTCAGCCAATGGGATCCAATTTTATAGCTTCATGAATTCGTGATTTTAGCGCGACCACCAGTCACTGTCATCGGCGAGCATTTGTCTTCACTCCCGACAGGATGGGCCCCACTGATCACGACTTCTCAAAAGAACTCCAGGAATCTCTGTCCTGTAGTCAGTCACCAGCTAGCATCAGATTATGTTTTAAGAGATGATTTGTAGGGAAGTCCTGGGCTCCAGAGCCAGGGGGTGCGTACTGTGAGGAGTCTCAAACTGGAACGAAACAGCTGTCCAGTACTCCCAGGTTTTCCAATGGTTCTCTAACTGATATTAATCAGTGGCCAAACTTGAAAAACAAATCCAATCTCTACAAATCAACTCTTGGAAATGAACTATTCTTGAAATGTGAATGAGACAGTATAACAATAAACAAAATCAAATACATAGACAAACGCGAAATAAATGTGAATACGTATCTTCATCACGCGAATGCACACTAAAAATAAATAATTTATAAAACATTCTAACAGCGTTAGTAAAGTGTATTTTATACATTTTATGAGTTCTATTTATTTAACGATGTGTGTAAGAAATTCAAACTCTCTAACCTTTTATCTACTTTACCTTTGGCACAGGAATTCACTGAGTTAGATTTCATAGATTCTGTCACTCACTTTATTATGAAGAAGTATACGATAATAATCTAACTCCATGCTTTACACCTATTTATCAGACAAAATCTTTTAAATTATTTCATCCAGAATAAAGCAAGAACAGCAAATGGAACCAGCTATCGTGACATTATTTCATTTCGTCGGATCATTTCCATAGTGCACAACCCAAAATAGCTTTAACGTCTGTGTATAAAATGTGCATATCCTATTTTTGATTAAGCTGAAACTGGAGGCCTTTAATATTGCATAATCGAAAACATGAGCTGAAATAAAAATGGCGCTAGTAGACATGCTGGCATATATAAAAGAAATCACAAGAATATCTTAGAGTGAGGAATAAATTTTGAGAATTATTTAGAGATGCGGTGCGTCGGTGGTACAGCGGTAGAATGCTCGCAAACCACCCACGTGGTCCGGGGTTGGACTGGTAAAGGAGAAAGGTTGGGCTTGAGGCTAACAACCCCATGCAGTAAAAATAAACACCACTGCTACCGAAACTTCAAAGCCTCTATCTTGAAGCCCTATGTTCCACTGGGAACGTAAAGGAATGAAAAATAAAAAAATTAAATAAAAAATTTAGAGATTTGAAATTGACACTATGTATTATATAAAAGTTATATTATTTAGATGACAAGAAGTGGTTAAAATAAGTTGAGCAGAAGTCAGACACAAGAGTATGGATAAAAGCGAGACAACAAAGTGAACAAAATGGTAGTCAAAACAAAACTAAAACAAATTAGAAGAAATCAAAGTTAAACCATTAATTGTTTCAATATTGAAGAGGAAGGTTGACAAGTTTCTTTTTGAATGCACGAATTTCATTCCAGTCGTCCAATGGCTCCTGTTTTAGCGGAGCTTAGTTACCTATAACTAACTTGTACTTTAATTGCCTGAAATGATTTTAGGCGTCCATTTCGTAACCACTGTGTACCAGGTGATGACTGACTGAATCCTTAAGAAGTTTCGCAACTTTCATTCTCAGGTTCTTCATAATAGGCTCAGATATCCAGTTGTAAATCATACTTTTTATTCGTGTATTGTATTTGCTTTGCCACACACTGGAAACCTGGTATATGCAGTTAGTGGTAACATGAGAGGGGAAATTAACTACCTTAGGTTGTCTTAGGGAGAAAATTAGTTGATGAATCTGTACTATGCAACTCTTTGCTAGATAAACCTACATAAACTACATAATGTTATATGATGAATTTTCTGGACAGTGGCCATAATGAAAACAATAATTCCTCCTTACTTTCTGCCAACAAATCAACATCTATTCACTGGTAAAAATAATCTTAGACCATTTAAACCACTAGAGAAATTTTTGAATCAGTTGCCAAGACTAAGTCGATTAAATGTTATCCGTCATGTCAGATGAAAACAAATTTTCAAAAGAAAGTAACCAGAAAGACCAAACGGAACAAATTGAAAGGAAGATAACACAAATGCTGAAGAAGATGAAGAACGAATCGATTATTAACACTGAGTTATTTGAGCAAATACGACCTTCAGGTTCTGTAATTCCCCGATTATATGGTCTCCTGAAAGTGCACAAAGAGAACGTACCATTATGTCCAATCTTGGATATGACAAATTCCCCATATCATGCTACTGCCAAATGGCTCACTGTGAACAGTTTGTCCAGTCTCTTATTCTACCATGATCTTAACCTCTTCAATAGTCGTTCCCTGTACAATATTTGATTTTTAATTTTACTTTAAGTTTGCTTTTTAACTTTATTAATTAATTCACTATTATCACTCTCACATGTTCCTTTTGTACGTTTTCCGACTCTCTTCACACTTGTTAAATGGACACTCAACTACCACCTTTCTTCTCATTCAATAACAATTTTAACCTCATCAAATTTCTCATGCTTCTTTCCTTTGTGCCATTCAGTATTACGTAATATATAACTTTTATTTTTTCTTTCGAAGTCACTTCTAGATAATTATATCTTATTATGTCACCCTCTATTATTCAATAATGGACTACTATACATTTTTGGTAAATATAAACACATATACAGCCTGTGAAGATGATTTCGTCGATCAAGAAAATTTTCTTCGCTGAATTGTCTTTTATTTTCTTCAAAAACGTTTTTCTTGAAAGAAACCTTACTAGTCTTTTTTGTATGGTGTTATTAAGATGCGGAGATTTTCTGAAAAATGTGATGTATTTATGCAATACATTTCGAAAACTTTGATCACATATTTACTTACCAGGTCAATTTATGTGAGAAATGAAGGCCCATTAGAAGAAACAAAGTCACAGAGAATTAGATAAGGATTATCAAGTTTGGTTAAGAGTAATAATAAATTGTTTTTGTACACAAAGGTGGGGCGTATTTCAGTAAGCGCCCTTGGCCATTTTCACAGGTAACCTTAACAGCTGTTCTGATGTCAATCCTGTGAATTATATCAATCAAATGTTTAGCTGTAATCAGAACAAGGTGATTTTGAGCGAACAATTGTTTTCGACAAATTCTTCCTAAGGCAACAGCAACAACAACAACAGACAACAATCAGCATAAATGGGAGGAACCTGAAAGAAACAACCTCTTTTACCTACCTACCTGGGAAGCATCGTTTCAACTACAGGCTAACGGAACTGACGAGGATATCAAAGCAAGAATCGGAAAAGCGAGACAAGCTTTCACTACTCTCAAGTCTGTGTGGAGGTCAACAGCACTCAGCATCAAAAATAAGATCCGGATTTTCAACTCCAATGTGAAGTCAGTGCTACTATACGAATGGATCAGAGACTTGGCCAGTGCGTCATAAAGAGCATCTCAAACAAACTACAGACCTTCATTAACAGTTGTCTTCGCTCAATACTACTCGAGATCAGATTGTTGGCCAGAAAAGATCAGCAATAGAGATCTCTGGCAGTGAGCGAACCAACACAGCGGGAACCGATTGTGAAACAAATAGGCAGGAAGAAATGGAGATGGATTGGCCATACTCTGAGGAAACAAACCATCAAGTGACATCACTAGACAAGCCATTGGTCGAGTGGAACCCGAAAGGGAAGCGGCGAGTTGGTCGTCAGTGTGAGGGTGACTTGGAGGAGGTCATGTGAAGAGGAGATGAAAGCGTGTGGGCAGACTTGGAGCCAGGTGAAGACTCTAACAGAGAACCGAACGCAATGGAGACGCACGGCTGAAGCCCTATGTTCCTCTAGGAATTAAAGGAAACAATAATAATAATTCCTAAGGCTTTACAGTTATAAATCCATGAATATTATAACACAAATATCCATCAAAGACATGTGAAAATTATATCGGAAACTGTCTGTATTGGGGTACATGTATAATATGGAGCGATAGTTCGTTATTTAATATTGTCAAATGAAGGTATATAAAATGTATAACTGCAGAGGAAATTAATAGTCTAACACCTGTGTCTATCAGTTTTTCACAGTTCATTTGCTTTTCTAATCACCCTTACTTGCAAAGCATGGTTACGCCTTCCTATGTGTATGACCACAAAAACATACAAGTCGGTATATAGTGTGGGATGAAATATAATCAACTGTGCATTTTTGAGGCTTGTAATAGAGCATGTTTTCGGCTTTTTCAATAATTATAAGGCAGATTGCATAGTAGATTCTACGAATGACCGAGTTCAGCCACTGCCTTAGAATCCTACTATTTATTTCCCTATTGTAAGGTAATTTGATGAAGACATCTTTCTTAAGAATGGAATAGACTGTAAGTTTTTGTAACTAACTGACTTATACACCGATTTAAAAATTTCAAAGGATAAACAAACACTTAACCAAACCTTTCTTATATTGTAATTTACAGAAACTGTAAAAATTTAAAGTATTGCCAAGTAGGTTTCCTGTGAATTAGTCGCTTTATGGAGCCATCTTGTTTCCGACTCGAAATTATGTCTAGAGATGCAAGTTGGCTACGGCTTCCTTCTTCGCATGTAAGACTGATGTAACTGTGTACAGAGTTGAATCTATCCAGCAGACGACTCGCATCTTTATATATAAGGTCGTTAACGTACCTACTACTAAAAGCACTTTCTCAATTAAATGAACGCACAGGTTTTCAATATAAGACATATTGACATCAGTCAACAAAGGTCCTAATTAGCTCCCAGTAGCAAAACCATCCCCTTGTCGAAACTGTGCACCTTCGACTGTGAAATCTTCTTTGTCAAAGTATAATATAATAATAAATCTTTTAAATAAGTCAAAGTAACAGGTAATGAAGGACAAGTAAAAGATATGTAGTCACAAGGATATCAGTAAACAATCAATTAACATCAGAAGAGCACATTTTCATATCTTTTATATTCATGTCTACAAGACAGCCAACAAGTTCAAAAGTGTCTTTTAGAGAGAACTTACATAATTCATTGCGTACTGGACTTAAAATTTATGCTAACCATTTTGCCAGTTTATGTGTGGAAGAGTGACGCCCTGATAGAATTGGACGTGATGGATTGTAAAATTTATGAATCTTGGGTTATCCAAAGAGATTCGTTTTCCTGCTATCATTTTCAACCGATCCCTCAGCTTCCTATAATATATTTGTTGATGAAATTCTCTGTTAGCCTACAGGGCATATTTACGACAGAAAGCACAGCGTCTCTGAACCACACAGAGACGCTGAATTCACACTAGTAACACATTGGAATCTCACTCCTTTTACTGAAATCTGATCTCCATATTGGTTTCAGAATAATGAACCTCTCTTTTGCTTTCCTGATGTGATCCTTGATGTCTTTGATATCCTTATACGTGCCATCATCTAAATTTGAAATAACACTGTCTACGTAAATGAAAGAGACGCCTTCCTTTATATTTCTCCCATTGGTGGTAGTTGGAGCTTCGTTTTGCTGTCCAGGGATCTTCATCACTGTCTGTGTTCTCTATGTCACCTGAATTTCTGTCTTCGCTACCTTTTGTATAACTTGTTGATTTTCGCCTGAAATTCTTCAAGTTTATGCGAAATATATAAAGATTTAGTTTCATCCTATTTCATGTACTGTTATCACCGTCTATAAGCTCAAATAGAAATTTTTGTGTTTTGAGCAAAAAATTTCAAAACTTCCACAACCGTAAGGACTGTCTGCGTCACTTGGAATTTCTGTTAATTGTTTGATAAAGCCAACTGAAAGTTCTGTTCCGCTTGAGTAAATTGAATACTTACCGTATAGTGAAAGCTCATGTTGGTGCACGTACCAAAAAATGGACAGTCGCACTTAGTGCGTCGGTGGCGCGGTGATAGGGTGCTGGCCGACCGCGCAGGTGGACCGGGGTTCGATCCCCAGCTGACGCACCTTTTTACCTCACTAAGCCGGTAATAAGACTGGTAAAGAGGGTAGGTTGGATGGGAGGCTAGCAACCCCATCCAGTAAAAGTAACTACCACTGCTACGGGAACTTCAAGCCTCTAGCTTGAAGCCACCATATGTTCCACTGGGGACATAAAGGAATAAAAAAATGTTTAACCAGATTATATACAAATAATTTTGACACTCTAGATAAAAATATCTTTTAAATGGAAACTGTGCCTTATAATTAATTATTCAAATCTTTATAATTATGATATTTTAGTTCATTTGAAGAAAAGGCTGATCAAGTCCTCGAAGAATGTTTTCAAGAAGATCGTGCACGTACTTTAATTCTGTTATACAGAAAACTAGAATTTTATGGAAATACTTCAGTGATACGTTTAGCTGCACGTGGAAAATGTATACGATTTATGGCTAATCCATGCTGTCAAGATTTGTTATCAGGTGTTTGGTCAGGCAATTTATCACCTAAAAATACATGGATACAAGTAAGTATTTTGTCATTATTAGTTGATTTGGGTTTTTTGGTAAATCTCATATCGAGCAAGTTTATTTGATTTACACAGCAGATAAAGCATTAGGTACTGTATTACATTTCAACCACAAATTATTGCTCATAAACATATCAGTGTATTCACAAAACCTAACTTGCTTCGTATATCATTTACACCTTCCTGTTTTTAAAGCAATCTTCCACATATTTCCAACTGGTTCTCAGTAGTTTCCGTCGCATGCTTTGGGTGTTAACTCGATGAATAAAGATTCAGTGAATAGCCTCTCTCTCTTCACTTAGTTAGATGCTATTACTATACTATATATAGACAAACTGAAGGTGTAGCAATAGGATCACCAATATCCCCTATCGTAGCAGATATATTTATGGATAGCTAGGAAAACATGGCTCTTAATACGTGTAATCCTACTCTAAAAATATGGTGGAGATATGTGGATGACACTTTCACAGTGTTATAAACTGAACATATTTCTAGCTTCTTGACACACATAAACTCACTAGTGGAGGGAATAAAGTTCACATTTGAAGCCAAAAATGAATAAGGAGAATTAACTATGTTAGATTGCAAAATAAAACGAATAAAAGAAGGCAAACCATACACTAGTGTTTATAGAAAACCAACGCATTCTAATAGATATTTAGACTTTAATTCATCTCATCCTTTAACTGTTAAGACAGGCTTAGTTAAGTGTTTAACAAACCGAGCAATGGCACTAAGTAGCACAAAAAAAAGATAGAAGAGGCGTTGGTGTTAAATAACTATCCTTTAAAATTCATTAGGAAGATTGAAAAAGATCAAAATAAAAATAATTGTGAAACTAGTAATAATAACACAAATAAGAGAGAATATAAGTCATCTACAGTTATACCATATAAAGAGGGGACATCTGAGACCCTACGTAGGACTCTCAATAAAGCAGAAATTAGGGTGGCGTTTAGACCTACAAACTCACTCAGGGACAAGCTCTGTAGGTCAAAGGACCCAGTTGACCCAATTAGACAAAGTTTTATAATTTACAAAATACCCTGCAATGACTGTGATGACAACTACATAGTTCAGACTAGTAGGTCATGGGTAGTCAGATTGTCAGAACATAAGAATTTAGCTGAGGTAAGAATGGTTGACCCAGAGAAGATAAGTAATTTAGAAAAAAGCTCAGCAATTGCAATGCATGCATTAACACACAACCACACAATAGGGTAGGAGAGGGTTAAAATTCTAAAAAGTAATCTAGGTAGGTGGAGAGAGAGGTTGATTACTGAATCCTTGTTCATTGAATCTACACCCAACACATGCAATAGGAATGATTCATCACTCATTCCCGAAATATGGAAAATATTACTACCAATCAAATCAAGTGAAAATCAAGCGAAAAAAACGGAACTATATAAATGAATTTAGGAAGTCGTGAGATTACCTTGATATGATTATGAGGAATAAATTGTGCTCAAAACGTTATCAGTAAACATTACTGAATAACACTATGAGACTTTATCAATACAAAAATTTACCCATAATAGAGTTACACTCTACCACAGTGCACAAGTTTTATTCTTATATCAATATTACTATACTATGTTATAACTTTTTAATACTTTTAACCTATCTCACCCTACTGCATAGTTATAAACAGGTTCACTCATACAGAGGGCTAGACTTCTTTTCTTGACCTAGTGGGCTCAGTTATTCTAGATCTAGCTAAATTCCTATATTTTGACAACCCATCTGACCCCAGCCCTCAGGTTTAACCTATTTAACTGACCTCACAGTCATTAAGTGACAGTAAGTGATACTATTTTGACTGCATCGATGGCACAGTAGTAGAATGCTCGCCAACCATGCATGTGGTCCGGGTTCCAATCCCCAACCGACGCGCCCCTTTGCCTCGCTAGGCCAGTAATATGACTGGTAAAGAAGGAAGGTTGGGCTTGAGGCTAGCAACCCCATCCCGTAAAAGTAAACACCACTGCCTCTAGCTTGAAACCACCCTATGTTCCATTGGGAACGTAAAGGAATAAATAAAAACTATTTTGACTAATTAGGTCAATTGAGTTGTTAAGCCTACAGAGTTTGTCTCTGAGTGAATTGGCTGATTTAAGTACCTCCCTAGTTGAGTTTTATCAATTAGGAATGGCAATAAGTACAACGATTAAAAGTCTGTACTGACTAGTTTTCATCGCATAGAACCTTATAACAACAAAATAACACTGTCTATAAACAGAAATTCTGTATTTTTTAAAATTCTTTTCCAGTTATTTCCAGCAATTTTGGTGGGGATGTCTTTACCGATTATAATACCACAGTTTATCAAATATTCTGCTGCTTTTGAAAGTGGAGATTCGCCTACAAGTCAAGTGAGTGTAAACGCATATTTGATATATGATGATCAAATACATACATGTAATTCAATAACCTTCATAGTATTAGACTCTAACTATAATATGTAGCCTTTTAATAACAAGCCTTTTCATTTAAACACTAATAATATTTATTTCATGAAAGCTTGCTTATACATTTAATTTAGTGTCTGATCATATCAGTTATAAACATCATTCTGACTTAAAACAATAAGTCTCTTTGATAAATTTGAATAAGGCATTTACAAGACAAATTTCGCTAAATAATATCATTTCGTAGTTTCTTTACAGCTGCTTTACAACTAACATGGCTAACAATAATAATAAAATAAAATGCATGATATTTACTCAGTTATATAAAAGACAAAAGTACATACTAATGTACAGTCATATTTAAATAGGTCAAGTAGTTCATGGTAGGCGAAGATTGAAGTCTATTTTCTTTTGTACACATAGTTTAGGATGTGTGTGATTAATCCAAGGTGCTTCTATCACCTTCGGTAACCTTGAATCAGAGTTATGTGAAATAATTGCGAAACAGTCATTAATATTAATTTTGTGACCTAAGTGCTTTGCAATGGATGATGATGGATTTCTATTCAGATTACTCGCATTGGGATTTTCTATATGATTTAGTAGCCATTTTGGAACATGTTCTTTTCGATGACACTGGAACATTCTGTTGGTTCTACCTATATAGGTGTCACTGCAACTGCAGGTGAATTTGTAGATACAGTTTGAAGTAAAGTGCACAGAATTTCGTCCTTTAGTCGTAGGTACAGGGATCGAAAATGTTCGGCAAATGAGAAAAAGAGATGCGGTGCAGAATGTGCGTTTGATGGCTGACCGAAGTCTTTATTTTTTTATTATAGCTTGATTCCACACTGTATTTTTGGTACAAGTACGGAAATTTCAGCATGTGATATCGGTAGCCCAAATTTTGCAGGCCTACCATTGATATTAGGTGTGCGTCGGTAGGGGATCGAACCCCGGACCATGTGCATGGTCGACGAGAGTCCTAACCGCTGTGTCACCGACGCTGTCAATTGCATAACCTGGTTGCCCTTGAATGGTAGGTTAATAAAGATAGCTTTATTTACTACAGAAGCTGTCTTTTCGAGATGTGGTTTTTCTTTACTGTGACAAGTGATAAAGTTCTCCGGATACCCATTAGCTAATAAAACTGAATGTATATGTCGAAACTCATCTATCAATGTGTCACTCGTGCATATTTTTCGGGCCCTTGAGAACAAACATTTCACTAGGGAACGTTTATACTGGATAGGAACAAAACTGGTGAAATGAAGATATTGTTCACTCCATGTCTGCTTACGAAAAATAGATCGTTGAATCGTTCTATCATCTCTTCTAGTCATAGTAATATCCAAGAAACCGAGTTGATTATTGGATTCTAGTTCGGAAGTCACTCGAATATTTGGATGAATATGATTAAATAGGGTAATAACGTTTTCAATAGATTTACTATTATTAGCAATAATGAGAGTATCATCTACATAACGTTTATACAGCATAAATTCTCTAAGCATACCTTGCATTTGTCTCTCCAATTTCAACATGAAAATATCTGCTAACAGGGTCCCAAGAGGGCTACCCATCGCAACACCATCGATTTGTTTGTATGCCTTTTCTTGGAAGGTGAATCTAATATTTTCTGTACACATTAAGATGATGTCTCTGATGTAAGTTACAGGAATAGGTAAGTTTATTTCATTGCTTGTGATGTAATCGCAAATGAAATCAACAGTTTCATTAAGGGGAACATTGGTGAATAAAGATTCTATGTCAGTTGAACACATAACCTCATCCTTGATGTTCAAGGTGTCTAGCATATCTGTCAGATCAAATGAACGTTTTGCAGAATGATCTGTAATGAGTCTCTGACTATTAAATCTTTTATAGTTACTCTCCTAAATGACATTTTCCCATGCTCCAAAAATTCAAACAATCAAGTTTCAGTACTGCAGACAAATAATTTCCGTTCTAGTCGTATAAACAAACTTTGAGCTTATGTTAGATAGTTAATGTTGTTGCCACAGTAGCATTCATAATTTCCTAAACTTATTAAAATACACTCACAATGGAATGAGTGGAAAGCTACACCGAATTTACAGACGAAGAGATATGAATGAAGAGGCATAAAACGAATAAAACCCTTCAAACAGAGTCCCTGTTAAATGGAAGGTTTTCTTTAGTAGTTCATGAATAAAATGGAGTCAAATAACACGTCAGGAAATGTTTACTGAATAAAGTAAGAACCTCAAAAGCCAAACTTTCTTCATAAAACAGACTATTCGTCGAAAACTCTAACATGCCGTTTCTGTTGTTGTTGAGGTGCCCATTCAGCAGTAGAGAAAATATGATTTCGCTTGCTTCATTCTCTATAAACCCGCAATCGCAACGTTATATATGAAGTGGTTGTACTGTTTCTAACAATACAGTATTACCCACAGGGGTGATCTAAGTTCAATTCCATATATGTCACAAATTGGCGGAAGTCAGAATTCATGGACTGGCCATTAGATAGGGTCCCAGTGAGTGGCTTAATGGTCTACGATCTCGCTCGCCTTGTAACGAGAAGGTCCTGGATTTGAACCCCACTGAAAGTGTACTGATGAAGAGTCCCAAACTAGTCTGACGAAATAGCTGGCTGTCCAGTACTCCTTGGTGCTTTTCCAATGGTTCTCTAACTGATGTCAGCTCATGATGAAATCCTCCAACCAATTCCATGTATGTATAGAAACCCCTAGTTTCGTATGTGGCACGTGACTAATAAATGTATTGGTAATGCTCCTTAACTCGATTCGGAAAGACGTCCACAGAAGAACCAATATATATCTAGACAATGTGAGATAACCAGCTAACGAGTTTTAAAAGTTCAATACACAGAAATCAAAAGACAGCAGCTGCTACTTGACTTGCTTACAATATTTGGAGAATCTGTAACTCTGTCAATTTAGAACAGGAGACCACTGCCCAGAAAAGTCTCGGCTGAAAATGATTATCCAGCACGAAAAAATCATTCACAAAGTGAAAATTAATTTGATGCAAGTTAGCATGTTTAAAATTGCTTCAAACTACAGAATCCTTTCTTATTTGCATGGACAAATAGGAGTAATGTATATGAAAGGTCATTTGATCCTTCCATAGGAAATGAACTGACAGTCATTTTGTACGCTTTCTAATCTTTCCTTCTAGCTACTTTCTTTGTCTTCATTTTCAACCACAAAACACTATTTACATTGGTGGATGGTGACTAGCAATGGAATCCAGTATGCTCATTTCGTTCTATTTGGGACTCGTCATCTGGATGTACCCGCATTCCTCAGTGAGTGATGATGCTCCCATAGAGGCTACTGGATAACGTTTTGGCGTTTGAAACTATGGTCACTGGGTTCGAGCCTCGGTGGGAACATCGTCACTCACTGAGGAATGGAGGTACATCCAGTTAGCTGACGAGTCCCAAATAGGACGAAATGCGCGTTATCCTGGATTCCACTGCTAGTCACCATCCACCAATTAACGTCTAATTACATGTCCAGAGATCGTCGAAGCATCTGCACAAGAAGCCGACATGTCAACCTGAGACCGAGCACTTCGCTCTAATCAATCGGCGGGAAAATCTAAAATTGAATTAGACGCTATTTACATTACTTATAGTTTGTCATCAGAAGTCTAACTCATTTTGAGTATTTATATGAAGTACCTCCAGTTTACATCTATCATAATTAGGAAATTTTCAATACTTTAGGTTTCCAATGAATAATTTTAACTTGGCATATTGTAGTATGTTACCTAATTTTTATTCACTTATTTTTTTTCATAAAGTCTAAACATGATCAAGATGACAATAAATTGAGTTCAGATGTTGAAAATCTACTAAAGGTACCACGTAAATCGCTTGGTTTAGATCAAACAGTCACAGTCAGATCAAGGTAATTCTAACTGTATTTTGTTCAGTTTAACATTTGGCTTGATTTTCAAAAGGATCCAATATTTCTTAATTATAGCTTTGTGGTGAAGCATTATGTATATATATTAAATGGCAAGAACGTTGGTGTATAATTCATTATTCATTATCATATCAAAATGACATTTAAACGCCTCTGAATTTGTCTGGCTTTTCCCCTGTAGTGACATGACCACGTGCTAACATAATGACCAGGACATCCTGAATTACTTCAAACTTCTAAAGTATTAGCTGATTTGAGAACAATGCTTATGTTAGGTGAAAACATGAGCACAATTCAACGTCTTCTGAATACATCTATCCCAAAAACTGATGATTTTCGAAATTTTAAATTTATTTGTATTTATGGTACCTCTTGTGACTGTTCATAAAATTACAATCCAAGATACTATGATTCAGCAAAGACAGAGAGTATTAAAGAATCAGTTTTAGGCAAACAGTGTATTACGCAGTGAACATTTTCCTATCACAACTAAACGTAATCACCAATTTATTATCATATTTTAGATTAATATCAGAAATTATTAAATTCAGTTTGTTTGATTGGACCGAATTGTTCGACCTCTGTTGATATGCTGGCTGCATGTGCGGATGCTTCGACCACGTCTGAGAATTTAATCTGATGTTATTTTGATAGATGGTGACTAGCAATAAAACTCAGACGACAAGTCCCAAATAGGATGAAATATGAATCTAGGATTCTATTCCTAGTCACCATCCACCAAATAAGTGTCAGAAATCTTCAAAATATTTTACCCTTCAGAAGTAAAATAAACTGAAATTTCAAGTTCATTCAGACTAAAAAAGTATTTCTTGTAGGAGTTTATCATGAGCTGGCATCATTTAGAGAACCATTGGAAAACCACCTGGGAGTACTGGATAGCCAGCTGTTCCGTCAGCCTAGTTTGGAACTCTTCAGCAGTACGCACCCACTGCCACGGCCTTCGGACACAGGACCTTCTGGTTACAAGGCCAGCGAGCTAGCTCATAGACCATTAAGCCACTCACTGCAACCCGATCCAATGGCCAGCCAGACCATGAATTCTAACTTCTGTCACTTCATGACATAGCGCGACCACTTCGTGATGTCTTTTTCGATAAGTTATTGCCTCACCTTCAACCTGCTTTACCCTACTGGTCACAGCTTCGCACTACAACTCCAGGTAACTGCTTAAATTGGGCCAGTCGCCAGTGAGCATCAGGTCAGTGTGAAATGGGAAATAAGATGCTAAATGGTAGATACTGACTATTGTCGGTCGGTTTCTAATAAATCTAACTTTAGGTTGAGCCATTCTAATTTCTTTTAAAAAATTCAAATCTAAATAGTTTATTCAACTCAATATTCCACAGTCATATTGTAAGTGCTACATGTGGGTGAACCGAGCTAAACGCTTAATTAGACTTCTCCCTTTTTTCACCATCACACAAAATAAATATATCATCCATATTTCTATTGGACACTAGTAACTAGTGTGATGCGTCTAGTCCTTTGTTTCGTGCAGACTGAATTCTATCAGTCAGATTTGTAATGTGGCTCCCATGTTAGGTGGCTGGCCATCGGGGTTGCAGATACATCTTGCTGACTGGTGAATGCCAACTAGCGGGAAACCTAGGTTGAGCTAGGCTTCCTACTGATTGCCTCTAACCACCTAATATCATCCATATATTCTAAATAAAGTTTCGCCTATTTTATTGCATCACTGAGTTTGTTATTCTCTAAATGAGCTGAAAATATGTCTGTAGATATTGAATCATTGAAAATCCTGTAATCACTGCTACTGTCTGCTCATAATATGAGCCAGTGAAGGGACATTGTACACTCTTCAGTATAAGAATACTTGAATGCAAGTATAGGAATGCCAACAACATACATAACTTTTCTATTTTCAGTCTTTCATGCAGACATATTTCATAATTACATCAGTTATATATTTACACGTGGATTTATTTTTATATTATAGAATCAGTAATCAAATTGAACGCATCAAAATATTTTATCAAGCTCCTATTATCCGGTTTGTGTATAACACAGTAAGTTTTTATAAATTATCTTTGTATTCACTAAACATACTACTGTAAACCCTGATGCATAAAATCAAACTTGAAAATAGTCAACTACTAACTTACACGATCGAATAAGTTTGGTGACTTCATTTCCTTCAATCAATAATTGGGAGAAGTTGAAGTGTAATACTTGAAAGTATTGTAAAGTAAGACAAGGCTCCCTCCAATGATATTCCTGAAAGCGGTAGTCTGGATAAGGCGACAGACAGTGGGCAGTGAGGAAACAGACATAAAATGGACCCACACAAAAAACTTGAAGGATCTGGACTTCACCGACGATATATGTCTGATTTCCCACAAAGTGGAAAATATGCAAGTGAAAAGCCATAAGTTGGCAGAAGAAATATCAAAGATAGGACTTCAGGTGAACATAGAGAAAACAGAGGTGACGAAGATCCTTGGCCAACAGAAACAGCAACAACAACAGACATCAATCAGCATAAATAGGAGAAATTCGAAAGAAGCAACCTTCTTCACCTACCTTTCTACCTACCTGCCTACTTGGGAAGCATCGTTTCAACCACAGATGGATAGAACTGATGAGGATATCAATGTGAAGATCGGGAAAGCAAGACAAGCTTTCATTACTCTCAAGTCTGTGTGGAAGTCAGCAGCACTCAGCATGAAAAATAAGATCCGGATTTTCAACTCTAATGTGAAGTCAGTGCTACTTGCTATACGGATCAGAGACTTGGCGCGTCACCAAGGCCACTTCGAACAAACTACAGACCTTCGTCAACAGCTGTCTTCGCTCAAGATCAGATGGCTAGAAAGTATCAGCAACAGGGATCTCCGGCAATGGACAAACGAACCAACCCAGCAGTAACCGATTGTCCAAAAATTATGCAGGAAGAAATGGAGGTGGATTGTGGCCATACTCTGAGAAAACCATCAAGTGACATCACACTCCAGGACATTAATCGAGTGGAACCCTAGTGGGTAGCCATGGGCGGGTTGGTCGTCAGTCCGAGGGTGACATAGAGGAGGTCATGTGAAGAGGAGATGAAAATATGTGGTTAGATGTGGAGCCAGGTGAAAACGTTGGTAGAGAACCGAAGGTAATGAAGACGTGCGGCTAAAGCCATATTTTCCTCTAGGAACTAAAGGAAACAATAATATATTATAATAATAAAAGTGTTATAGCCAAAGTCAAGGTTTCTCAATTATAGATGAGATTTTATATTGATAAATCACACAGTGTTATACATAGTGTAATATTAACTGATGACGTTTCGAGCACAAACTATTGCTCATAATCAAGTCACTCACACAACTTTTTACTTCATTTATTATATGTATATATACATATATATATATATACTGTATAACACTGTGTGATTTATCAAAAGAAAATCTTATCTATAACGAAGTTATACTCTACCACAGTGCTCAAGTTTTATAATTATATCAGTAAAGTCAAGGTTTGCCAAAAAATGACCTTCAAGGATCAATCAGATTTAGGGGACGCTGTGTTAGGTCATTACAGATCACGTTGTACCCACCTTTTTAGATTTGGCGACCTTAGATACAGCGTGCTACTTATTCCTTAGGTACTTTTCCTCTTAATCAGTACTCTTATGTAGGGTTATGGTTTTAAAGAATAAGGTTAAGATTAGGGTTAATGTTAAGATTTGGAGTTAGGGTTAAGAGGATGTTAAAGAACAGTGTCAAAAGTATCAATGGATCTCAAAGTACCACGACTTACGGTCACCTGGGTGAATGCATCTATCGCACATAGTATGATTTCTCTATAGATCATATGTGTAGTGACTGGGAGACATTCTTACAACATATAAGCTACAACTGTACAGTGTTATATCATGTTTGCAATGCTTTTTAGTGCATTTTTCAATGATTTTTCGACTTTTCTGCATCTGCATTCTGATTGGTTGTTCAAGGCCAATTTGGTTTTGGATATGATAGTTTGACTTTGCCAATGACTGTTTTCAGAATGTAGGCATTAGAGAAAATTCTACAAAAATATATTTTTTTAAATGTTAGAATATTATTTAAAACTAATAATGACAGAATAATACTTGTTATCCAATGCAGCTAAAATTAAAACATTTTGTCATCAAATAACTGAAATGAACTTTGGAATGACTGCAGAGAATTGATATTTTACTCTAGACTAAGTTCAGTTAAATGACACCTTACTACTCATTCAGCTATCTACTGAAAAAAACGTAGGGAAGGAGAAGTATGTTTTAGTCAGTGATCTCTGTCAGCTTTTAAACGAAGCGTCATTGATATGATTTAAATGAATTGTTGATGAAATTATTCGAGATAGTATTTGGTTGTCAGACGGTTGTTGGTGTAATGGGCAATGACAGGTGATTTAAAATCTAGGACTCTAAACGTAGGCCTTTGAATTACTAGACTGGCGCTCTACGAAATGAGTTATGAATAATTAAACTCTTAGTTATACTACCTGAAATTATCTTAATTTAACAGGTTGACTATGTGTAAGGAGAAAATCTGATAATCCGAATGTCTGAGATTCGTACAGACATATTGTTAGTTTCCCTTCAACCATGATGTCATAATGTCTGATAAGTAGTCCGAAATAAGGCCTTATCGGCCAATTCTATATGATCTTTCATCAAGATGTGACCTATCAGTTCTACAAACATTGAACACCGAGTGAAATTTCTGTATAAATCTCAGTGAAAGTGAAATAAATAAATTCAGCATTTCGGTTGGACAACACGCCGGAGTTATTCGTTTCAAATTCACTGAGATTAATACAGGTATAATTTCTACGTGTGTTTAGTTTGCAACTAGGATGAGAAAACTTTATTGGTTAGTTGGTTCAGTGGTGAGGGCAATCCAGCTAAAAAAACTCTCACTTACTTAGCTCTTCAAAACTTTTGATGACCGGAAGAAAATTTCGAGCCAGAGTTCATTGTCGCATACTTTTTCGGCCGGCTATCTGATCACCAATATTGATCAAGGGAAGCTATTGATGAAAGTTCTCATAAGTGTGTTGGAAATGGTTTTTTTGAGACACATGCACTTAGTCTCTGAAGCATATAGAAGCAGTGACTTCACATTAGTGTTGAAAACGTAGACATCGTTTCTTGTGCTGAGTGTCATAGAACATAGCACTTACTTCAGACGAATGAATACCTGTTTTGCCTTTCAATTCTTATCCTGCTTTGCTTTGACATACTTATCCATACCACCGGCAGTTGAAATGATGTTACTGAGGTAAGTCAAAGCGAAAACTTCCTTCAGGTCTGTCTCATTAATGATAACTGGTGTTTATTATTGTTCGTCAGACTGGTATCTTCATTACATATATATCTTCCCTCTTGTTTTTCAATTTTAGATATTCTATTTACTATTTCTTATTATATTCAGCAAAACTCTGCTAACATCATTAACTTTAAGTTTCTCTTATCTGGATGTTTTTATCACTTTGATGGTTGGATCATTTTTATGTGAAGAGTTAAAACAGGCAAGTCTTTTCCGATTGGCAGTTTTATTAATTAAAGAATTTCGTTTTAATGTAATAATATTAATTCAGTTGGTTGATGGTGACTATCAGTGGAATCCAGAATGAGCATTTCGTCCTATTTGAGACCCGTCGATTGAATGTACCTGCACTCCGTAGTGAGTGATGGTGTTCTCACTGGGGCTCTAGCCCAGTGACCATAGTTTTGAATGCCAAAGCGTTATCCACTAGACTACTTGGGCCACAACAGCCACCTCTTCTGCAACGGGTCTTATTAATTATTTAATTCAATTAAGATTTTCCCGTTGATTGATTGGACCGAAGTGTTCGGTCTGTTTAGTAGTGCACACTTATTTGAGTAGGGATTAAAATGATTGTTATTCTCCAGCTATTTACGTCATGAACTCAATCAGATAAGTTGGATAGTTTTGAATATCAATGGGCTTTTAAATGGAATAAAAACTTTGTCCAATTTTTAATAAATATTTTTGAAAGTTCTTCTTACAGTTGATTACCTTGATAAATTTCGATAAAGAAAGGAAGACGAAATTTGCAGTATAAAATGATATTCTATTTCATAGGTTCCCATCAGCTGCAGACTACCTGAAATTACAATTGTAATATAAATGATAATAACATACTTTAATGTTTCAATGGTAGTAGAGAAGAGATAAAATTGACGCATCCAAAAATGAAAGCATTACAATTTTAGTTTAATTTTCATCACGAATTTGTACGCTTTTAAAGTTGAAAAGAGGGGGGAGGGGTAAGACAGAAAACAGAAAAAATTGATTAACAGAAACAGTGTTAGCTTGTAGGTTCACATACAGTTTGTGAGATTAAGATTTGTTCAGTGAGTTGAGATCACTGAATTAGATGACTAATTAATGTAATCAAAATCAAAATTCAGTTACCAAGGCAGTGAGAGGTTAATCACACTCTCTTTCTGTATGCATAAGTCTGGTGCAGCTGATGAGAACCTGTGAAATAGAATGACATCATTTTATACTGCAAATTTCGTCTTCCTTTCTTTATCGAAATTTCTGAAAGTTTCGTTCATATAAAAATAGGAGTAAAGATTTAGTTAACGTGGTGAGGCTTTCCTTTCAAATCAGTTTCCTGGTTATTTTGTAAGCCAAAGCTGCTTTGGAACATTTGTGTAAACTGACTTTATTTCACGGCTTTTCATTATTTGCTAACAACGTAAAAATTGTTGATATTATATGATTGGAGGCGATAGACAGGAAGCCTTGAACCTAGGATTAGAGATGTCACACAAATTACTGACTAGTGTCCAGTCAAAAGTATCCAATGCAATCCTACAAGATGTCAATCGCTAGCCTGAAAAGCTCGGTGGTGGTAACGTCTCTGACTGCAGAACTGGGTGACGAGGGTTCAAAACTCAGAAGGCACATGAGTTCCTTCGAGGTTGCAAGATACGCCTTGCTGACTGGTGAGTGCCGACTAGCATGAAACCTAGGTCAAGCAAGGCTTCCTGCTGATTGAATCCAGGAAATGAGTAGATGAAACGCTTTCATAAACGTTGCTTCCAACAAAAAGATGAGATGAAATCTGAAATTGCAAACAAATTCATCAAAATGCTAGCTAATGTTCATGAATAATAATAATAGTGATACGGTATCTACCAGTTTTCGTCTACTCATTTCACAATATACGCTCAAGATAACATGTACTGCTGACCAAAATCAATACTTAACGGTTATTCCTATTATCTATTGGAATGAGACAACTATTTCAAACTTCAAAATATTACAAGTACTGGTTTTTGTAGGGATTATGTTTGATTGGTTGGAGGATTTCATCATGAGCTGACATCAGTTCGCCTTGTCACCAGAACGTCCTGGGTTCGAGCCCGGTGGGCGCGTACTGATGAAGAGTCCCAAAGCAGGACGAAATAGCCAGCTGCCGAGCCCTCCCAGGTCTTCCAAGGGTTCTCTAACTGATGTCAGCTCATGATGAAATCCTCCAACCAATCAAACAGAATCCCTACAAAACCAATACTTGAATAATGTAATAAAAATTAGTAATACTTTTAAGAATTCGAAGGTCTTCAATATGCATATCGATCTACAACAGTATAACTGACAGTCTTTAAAATTTCGAATGCCACACCCTTATAATAAATTATATTTTCTTTTATAGCTAAATGAAATGAGGAAGATTTAACAGAGTCAGTATACTTTTTTGATCATTTTTATTTCCTTCTACCGGTTCCGATTGCAACAAACATCTAACTATGATGATTTATAACCATAAAATAAAACAGAACTGACTGAGTGTGAGTTCCACACTTGTACTTCTGTAATTAGACGAAAATTTTACTACTTTAATCCACCGAGAATTTGTGTGATAGGTTGCTAGCTCCGCATCTAATCTTCTCTCTTTTCCAGGTTTACCAAGGATTAGTTAACTACGCGAGGTTTAGAAGTGCGTCTTCTGGAAGTTGAACTCAAACCTCCCGCGTAACTGACTGATCCACGACGCTCATTTACAAAAAGACAGCTCCTGAATTAAATATTCATACACTTAAGTACAAGATAATACTTCACTTAAATATCGCCCATTAGATCAACTTATATTTTCATAGTGTGACAACTTTTCGTCTCTTAAATCAGTTTTAATTACTTGTTAAGAGCATTTAGAAGATATTCAGTAAACATTCAAAGTGATTCACAAAATACTGAACAAGAGTTTTATTCTGTTTCAGGTTTCTTTTACATAAAATATAAATAATTGTTTTTCATTTTCCCACTTCAGTGCTCAAATTAGTTAATTTCTTTAGCTGTTGTTGGTTAGAGATGAAATCTGCCTACAAACTTGGAGTGTGAAAATGAGATATGTTTAATACTCGAGACTTTCTTAGCTGACTGACTTCAAAAGAGACAATAAAATTAAATTTTCAGCCAACAGTTTGGTTAGAAGAATGAATGTAATTCGGTTTACTGTTAAAGTTGACTTATTTTTAAGTATATCGGTATTTATTTGGTTGATAGTGACCAGTAAAGGAATCCAGGATATGCGTACTTCGTCTTGCCGGGTACTTGACAGCCGGATGTACCCGCATCCCCAATGAGTGTTGTTGTTCCCAATGAAATTCTAACCCAGTATTAGTCTTCTCAAAAGCTGAAGCGTTGTTCACATTCATTTGACATGTACTAAATAGATCAAAATTCGTATCCTGAATTCCTCTGCAAGCCAACATCGATCAGTTAATATAATATTAATCTTCAGATATCGTCGAAGCCAGTGTACTAATAGCCGGCATGTCGATACAGACTGAGCATTTCCGTCCGATATAATCAGTCGGCTGGGAATTATTATATTATTGCTCCCTTGGGTTCCTAGTGGAACACAGGGCTTCAACTGCACGCCTCCATTTGCTTATGTCTTCTGCTGCACTTTTCACCTGCATCCATGATAGTCCATACTGTTTCAACTCTTCTTCACACGATCTCCTACATGTCACCCTTGGACGTCCCACTCGCCGCTTCCCTTTCGGGTTCCACTCGAGGGCTTGACACGCGATGTCACCCAGTGGCTTACTCAGAGAGTGTCCAATCCACCTCCACTTTCTCCTGCATATATGTTGAGTGATTGGTTCTTGTTTTGTTTGTTCCCATAGTTTCTTGTTGGTTCTTGTTCTTTCCGGCCATCTGATCTTCAGTATAGAACGAAGACAGCTGTTGATAAAGGTGTGCAACAGGCTGTTGGAAATATTCTTTGTGACCCGCCAAGTTTCTGATCCATATAAAAGAACTGACTTGACGGCTGGGAATACGAATTAAATAAAAATAAATAACACCAGTATTCATTTAATTTCATTTTCATTCTGTCATCTAAGTTTTCATATCGTGTTAAGTTTTCAAAAGGTGATTGAACATTTAACCCGTAAACTTTAAATATCTGAGGAAAATAAGAAACAGACTTCATCTAAAAATTGCTTTGCCAGCAACGTTTTGGTTGCTAGAGTCATTTGTATCTTTCTGTGAACATTGTCTACTTATTGTAAATAATTTTATTTACTTAACTATTCCCAAGAAATGCATCTCTAAAATAATTGATTTAACGAAAGCGTTCAGCTCACTGAGAGAAACTGAATATGCTTAGTTTAGGAAAGAAATCCTATTTGACGATGCGACCAAATTAAGACCTGAAAATAACCCTAGTCAGTGACAATGTAAAATCGTCTGATAGCTGGGGGTGGGATGATTTCATCTCAATCAACAATACAGTTATTATCACAATTTGAATATATGATTCATTCAGAATATCTATAAAATGTTGTAATCTTAAAGCATAATTAAAACTCTAAACAACTTTAAAAAAATATTTAGGAAGGCTATCTGACAGTATTTCACATAAATAGTAAGGTAGGGTAAAGGTGAGTAGTACTGGTGTTTTTGAGTGATGAGAAGCCTGACTTCTTAATTTTCCTAAGGTGTGTATTTCGGTCGTTCGAACAATAGATAATGTGGTGAAACGTCACCACAACATAATCTACTTTATATAAGCTCAACTTAGAGTGACATAAATTTCTAACTGGAGTGAAATAGTTGATTAATGCAATTTATTTTTATCAATAATTTCGTGTCGATGGTTACTCTTGAAACAATTTCTTATTCAAAAGGAAGTTGGAAGAAATTGAAATTTCAGTGTAAGAATAGAACTCGTGCACTGTGTTAGACAGTGGTATAATTCCATTATGGGTAGAAAATTTATTTCGATAAAGTCACACAGTCTTGTACTGTAATATTTACTGATGATCACGTTTCGAGCACAATTTATTGCCACTCATAATCATATCAAGACAATACTCACATAATTCTCTAACTTCGTTTATATAATTCCATTATTTGTCATCGCTTGATTTGATAGTATTTTGCATATTTCTAGTGTGAGTGATGAGTCATTCCTATTGCACGTGTTGCGTGTAGATTCTATGGACAGCTGGGAAAATATTGCTTTAAATACATTTAATCATACTCCAAAAGTATGGTGGGAATATGTGGATGACACTTTCACAGTGTTAAAAACAGAACATATCTCTAGCTTTTTCGATCACTTAAACTCACTAGTAAAGGGAATAAAATTCACATTTGAATTGCAAAATGAACAAGGAGAATTAGCTATTTTAGATTGTAAAATAAAATAAAAGGTCAAAAGCAAAATAAAAATAATGGGGAAACTAATAATGATAACATAAATAAGAAAGAATATAAGGCATCTACAGTTTTACCATATAAGGCGGGAGGGGACATCTGAGACCCTACGCAGGATTCTCAATAAAGCAGGAATTAGAGTGGCATTCAAACCTACAAGCTCACTAAGAGAGAAGTTCTGTAGGCTAAAGGACCCTGTTGACCCAATGAAACAAAATAGTATAATTCATAAAATACCTTGCAATGACTGTGAGTTAAGTCGACTCCATGGGTCAAACTAGTAGATCGAGAGTAGTGGGGTTATCATGACGTAAGAATTTAGCCAAGGTAACAATGTTTGTCGCCAACCACGAAGGTAAGTAATTTAGAAAAAATCTTAATAATCACACTGCATGCGTTAACGCACAACCACACAATAGGGTGGGAGAAGGGAGAAGTTCTATGCGTCGGTGGCACAGCGGTTAGGACTCTCGCCAACCATGCACATGGTCCGGGGTTCGATCCCCTGCCGACGCACAGCCGATATCAACGGTCGGCCTGCAAAATTGGGCTACCGATATCACATGCTGAAAATTCCATACTTGTACCAAAAATACGGTGTGGAATCAAGCTATAATAAAAAAAATATAGGTAGGTGGAGAGAGAGGTGGCTGATTACTGAATCCTGCCTGGTTCATCGTGTCTACACACAACATGTGCAATAGGAATGACTCATCACTCCTACCGGAAATATGGAAAATATTACTACCAATCAAATCAAGCGATGACAAATAATGGAATTATATAAACGAAGTTAGAGAATTGTGTGAGTAGTGCCTTGATATGATTATGAGTGGCAATGAATTGTGCTCGAAACGTGGTCATCAGTAAATATTACAGTACAACACTGTGTGATTTTATCAAAATAAATTTTACCCATAATGAAATTCCAATACCGCTCTTAAGAGGCTTTTCAGAATGTTCAATTGGATCAACGTAACGCATAGGGCTAAAATGAAAAGAGAACAGGTAAATCATTACTCTGTAAGATGATTATAATTTGGATGTACCCTTCAGTTTTGGTCAAGTAACAATGTTGTTATCGACTTAAATCTTCACACAAAATCGATTTCTTGCAGATTATGTAACTAATTTCAAAGTTCTAATCAGTTTTCATTGTTCCTCATACCAGTATCATTTCATAAGAAAAGCTTACCGTGAGTGTATATGCATATTTTCATCTTATTTATTTTTATTTTTTTTTTAATTATAGGCTTTCGGTTCTGGTTCAAGTTTAAAAGAGTACATCAGTGATGGATGGAATAAATTAGACTGTCTTGCAATCAGTTTATATATAGTCGGTTTGAGTGTTAAAATTCATGCCTACCAGAATCGAATACAAGAACAGTTATACGAATTGGAAACAAATAAATTGTTACAATATTTAAATTTATCATCATTGACAACATATAATCAAACAAATATCTACAATTTACTGAATTATTGTCATATTGATCAATGTAATAATAATACTAATCTAACAAGTATTCCGGCAAATTTATCTACTGAACAAATCCAAATCATCAACTCAATGATGGAGATTAAAGCATTGCCTATGTTTAGTGGATCTGGACATTCATCACATACATGGAGTCCTGATTTACCATACTACATACTATCTGATGACTTATTCACAATTTCAAGAATACTTTTCGCTTTTAGTTTATTTGCATTTTATGTACGATTAATGTATATCTTCAGTTTTAGTATAGTACTTGGACCAAAATTAATTATGATCAATAGAATGGTAAGTTCAGATTCTATTAATTCATTTTTGTGGTATAGTAAACATTCCTTAAGCTAGTGTTAGATGTTCGCAGGCAGTTGTCGGGAACCTTTGACTTAAATTTTGTGCTTATTGTGGTACATGTCAGTAGGGCTTCTTTGAAAGTGCTCGTGCATGTATTCGGATGTTTATTTACTTCTTGTCTTCTCCTGCAAGCCAACGGACTATAGTTATTATTATTCCCTTGGGTCCGAAATGGAATGTAGGGCTTCAACAACACATCTCCACTTTATTCTATTTTCTGCCGTCCTCTTCAGCCGGGTACACGATTGACCGTAATCTCTCATCTCCTCCTCCTCGCCAAACGATCTCCTTCTTGTCACCCTCGAGCCGACGACCGACTCGTCAATTCCCATTTAGATTCCACTCGAGCGATGGCCTGCATTGCGCGCGTTCTCAGTCGACAGTTTCCTCGACGTATGCCCGATCCATGTCCATTTTCTCTTACATATTTGTTGAGCGATTGGCTCTTGGTTGGTTTGTTCCCACAGTTTCTTGTTACTTCTCGCCAGCCATTTGATCTTCAGTATGGAGCTAGCGAAGGCAGCTGTTGGAAATCCTTTTCGTGACACGCAGTGCAAGTTTCTGACCCGTATAGAAGTACTGACTGACTTGACATTGGTGTTGAAAATCCGAGTGTCGTTGTTTATGCTGACCGAGTGCAGAACATTTCCAAATTTGTTTCATATTGATGCCTTTCCGATTCTGGCTGGCTGACTTTGACATCTTCATTCGTTCCGACTGCCTGTAGTTGAAACGATGCTTCCTAGATAAGTGAAGGAAGTAACCTCTGCCAAATCTCTCCCTTCGATGGTGATTGGTGCTGGATGTCGTTGCTGCCGGTGGTTGGTTACCTTCATCACCTCCATCTTCTCTATGTTCATCTGGAGTCCTGTCTTCGCTGCTCGTCACTTCTGATAGTTTGTTGATTTTCGCCTGCAAGTCTTCTAGTCTCTGCGACATTAGATATAAATCATCTGCGAAATCCATATCTTCTAGAATCTTCCTTATCGGTGATCCAGCGTATCCCTGTCTTTTCACTTCCTGTGCCCAGTCTGACGCATAATCCAGTCTACCACAATTAAGAATATCATCGGTGATAATAAGCAGCCAGCCCTGTCTTACTCCTGTATTCACTTCCTATGCCTCGCTGAGTTTTCCGTTGTGGATCACCTGACACGTAGCAGGCATTGTCATATAACCAGCTGTTGAATGAGGTTGATAAAGACTTGGGCACTGCATACCGTAGTGTTGGGGCAGTTCCAAAATCACTTATGGTCAACACTCTCTGTCGAAAGCCTTTCCGAAGTCGATGAAGTTTTTTTTATTTTTTTTATTTTTTTATTTTTGATTACAGCTTGATGCCACACCGTATTTTCAGTACAAGTATGGCATTTTCAGCATGTGTGCATCGGTAGGTATTGAACCCAACGATGTGCATGGTCGAATGTGAGGTAAAGGCTTGACTGCCATTCTATGCTTTGTTCGATAACGATGCGTACAGCCAACTGACTGAATAGTTTATTTATCTATTATTTTCGTCAATTATTGTAAAAAGTTAATTTCAGAGGGATATGTTAAATAAAAACAACCTTTGGTATGACTTCATAAATTAGTAACAATTACGAAATGAAAATACAAAGCGTTAGTGTAAACGAATTTTATAGCAATAATTGACATCTAAAGAACAGGAAAGCATTCATGCATTTTCTGATTCTCAACCCGATCAACCTTTTAAATCCCATAACCCATGAGCAACTTTACTCTTAAAATCACTTTGCATTTTGTAATCACAGTGGAACCATCGAAAAGAAAATAGAGAATGTTGAAACTAGAACATAATATTGACCTTACCACATAGGTCTGCAAAAGTTAAGTAAAAGTAAGGGAAATAGACTGTCTTGAGGAACAGTAGGTAATTGTCACTGAAGCTGGTAGTTCATGCATTCAATGAAAAACAATACTTCAATAAAGCGATTTATATATCTGAGTTTTGCACTGACAAATAACTGCACAAGACAACTTGGTGTGAAAATAATGTGGAATTCAAAGCCTCCGTAGTATTGTGGTATAAAGAAGGAACATCAAAAGCCCTACCAAGGAATCTTGATTAGGCAGGAATTAGGATGGCATTTAAACCAACCAACTCACTCAGATAAAAATGTTGTTGGCCTAACGACCCTATATATCCAATTAAGAAAAATAATATAACTTACCAAGAAGAGGAAGATAATTGTTTATCTTTCCTAGACATATTGCTTAGTCGACGGCTTGATGGGTCAATAAAAAGATCTATTTATAGAAAACCTACCTGGACAGGACAGTATCTTAATTACCACAGTTTCTGCCCTGTTCGGTACAAAAGAGCCTTAGTAAGGTGCCTCTTCAGTAGAATCCAACGAATATGCACTGAAGACACACTTGATGAAAAAGAAAGAAAGTTGACACAAACTCTGGTTGATAAAAATTATCCAGACAAGTTCATCAGGAGATATAAAGTAGTCAGAACACCAAGACCCACTCTCTAACTCGCCCCTAAGAAAGACGTGTACATCAAGCTACCCTATATGGGGCATCAAAACAGCTTGATAACTAGACAAAGACTGAACGCTGCTGTTAAAAAGACTTTTTATGCAGCTAATATCATAATAATAGAGAATGTAAAGCCAATATATCTATCTAAGCCCTTCGAACATGCGAAAAATGACGTCACATCCCACTGTATTTACCAATTTGAATGTACGTGTGGACACACATACACAGGGGAGGACTCATCGATCTCTGCAAGTAAGGGCTGGCTTCAGAGCATATTCCTAAATGGCTCCAGAAACAAATGGAATCTTCAGAACCTATTAATGGTGAGAACAGGAGACCTAGCTCCTCTATTGAGAAACATATTATAGAGACAGGACATAAAATTGACACTAACACCTATCTATAAAACGTGTTTGGGGCGTATCCTAAAGTTTGTGGAAGCCCTAGCTAATTAGAAAGTTTAAGCCACCTTTATGCGTTCAAAAGCAATTCGTCATCACATTAAACCTTCTTTGGTAAATTTTGTTTTGATACCAGAGCGTGATGTACTATTACCTCTGCTATTTGGTTTAGTGGTCTTCATTGTTATTTTGACCTTGAATATGTCCTTTTAACTTGACCTAAGTCTATTTTCTCACCTCTTACCTCTTTATTAATTTCATAAATATTCCTATGACAAGTCCGTGTGTGATCAGATTGTTCGAAATGTGTTGCGCAAATACAAGAGTACACGATTCAGACAAATTACGTCTTCTTATTGCTTTATCTAAATTCATAAAGGGAACTAATTGTTTTAAATAACTTACCAAATTTTATGCAATGACTATATGCGTCGGTGGCACAGTGGTTAGGACTCTCGCCGACCATGCACATGGTCCGGGGTTCGATCCCCTGCCGGCGCACACCCGATATCTATGGTTGGCCTGAATTTGGGCTACCGATATCCATGCTGAAAATACACACTTGTACTGAAAATACGATGTGAATCAAGCTGTAAATCAAAATAAATAAAAAATCAGTTATACACGACAAACTAGTAGATCACGGTCAGTTAGATTATCGAAACATAAGAATTGACCCTGAAAAGTTAAATTACCTATAAACACAACCATTGCAATGCATTCACTTACATGTTACCATACAGTAGGGTAGGTTAGGGTAAAAGTATTAAAAATGCAATACAGGTAGGCGGAGAGAGGTTAATCAAAGAATCTTTTTACATCGGATCAACACCAAACACATGTAATCGAAATGACACAAAGCCCCCCCCCCTCTATCTACATGAGAAGTTACAATAAGCAACAAGGCAGAGAATATATATATGTATATATAAAGCTAATTATGAGGCCATGTGAACAAAATGATGTGATTATAAGCAATAAACTGTGTTTGAAACCTCACCCAATTATTTATACCGTATCACTAATATATAAAATGAACTTACATCATATATTCATATGAACTGTGATCAAGATTTGACAGGATAGTTGCAAAATAATTGAGCGCTGAGTGAGAAGTAGACATTTATAAAATTATATTTGTAAAATCTCAGCGAAATTTTATATATAAACCTTTGTTATATTAATTTCGATTAATTTCCTTAAAGAAGTTCGGACCAGATTGCCGAACGAAACGTTGGAATTAATCATTTCGATTTCGCTGAGATTTTACAAATATAATTTTATAAATGTCTACATCATATATAATCAAAATTCCACCATGGTTCCGAACTTCTACACTTACATTAAAATGTCCGCTTTCTGTCTAGGAAATATTCCATTTCACTAAGCAACTCTTCAACCTAAGATCTCTTAAAAGTAGGATGCCTGACTCATATGTAAATAATCAGGTGAGAATTTCGGTATGATTCTTCATAATTTTTCACTTCTCCAAGTCAATGTTGAGATAATATTATTCCTTTTGTTTTGGATCCTGAAGTTCTCTGGTTGTGTCATTTAAACTTTAATAGATACACAGGTAAAGGAAGCAATCTTCCTTTGGGTCTAATGACATTCAACAAATTGACAAACTAGATTTAGTTGAGGAGTTTAACTGCGACGGAAATCAACAAGCTTGCACATATTGTTACAAGGTCTATTCCTGAAACACTTAACGAATAGATCATACAGAGCAATACTTGTGAGCTTTCTTCTTATGAGTTATCATCAATACATACCTGCTTCTTCTGACTAAATAGGTTCCTTACAAAACATATTGGTTACTCTTATGTTAAAAGATGCTGTGAATAATACTAACTATTAAGAAATTGAAAAAGTTAGTGTAAGTAAACGTCTGAACTCGCCAGAATTAATATCTCAAAACTGGTTATCATCATTTGAAAACATTCGTCACCTTTTATACACTAAAAATTTCAAAAATACAATTAGGGAAATGTAATTCCTGCTTTACTCTCATCCCTTGATTTGTTTAACTCCTTACTACATATCGAATATCCTTCATTGTACTAAAATAAAGTGTCTCACTTTGAACACTATTAACTAACTAGTTTGATGTGTCTAGTCCTTTGTTTGGTACAGATTGAATTGTATCAGTCACGTTGGCAATGTGGCCACCATTCTAGGTAGCTTGCCATCTGCAGCCTGACTGATAGAATTCAGTCTGCACCAAACAAAGGGACTAGACACATCACACTAGTTAGTTACTAGTGTTCAATCAAAATATCCAATACAGTCCTACAGTAGGTCAATCACTAGTCCGAATAGCTCAGTAGTGGTAACGTCTCTGATTGCAGTACTCACTGGGTAACGCGGGTTCGTATCTCAGAAGGAACATGAGTTTCTTCGAGGTTGCAGATACGCCTTGCTGACTGGCGAGTGCCAACTAGCACGAAACCTAGGTCAGGCTGGCCTTCCTGCCGACTACCTCTTACCATCTAATGAAGTGTCACAATTCGAATCGATATGAAACTATGTCAGTAGCAATAAATTACAGGCACCTGTCTTGTTAAAATCAGTTAGCCAATAATAACTAACGTTAAACTAAGGTTCCCTATGGTTTTCAGCCGCTGAATATCTGAGTTTTAAGCCAAATGTGACATTTCAACCGATTGACTATGCTCAAATTTGTTTGTTATAAAAGAATATGCAAAATACACTGATTTACTGCAGTTAACCCTCACAAAATAGTTATATTCTACAATTTAGTATACTCATACATATTTCTGTTTTGTTTAAATTCATTAAGAGGAATTCGTCTATGCAACCTCAGCTATATGTACCCGATGAGTGGCTTGGTGAACTGATAAACCTTATGCATAGATCACTATTTATTTTATAGATATCTTAAATGTCAGTGGGAGAATGACTTGAGTTTTCAAACATTTTCATTCATCAGAAGTTGATTGGTTGATGGTGACTAGCAGTGGAATCCAGGATTCGCATTTCGTCCTATTTGGGACCTGTCGGTTGGATGTACCTGCATTCCCCAGTGAGTGATGGTGTTCTCACTGGATCTCGAGCCCAGTGACCATAGTTTCAAACGCTAAAGTGTTATCCACTAGACCACTTGGATCACGAGAGCCACCTCTTTTGCAAAGGGCACTGGATTCGAGTCTCGGTGGGAACATCATCATTCACTGAGGAATGCAGATACATCCAGTTAGTTGACGAGTCCCAAATAGGACGAAATACGTATCCTGGATTCCACTGCTTGTCACCACCCACCAATCAACTTCTAATTAAACGCCCAGACATCGTCGAAGCATCTCCACAAGAATTTGACATGTCAACCTGATTTCGAGCACTTCGGTCCAATCAATCGATGGGAAAATCTAAAATTAAATTAAATTTTTATTCATCGCTTATGTGTATATCGAAATTTATTTTAACCCATGTTTAATTTATTTGCTTCTCAATATCAGGTGGTTCATGATCTGCTACCGTTTTTACTCATTCTGTTGGTATGTTTAATTGGATATGGTATCGCCTTCCAGTCTATTTCATTTGCTAATGGTTATTACAGTGATTATGAACAAGATAAAATGAGTAAGTATCAGCTTGTTAGATAATTTCACATTCTTTTGTTTTTAAAAACTACGTTATTGATTCATCAGTGAAATTCTTTTAGGGGGATATTATTAATGTATTTGTGCGTCGGTGGCATAGTGGTAGAATGCTGGCCAAACACGCATTTGGTCTGGGGTTCGATCCCCAGTCGACGCACTCCTTTACCTCGTTAAGCCAGTTATAAGACTGGTAAAGAGGGAAAGTTGGGCATGAAGCTAGCAACCCCATCCCGTAAAAAATAAACACCACTGCCACCGAAACTTCAAGCCTCCATTTTGAAGCCCTATGTTCCACTGGAAACGTAAAGGAATAAAAAAAATTAATGTGTCAGTGATATATCAACTTAAAACCGGAGCTTTGGCAATCCACAAAGAAAAACCTAAACCTTGCGTTCAGAAACGTTCTATACAGTCTCTCTGACTACCGTGGCCTTAGCGTCAATTTCGTTTTCCTAAATTATTGTATAACAGACTGTACGTGGTCCTTTTCGTTTCGAAAAAGTTTTATTTATGTAACCTTTTTCAGTCCTTTATTCTCTTGTTTCCTATCGATTGTCTCTGTACTGTTATCTTTCACTTAATAATTGTCAACCTTCTCGATTACATAAGATTTTTATTTATTCCTTTACGTTCCCAGTGGAACATAAGGCTTCAAGCTAGAAGCCTGAAGTTTCGGTAGCAGTGGTGTTTATTTGTACGGGATGAGTTGCTAGCCTCATGCCCAACCTTCCCTCTTTACCAGTCTTATTACTGGCTTAGCAAGGTAGAGGAGTGCTTCAGCCGGGGATCGAATCCCGGATCACGTGAGGTGTGTTTGGCGGGCATTCTATAACTGTACCACAGACGTAAGACTATCCACTATTTTGTTTTTACACATTGCCAATACTCATCCACTAATTTATCATGTTACTAAGTGAAAGTAACCTTCGACTTTTGTTGTTAATTAACATTGTATGGTACAACCCCACTAGATAAATGTACAGCTTTGAAGTGGATTTACCAAAGGATACCTTTTGCTGTCTTTATATACTTCTAACTTGAAGTAGCATTATATTGTTATTTATTATTTTTAAACTTTATTTCTAATTAGGAGTATTTTAGTAGAAGATTCCAGCGTAGTCTAGATTTAATGTTTTACATAAAATTAATCAGATTATTGTTGCTCTAGTTTGGAAGAAACTCATATTTCTTACTTACAGTCCTCCTGATGAATTTAGAAACAGAGGAATATAGACCTAATTTGTAATTCACAAAAATGGTATCTGGCTAAAAAAATTCAGCGTTCATCTGGTAAAACAACAACTAATTCAGGAAATAATTTACGAGAGGATGATTCCATTTTGAACTACTAATCAAGTGAATTAGTTCCTACTCCTCTTTTGTACAAGAAATGACTGAATATCAGACAAAGAAACTCATCAACACATGTAATCCCCCTTGTCATCAATAGTATATACACATTTATGTATTTTTTTGCATTGCCTTTTTTTACAGCTGTAGATTCGGTATACAAATCCAAACCAGGAATTCGTAGTCTATATGATGTAATGATGACATCATATTTTCAGATGTTGGGTGAATTTCGTCTGGATGACTTACAAGGGGATGGTAAGTCTATAGATCATTTCGTCAAACTCTACTAATCTTTGGTGATATTAGATGGTTGGAAGCAGTCGGCAGGAAGCCTTGTTTGACCTAGGTTTCGTGCTAGTTGGCACTCTTCTTTATTGAAATTAATAACTATGTAATTGAATATTTTAATTCTTTACGTCCTAATAGTGTAAGCACGTTACGACTATTATTATTATTATTATTATTATTTCAGCAGTACATCTCCATATCATCATGTTCGCTGCAGCCCTCTTTAGTTGAACTTACTCCACTCATACACAGTCTCCCCAATGATACCCTTGGATGCCCAACCCATCACTTCTCATTCGGGTTGCACTCGAATGGTTTCCTGACACGCGATATCACTCAACGATCTCCTCAGAGTGTGTCCGATTCATCTTCATTTTCTTTGGCGTATTTGTTGGACAAGTATATAACGAACGTATTACGAAAATAACGTTAATGCTGGTAGAATTTAGGCTTTCATCTAACCCGAATGTATATCGCTTACTGAAAGAGTGTGTAGAAGAGCACTCAATCTGCAGCTAATCATCCAGTCATAATAATAATATAAATCGGTGACAAAATAACAGAATTCGGTAAAATACAATTGTAGAAGTAATTTACAAGGGATATTTCTCTGCGTTACAGGAGGTTACACAACCTCAAAAAGAGCTAGAACATTAGGTAATATGTTTATGTGTAAATACAGATGATGAACAGTAATTAGTTTTGTCGTCAGATACAACTAAATTTCAGAGACTAAGACTTACTGTCAGTGAAACATTATGATATGTATTAGTCAAATTATTTGATATATTCTCATTTTTATTAGGCTGCTTCAAAAACCTTGTAACAACAGAAGACAAGGGCCAGGCAACAGATCGTTTATTAAGGAAAATCAACACATTTATAGATTTTAATGTACATTATTGTAGATTATTGTTAGTAGAAAATACAGTCTTTTGATTGGTTGTTTTTCACAGAAAGTTAACCTTACATCTCTTTGTGGCTGTGTCAGATCATCCAAATGCTAACTGTATCCGCCTACGCAAAGCCTTTGTTCTCATTTTCTCACCACCAATATTGGGGACATAAACATTGACGTCAATTACTGTCTACCAGCTTTGGCTAGCAGCCAGCTCTCACCACAACCTGACTTCTAGATGAATTACACTTACAGGCCTTCGGACAATATACCTCTCTCTCTATCTACCGACTAGTCTGTAAAATCAAACTACTGTCTGGATTACATTTCATTTCAACCACAGTTGGTGTGTGCAAAAGATGAGTAACCCTCCGATCACTATCACCATTATAGCTGTCCAGATTGTATGTTTATTAAAATCTCAATAAAGTTATTGGTTAATTTTACTTCAGGAAATAATCACTAATATTCAGGGGATATATGATACTGAAGAACTAACGGGTGAAGAAGGACTGAAGCTTTAAAATAAAGATGAAATTATAATGGGACCGAATTGATAGTAGGTCAGGGAATAAATTCAGTATATCGTTGTCAAAATATTCAAATAAATTATAATAAAGGTTTTTGTATTTCCCAATGAATGAAAAACAAAACGATATTGTTTTTACTGACGTTTCGCTATTTAATGCTTCTAATAGCTTTATCAAAGTATTATTAAACCGGAATTTACAAAATCTCAACATATATATAACAAACAGTTAAGGGGTGAGAAAATAGACTTAGGTCAAGTTAAAGGGTGCTTATCACATTCGTGTTGGTTTTGTCACTTGATGGGGGGAGAGAGGTGTTGTAACCAGGTGAGATTCTGTTTTAGTTCATCATTCCTATTCAGGCAATTTTGATTACACTTGATATGAAGTGCTTCTGATATTAGACGTTCTTTGTGATTTCTGAAATGCTTTTTCTGGATGATGATTTCAATATTGTCAAGATCAGTTTTGTGACCTGATTCTATAACATGTAGACAACTTATGACTGATGATTTTTGAAGCTTTTCTAGTTCAACGGGATTTCTCGGTGGTCGAAGAGATGCTCTACGGTGTTCATTTCTTCTGATTTGGATTTCTGTCAGGCGATGTTTGTCCGATGTATATCGCATCACATTCCAAGCATTTTATTTTATAGACACAATTAGATTGGTTGAAAAATTGTGGGGGATAAAGTATTTCAAATAGGACGTCATTTTGTAGAGATAAGTTAAACAACAGTTTGTACGCCGCGTACATTCCTCAACCACTGATTGAATGAATTTTGATGTACTGAGTACAACATTTATGACGAATATGTGACTCATCACTCAGTCGTGGTTTGAATGTAGCTGATTCCACTTTGATAACAAATCACGTAGAGGTTTCACTTGAAATATTACAATCAGAATGTGAAGAGTGGATTTTAATGTTAAAACACCTGTCAAGTAGGCTCTGGTTTTGAAGGGATTTTAAAATGGTAAGTGTTTGTGAATGAAGTCATCCTTCAACTCTGTATGCATATTAACATTTCTATGTATCACTCTTTGGTAGATATGTAACACTACTCTTCTTCTCATATAGGTTCATCTTGTCGTGACAACGGAAAGTGTCCTCAAATGTCTTCACGTCGTTTAACAATTATCATGTTAAGTGCTTACATCTTATTGACTCAAGTACTCATGTTCAATTTGCTGGTAGCCACATTCACGTAAGTTTAACAGGAAAAAAAGACTTAAGCCTTACCATTTTATTCACATGAACAGTAATCAAGATTTGACAGAACAATTCCCAAATAATTGGGTGCCAAGTGAGAAGTAGACATTTGTAAAAATTATATTTGTTAGCGAAATTGAAATGATTAATTCCAACGTTTCGTTCGGCAAACTGGTTCCAACTTCTTCAAAGAAATTAATTGAAATTAAAATAATAGAGGTTTACATATAAATAAAAAGGACATCTCTTGTATTTTAAGAACTGAATGCTATACGAGCTTGCCTTGTAACGAGAAGGTCCTGGGTTCGAAACCCACCCAGTAGGTGTGTACTACCAATGATTCTCAAACTAGGGTGAAATAGCTGTCCAGTACTTCAGTGCTTGTTTTCAGTGGTACTCTAACTGATATCAGTCAGTGATCAGACTCGTAAAAGCAATAATATAAGTCATGAAACAGGTATCAGCATGTATAATAAAGAAAATTTCATGAATTTTGTTCAAAATTTGAACTCAGACTTCCAAAATTGGTCTACTTTTGTTGAACACTTTAAACGGAGTATGCTTTTATGATAAATATTTAAACTAATCCCAGTATGTTAAGAAAATCAACAGATTAATATCAGTAAAAAGTTTAAATCAACAGAGTGTACTTTTCATCAGAATTTTAGTGATTACTTTCGACTAAAAGTTCATAGTCGTAGATAACTGAATATGAAAATATATGTGTATATGCGGTATACAATGGTGTGTATGTATATGTAGGTGGGTAACAGCCGTAAAACATTTGTTAGCCTCTCCATTAGAAGAAATAAACAATCGGGAATTTAGATCACATATGACTAATTAATAATACATATTCATTTTTTATTTATTAATTTGGATTTGCCATGCATCAGCTAACATCACACCTTCACGTCTGTTTAAACTTTTGGGATTCACCCATATATGCAAAGCTTCTGCAGTCAGTCTTTCTTTATACGAACCAAAACCTTTCTGTAGAACCTTAGTCCTGTCAAAGTCGATTTTGTGTCCTGTTTCTGTCGAATGCAGTGCAATCACTGATCTGTTTTCTAGCTTTTTTAAGTCTTCAGAGGCCTTTGGAAACACCTTTAGACATTGTTTATGCTCTTTCACGCTTATATTTACCTGTCAGGAAGTTTCTCCTACATATACTGTGTTACAGTTCCCACAATTGATCTGGTACACACAATTCTGTTAGTTGTCTTCTCCTATTTTATCCTTAACCTTCACCAGTGAAGAGCGTAAGGTGTTAATTGCGTGTGTTAATTTCGACTAATTTCCCTGAAGAAATTCGGACCAGTTTGCCGAACTAAACGCTAGAACTACTCATTTTACTTTCGCTGAGATTTTTCAAATATCTTACCGTTTTTTTCCTTCACGTTCCCAGTGGAACATAGGGCCTCAAGCTAGTGACTTGAAGTTTTCGTAGCAGTGTTCAGTTTTTACAGGATGGGGTTGCTCATGCCTCATGCCCAACCTTTCCTCTTTACCAGCATTATTTCTAACTTAAGGAGGTAAAGGAGTGCGTCGGCTGGGGATCGAACCCCGGACCATATGCATGGTCGGCGACCATCCTCACCGCTGTGCCACCGACGCACATCTTACCCTTTTAGTTTATAATAAATTATTTGACTTGTCATAGACTCATTCGAAGTCACTTTGTGTCACACTTTTACAATATCTTATTTATTTGTATAACTTATCGATGATTTCATCTTTAAATAAAATACAAAGGTTGTGTGATGCTTTTGTCATCTCTGTCTGACTGCTGAACACTGTTGATCATGATTGGTCTTGTAGAATTCATATTAAACACTAGTACATACAATCAGACTTCATCAACCTGAAACCAGTTTGGAAATATTTTGCACTCTCTCTCTCAGTATAAACAACAAGATTCGGATTTTCAAAACCAATGTCAAGTCGGTCAGTACTTCTATGTGGGTCAAAAACTTGCACTGCGTGTCACGAAAAGGATTTCTAACAGGTTAAAGACCAGCTACCACTTTAGCTGGTTGGCTCCATACTGAAGATCGAATGGCCGGCCAGCCAGAAAGAATTAGAAACAAAAAACTCTAGCTGGAAACAAACCAACCAAGACCCGATTGCTCAACAAATATGTAGGAGAAAATGGAGATGGATCGGGCTTACATTGAGGAAACCGTCGAATGACATCGCGCGCAATGCAGGCCATGGCTATAGTGTAATCAAAACAGGAATCGACGAGCGGGTCGTCGGTGCAAGTCTGCTTTGGAGGAGATCGTGTGGCGAGGAGGAGATGAGAGATTGTGGGCAACAGTGGTCCAAGCTGGAGAGGATGGTAGAAGACAGGACAAGGTGGAGATATGTTGTTGAAGCCCTATGTTCCACCCGGAACCCAAGGGAATAATTATAATAAACATATAATCAGTTTTTTCAAGTTATGTCCAAAGTAGTGATACAGGGGATTGTGAACACACTTTCCTTTGTTATTAAGGCATATGGGTAGATGTGGAGCCAGGAGAAAACGTTGGCGGAGAACCCAACGCATTGGAGACGTACTGTTGAAGCCCGATGTTCTTCTAGGAACTAAAGGAGATAAGAATTATATCATATATCTGGGCGTAAACTATTTCAAATACCTTACCACCTTTTCTTTCCTCATCTCTTGCCTCCTACAGAAATTGCCAGTAGAAAATAAAACTAGTCTTGGATGACGGTTTCAAATCCTTAGTAAAATGTATTGAATATTAGTCATTACTATGTAGTAGTAGACTATTATGTGTTTGTAAGTGTGCCTAGATGATGAACGATGGCATGTATAGCCCACTGGTGAAACGATGCTAACTGCAAAATGTCTTCACTTAAGCAACATATTATGGAGCAAATGACAATGGTGAAAAATAAAACACGTAGTTCAGTGAAGAGTCTCTTTTCGGCGGCGAATTCATTCACTTATCTGTACAATCGCTTTGTCGTCTCCTTTGTATTGCTAAAGCTTTAGTCATTCAGTTGGAAAAACTAATGTATACAAAAGAAAATCATTCAACTACTTCTACTATCATGGTAACAACCGTGTTGATTTATACTCACTTGATGTTTGTGTGCCTGCTCTTCTAGCTCCTTATAACTCTTGTATTTCTTCACAACTCTTACATAATTCCGTATTTTCCTTCGTTTTTATGTACTTCCTAATCAAAACTCGTTCATTAGACTATTCATCTGATTGCGTGACCGCAGTACACTTATTCAGCTTCTCTTATGCATTGACTAACATTAACAGCTATTTTTGACAACTCATCACCACTACCCCCATAATAATCTTCATCGCCTCAGTTACAGTTTAATTATCCATCACATTTTTTGAAATATTTTGATAACATTAAACAACAACCTTAGCTAATTTTTATTCTTGTCTGACAAAGCTAATGTATACACACATGCCCCCCAAAAAAACTATATATAATTGCGATTGTACAGTAAAGTTAATGAATTAGCCGCCGAAAAGAGACACTTCGGTGAACTACGTGTTTTGTTTACAGGAATTCATCATGAGCTGACATTAGTTAGAGAACCATTGGAAAACCTGGGAGTACTGGACTGCTAGCTGTTTCGTCCTGGTTTGGGACTCTTCAGCAGTACGCACCCACCTCCAGGATTCGAATCCTGGACCTTCTAGTTACAAGGCGAGCTCGCATACCATTAAGCCACTGGGACCCGATTCAATGGCCCATGAATTCTAACTTCTGCCAATTCACGACATAGCGCGACCCCTAGCCAATGTCTTTGGCGAGTATTTGTCCTCACACCCAACCTGCTGCACTCTACTGGTCACGACTTCCCACTAGAACCCCAGGTAACTACCTACCTGAATAGGGCAAGTCGCTAGTGAGCACCTCATTGATATTCAAGTGTTGGTTTGTAGGGGTTTGATTGGTTACAGGAATTCATCATGAGCTGACATTAGTTAGAGAACCATTGGAAAACCTGGGAGTACTAGACAGCTGTTTCGTCCTAATTTGGGTGCGTATTGCTGAAGAGTCCCAAACTAGGACGAAACAGCTGTCCAGTACTCCCAGGTTTTCCAATGGTTCTCTAACTAAGGTCAGCTCATGATGAATTCCTGTAACCAATCAAACCCCTACAAACCAACACTTGAATACGTGTTTTGTTATTCATTATTTTTCTGAATGTGGATTAATCATGAAGTAAATGACAATATGAAATTTCATACATCTTGGCCAGAAACCACTACATTGTTGAAAAGAAGTTTTAGGCGTTGATATACTTGCTAAGATGTTATATATATGTGCAAGCAGTTTTGCTCAGACAATACTTCATAATCTCTTCTGTTCATATTAACCCCTTCTTTTTCCAATTTTTAAGATCAACATACAATGAAATTGAAGGATCCGCTCAATACTTTTGGTGTTATCAACGTTATGAAATGATACAAGAATTTGTTGACAGACCGTCTGTTGCACCACCATTTATGTTACTATGGTATTCAGTAGAATTCACAGGCTTTTTATTCAATGTAATTAGCAGTGCACTATGTGATCGTGCTGTTGAAGAGATTAAAGACGATGATCCGTTTTGTAAGTTTTTTGTATGATTTCTGTAAATATTATACACCTTGAAAACATGTAATCATTCTTAGCACTATTGTTATGTGTATCTACCAGTTTGACTGCAGCTGCAGAGCTAGCTTCATTGGGCATACAATTAGGCAAGTTCATCATCGTATTTCCGAACATCATCGAGCATGGTTAAGCACGGAAAAAACAAGATCTATCCGTAGCTCCATTTTAGTACACCTTGTAGATGGTGAGCATTTAGAGTCATTTGTCGCATGTCCACTAATTTTAATTTTGCTATACCAGTTCGTCTTCTACATACAGCTGAAGCAATAAGAATCCACCTGAAGAAGCCAAACCTGTGTGTTCAGAAGAAATTTGTACAACCACTTTCTTTACCTCGGCCATCGTTACATGAATGTATAAACCGGACTACTTCGTCCCCCTCCTCCTAAACCTTTAAAAATTATAATTGTCCAGACTATTTTATTATTTTTCTGACTACTTCAACTTTAACAACAAGTTATTATTGTCCAAATCGCTTTATTTTCCTCAAGCAATCTGTTACGTAACCAACTTGAGCACATGCTTACTCCCCAATTACTCTTCATTTTTCCCAAATTATGCATTATGCAACCCACTTGTTGTGACCATTTCTACCTTTTAATTGAGTGTATTAATTTTTTCGTTAATTATCACCCGATCGACATGTTGATACTGACTAATTATTGTTAACAAACATATCGTCACTTGATCGGTAAGTTGTTGTGTATTGTTAAAAAAAATGCTATATATATTAGAGTAGAGCCAGAGATGAGGATCTAATTGAAAAGTATATATTTCTTCGCTCAATCCTTTTGCTTTCTAAATTTAGTAAAACATGAAAAGCTTTGAGAACAGATAATAGTTTGAGCTAGAAACCTTTGTTACTTTATCATTACTGATAGGTTTATTATTTAACTGACATTTGCATTATACTACTGAAAAAAGCAACTACTACTATTGGAAGAAGCAACCTCCTTTACCTATCTACCTACCTACCTACCTGGGAAGCATCGTTTCAACCACAGGCGGATGGAACTGATGAGGATATCAATGTGAGGATCGGAAAAGCAAGACAAGCTTCCACTACTCTCAAGTCTGTGTGGAAGTTAGCAGCACTCAGGATGAAAAATAAGATCCGGATTTTCAACTCCAATGTCAAGTCAGGGCTACTTACTATACGGATCAGAGACTTGGCGCGTCATGAAGAGCACTTCGAACAAACTACACACCCTCATCAACAACTGTCTCCGTTCAATACCACTCAAGATCAGATGGTTGGCCAGAAAACACCAGCAACAGAGATCTCTGGGAGCAAACGAACACAGCAGGAACTAATTATGCAACAAATAAGCAGGAAGAAATGTAGGTGGATTGGCCATACTCTGAGAAAACCATCAAGTGACATCACACTCCAGGCCATTGCTCGATTGAAACCCGAACGGGAAGCGGCGAGTTGGTCGTCAGTCAGAGGGTGACATGGAGGAGGTCATGTTATGAGGAGGTGAAAGCATGTGGGCAGATGTGGAGCCAAGTGAAAACGTTGGCGGAGAACCGAACGCAATGGATACGTGCGGCTGAAGCCCTATTTTCCTCTATGAACTAAAGGAAACAATAATATAATTATGAACTGAAGAAAGCATGAATAATTAGAAACTGCTTAATATGGACAATATTCATACTCATTAGTGATAAACATGATTAGTCAATAAATTTTTATCAGAAATGATAGCTACTTTTAACAAGGACTACTTTAACTATAGCGTATTAACTGAAAACTCCTCACCTTATTTAGGTATTTCAGTTACGAAGAATTAAGGTATTCATTTGGGGTTTATATATATTTAATAATTGGTCAGCAGTTCCATTAAAATAAAAATGACATATCTTTGAATTATAATAGATATTACTATGAATTGTTGACTGAGTTATGTGATATTTACAGTTTAAACAAATATAATTTGTGAGATTTCGATAATTGATTTAGCCAGAAGTAGCTATAATTCATATATATATATATATATATTCCTACTCTAGAACTTTTCTTGGAAAGTTTTAGAATAGCGGAATAATTGAAATAAGACAGGTTGTGAAAGTTATATCCTATAGAAAATCAAAACAAATGATTCAGCGAAGAGATTCTTTTCAACGAATTTATCATCAAGCTGTACAATCGTATATATACATATATATACATGGTTTTTAAGAAGTTATTTCCGGTGAAGGAATTAAATCGTAGGTGTGAATGCATAAACTAATAATAATGATAATATGAAATGCAATTAAAACTAAAATGTTTGTGATTATAATCGTAGTTAAATGTCAAGTGGCAAAGCAAATTAATGTCATATATAGAATAATTCATAGGATGGATAGAACTTGAAAAAGGTGTGCAATTATAAGATTAGTAGACGAATCGAATAAAATAAAAACGTTACGTAGTATTGTGTGAAATTTAATAGCATAGAATTTAATGTTGCAGAATGGAATTGATTTAGAATGACATGTGGAACAAGTGAAATAATACCGGGGACAATGAAGAGTGAGAGTAGTAATAGTAACAATTGACTTAATAAGGAAGAGTATACAAATTGAATAGACAAAATTGAAAAAATGAAAAAATGACGAATTGGTAGAGCTAAAATATGATTGGGGATTACTATACTTCAGCATAGAGGGATTAAGACCATGAAAGTTGGAGGGGTTGAATGAAGCGATAATTGAACATCTGGTCGATGATGATCACCCTATCTCTATAGCCTCCGCCTTTAAAGTCATCTACAAGGCAAAGAGTAATTTACCCAAATCCCTACGTACCCGACTCATCTGTATTGCCGAAGCTTTGGCTATCGAAACAGAAAAGCCAGATCTCTGTGTACAGAAGAAGTTCGTTCAACCCCTCCAACTTTCATGGTCTTAATCCCTCTATGCTGAAGTATAGTAATCCCCAATCATATTTTAGCTCTACCAATTCGTCATTTTTTCATTTTTTCAATTTTGTCTATTCAATTTGTATACTCTTCCTTATTAAGTCAATTGTTACTATTACTACTCTCACTCTTCATTGTCCCCGGTATTATTTCACTTGTTCCACATGTCATTCTAAATCAATTCCATTCTGCAACATTAAATTCTATGCTATTAAATTTCACACAATACTACGTAACGTTTTTATTTTATTCGATTCGTCTACTAATCTTATAATTGCACACCTTTTTCAAGTTCTATCCATCCTATGAATTATTCTATATATGACATTAATTTGCTTTGCCACTTGACATTTAACTACGATTATAATCACAAACATTTTAGTTTTAATTGCATTTCATATTATCATTATTATTAGTTTATGCATTCACACCTACGATTTAATTCCTTCACCGGAAATAACTTCTTAAAAACCATGTATATATATGTATATATACGATTGTACAGCTTGATGATAAATTCGTTGAAAAGAATCTCTTCGCTGAATCATTTGTTTTGATTTTCTATATGTTACAATGGGAATTTTCCATCATTTAAAATGTTATATCCACCAGAAATCGTTCAAATATTTTATAAGACTTTGAAACAACGGTCTGTCTGATAACATCATTATATTACCCGGTAGAGTGATCCTTCCTTCATTGTAACCGGAATACAACAGTTAACTTAAAGTGTGTTATTACATTTGCTGTACTAAAATTAGCTTACTGAAATTTTGTGAGTCACTGTATGACACTAAGAGGTTAACTGATGCATATATACACACCGTTATCACTTTACAACTTTTTTCCATATTATAAGTGTTATGACCTGCGAACTTGGGTAAAGTCTAACGTACTATATTAAATAGGAGATTTTTACGAGTTGATCACTGATTGATATCAGTTAGAGAACCATTGAAAACCAGGGAGTACTGGACAGCTGCTGTTTCATCCTAGTTTGGGAATCATCCGCAGTACGCACCCACTGGGATTCGAACCCACGACATTCCGGTTACAAGGCAAGCTCGTATACCATTCAGCCACTGGGACCCGATTCAATGGCCAGTCCATGAATTCTAACTTCTACCAATTCGTGATTTAGCGCGACCCCAACCATTGTCGTTGGTGGGACATCCATCCACACACGTGGCTGAATGGTATACGGGCTTGCCTTGTAACCGGAATGTCCTGGGTTCGAACCCCAGTTGATTCAAAAACTAGGATGAAACAGCAGCTATCCAGTACTCCCTGGTTTTCAATGGTTCTCTAACTGATATCAATCCATGATCAACTCGTAAAAACATAACTAACCATTACAAACCAAACTATAGAAAATAGGAGATTTATCTGGTTATGTAAGCCTATCGCCCTTATCCAACTCCTTTTATATTTGATTAATATAAAAAAAACTATGCTCATCTCATTGCTGCCATCCTCTTTAGGGATAAAGTTAAACATAAATGCAACTTCACAGCTAAAGTGAGTGAAATCACCTAAAAGGATTTCTTATCTGAGCTACTTCTTTTGCTTTTCATCAATCCCCATAAATGCCTGTGTTTGGCCAACGAAACAAGAACTAGTACAAAAATAATTAAATAGAATGTTTCCCCTCATCATTTTCAATTGAAATAATGACGACTTGAAGTTAACTTGATTACGTGAAAACAAAATTATTCCAAACGTGTATAACTATGTTAGCATATAACCTCAAGTTATGATTCTTAGTATATATAATTGTTATATAACTTAATGAGCACTTCATAAAGCGATCAAAATATTAAACTCTAATTAAGAACCTCAGTTGTAGCTCTGACATGTACCCGTCGCCAATTTTAATATGACCGTTAATACACTTGTTAGTTTCGCTAACATATCTCCTACCTAGCCGATTCGCGAGCCTATAGTTCCAACCACCATTAGCAACTATAACTACAACACAACACACCAAAAATGCGACACAAAATAACAAGAAGAGAAAACTGACTGTTGACGTGGAGAGCTTCCACTGTCTCGTATCAACATCGAAATTGATTGACAGCGCTTGCATGTGTATATGCTTCAAAATGACCATGAGCGACCTTAGTGACATTGGTAAATTAAAACAGTCGACAACCAAAAGGTTTTCAAAGGTAAAAAGTGGAGATCTTTATAACAATCTCTTTCCATAAGGTAATCAATTTGTGAAATTATGAAGGATTCTTAAAACTTTTGGGCATTACATTCCGCTCAGTGTGAACTCAGTTGCCTTTCTTGATAATCATACATGATATGTTTCGCTCGTTATTATTTATTTGTTCGATTTCGCGTTGCAGGTCGAAGTTTACACAATAATGTGGCATTGGATAGAAAACTTACGAAGTGGGAGCATATGATGGGTACTCGACGTATCAAAGCTGACACAGATGTAGGCGGTGCTCGTAAGTGGACTGGAAGATCTCGTGGTGATACTCATGCAATTGTATTACGGTCTGCTGCAACTGGAGGTGTAACAGCCGGCAAAGGATTAGTTGCAGGCGGAGCTGGTGGTCATGGAGATGTTTCTGGGGAACCAGGATCTATACTGGAAGGAATCGGTCCTATATTTGGTCCAGAAACTGAATTCATTGAAGACAGATTTCATGAATTGGGTAATCAAATCAGTAGACTATCAAATTTTGAAGAACGTCTAGGAAAACTAGTTCAAGGTGTCAATCGTGTAATGACTATAGTAAAGGATATAAATGAACAGCAGAAGAAGGTATGAATTTTTGCTTAAGTCTTTATTGTCCACTGTCATCTATTCTGTGATATATTAAATCAAGGAACTTTAAACTTGAGTTGAATTTATTAGAAATGCTACAACATTATATATCATTGTAATAAAACCATTAGTGTATTTAACCTTCCGTTTCGTTGTTTTTAATAGTGTTGGGAAGTGACCAGCTAGCATTCAATAGGATGACTAGTATACAGTTGAAACTATCTGTTTCAAATGAAACTGGGCATGAGGGACACTTTCAATTCAATAAATAAAGGTTTCAATAGTTAGTGAAATAATAAGCAGAGTTACTCGACTGAAAAATAGAACTGGCAGAAGTTAGAATTCATGGACTGGCGATTGGATCGGATCCTACTAGCTTAATGGTCTACGAGCTAGCTCGCTAGACTTGTAATCAGAAGGTCCTTGGTTCGAACCCCTGTGGCAGGTGCGTACTGATGAAGAGTTCCAAACTAGGCTGACGAAGCAGCTAGCTGTCTAGTACTCCCTGGCTGGTTTTCCAATGGTTCTCTAACTGATGTCAGCTCATGATGAAATCCTCTAACCAAAGAAATCGAAAGCATAAAAGAAAAAAGAGTTCATGTGTTATATTCAATCACTGGATAATAGTCGAAGTCTTGGCATTAACTATACCACTCTCATAGTTTGCTAAGATGGATATGGATGGTTAGCAGTAGTCTTTGATAGACATACTGAAGCTATTCATATGCTAAATTGATTGCCGAGGACAACAATTCCATTTAATTGGATAAGTGCTAGCTTCGTTCATAGGGGCTTATTTAACTATAGAACTGATATGTATGCTACTCTTGTCTATAATAAGCGTCTGGCTAGTCTCACGATCATTGATCGGAGCAGCTGTGCTTACTTGTGCATTAATATATGTGCTAATGGTACGAATGATCCAGTAGAGAAGAGGGTTATCAAGTGGTTGTGTCACTGGATGACACTGCATGCCGTTATGGTTTTGCAATAGGATGGGATAACTATGTTTGATTCTCCTGAAAGTCAGCGTATAACTGCCTATTCACTGGATGTACTATTATTTGAATAGACTGTTTGATCTTGCCAGTAGTCATATGCTTGTTTCAAAGATTAAGTAATGCATATTTAAGTGCAATCAATAAGTACTAATAATTTAATATGCCTTATTTTATCAGTAAAAACTTCATCATATGACAGCATTAATTCCAAAGAATATGAAACAAGAATGTTAGAAAAAGACTGTTCAAATTAATTTGCTCATATTTGCGAAATATACTTAGTCGGTAGGACAGCACACATTAATGAACATATGTTAGAGAACCATTGGAAAACCTGTAGGGAGTACTGGACAGCTAGCTGCTTCGTCAGCCTAGTTTGGGACTATCCAGCAGTACGCACCAACCGCAAGGGTTCGAACCCAGGACCTTCTGGTTACAAGGCTAGCAAGCTAGCTCGTAGACCATTAAGCCACTCACTGGGACCCAATCCAATGACCAACCAGACCATGAATTCCAGCTTCTGCCAATTCATGACATAGCGTGACCACTTCGCGATGTCTTCTTCGATGAGTTACTGCCTCACCCTCGACCTCCTGCACCCTACTGGTCATGGCTTCCCAATAGAACCCCAGGTCACTGCCTGAATAGAGTCAGTCGCTATTGAGCATCAGATTAATTTTCAAGTATCGGTTTTGTAGGCATTTTGTTTGATTGAAATCCTCCAACCAATCAAAACAATCTCTACAAAACCAATCCTTGAAAAAAAATGAAAATCTATTGAGTTAAGTCCCCAGTTAAGGTCAATAAATCAGGTTAATTAAATAATTGTACAACGTGTAACTCCCTCCTTCCCTCCACATATTCTCTGCAAATTTCAACTAGGCTTATTTCTGTTTGACTGGCAAGAGGAGCCCTATATACTTCTTCCAGAATCTAACTACATCTGAAAATTAACTAGAAGCATGCGTACTTTATAATACTTGAACCTCCGTTGTCAATGTTTCGGAAAATATAATCGTTCTCACAAAGGTCGTGAACGGAAGCAGACGATGGAGATACCATCAGTAATTAGAGCAATTTGAAAGTTGAAAAATCAATTTATTCGGGATTATCATGGTGTTCTTTTTGTTAAATGGTATAAACATCGTATGCTCCTGGACCACTATTATTATTTATTGCGTCAGTGGCACAACGGTTAGGGCTCTCGCCGACCACGCACATGGTCCAGGGTTCATTCCCCTGCCGACGCACAACTGATATCAATGGTTGGCCTACAAAATTTGGGCTATCGATATCATATGCTGAAAATTCCATACTTGTACCGAAAATACGGTGTGGAATCAAGCTATAATAAAGAAAGCATCTAATTAGTATTTCATTGTATCTTTCCATATCCTAATTTTCTGTGGAAAACTATGAAATGAAACCACAATAAGACATTCAGCACCCCTAGCTGCATGGCTCATGCCATATCCTTATAACAGTCACTTTGTCTATCCTATTTTTGCCAACACTATTTAAAATACTCACCAGACATGTGGGAGGTCTGATTTCGATTCCTAGATGACGCACTCCAAAAACCTCCCCTAGTTTGCTAGTCTCTAGTTAGCCAAGAAAAAGAGGGAGGGTTGATCTCTAATCTTCCAACCCCACTATGTGAGACGACATCACTGTTGGAGAAACTTCAATGGTTGAAGCCCCATATTTCACTCAGAACGCAAAAGAATGAGAAAAAACGGAAAATACTCATGATATATGAAATTTTTCAACTGACAGAGACCAGAAACCATGAACCAGTGAAATCTGAAAACTTATATGATAAAATATACACTGATGGGTTAAATAATTTGAAGTTGGTAATTTAGTTTGTATTATCACCCTGTTAAATTATACTTTTGCTTTTATTTATCAAATTTTAGGCGATCAAATGTTTAAATCCAGGCAATGGCAAACGACTTGTCGGTTGGGGTAAAAGTAAGAAAGACACTCAAAATCAGCTGGTGAAAGCAGTCTGTGCAGCTGTCACAGGCCTTGATTCACACTGTACAATAATCGAAGAGAAGATTGAAGAAAAGTAAGACTATGTAGAAATATGTATAGTGAAGTTAGCACTTCATCAAATAAATCTTTCAGACTGTAAACTAATCAGATGTACTCATAGAGTTCACCCTCAGATCGGATCAGTAGAATGAGAATATCTTCTCATTTCAAATATAGTTCAGCTGAAAATTAATTTAGCTTTACACCCTACTATAGAGGCAAATAATTTTCATTATACTGATTGGTCAACCGGAGTAACCAGTGATGCTATGTACTACTGATCGGTTGATATAAGTAGTACAAGCTAGCCAGATCGTAGTGATCTAAACATGTAACGGCTGTTTCACTCGTCTGTGACCGAGATTGTCTGCCGTTTACGTGGTTTGACCCAGCTTAAACAGCTGAATAAGTCTGAACCTCCTAATGCTGGCCAGCTATGTGGCCAACTGGTTAAACATAGAATTGAATTCATATGAACTGTGATCAAGATTTGACCGAATAGTTCCGAAATAATTGGGCACCGACTGAGAAGTAGACATTTGTAAAAATTATATTTGTAAAATCTCAGCGAAACTGAAATGAGTAGCTCCAGCGTTTAGTTCGGCAAACTGGTCCGAACTTCTTTAGGGAAATTAATCGAAATTAACATAATAGAGGTTTATGTATAAATAAAAAGGACATCTCTTGTTTTTAAAAATTTGTGGAATCGTATGAAACAGGTATCAACATGTATAATAAACAAAATTGTATGAGCTGTGATCAAAATTTGACCTCAGACTTATAAATACTGGTCTACTTTTGTTAAACACTTCAAACAGAGTGTACTTTTTATCAGATTACGTTCGACTAAAAGTTCATGGTCGTAGATAATCAAATTTGTTATTTGAAAGTTTAACAATGTCATGTATCTAGCCCTTAGTTGTACTGACTGAGTTCTGTCAGTCAGTTCGCAATGTAAATATCAATCTGAGAGATTTTCTACAGCGATGAATCTTTTTAGTTAATGTTATGTGGTTGGAGGCATTCAGCAAGAAACCCTGGACCTAGACGTCGTGCTTATGAGCACTCTTCTTCAACTACCTTGAAATTCAGACCTCCATCACCGAGTACCCTCTTCGTAGACGTCACCACTAACCAATTTCTACCCAAGATTGACTTCATGTACCATTGTAATATTCACAATGAGTGGCCACTATCTATCCTGCTGTTGACCCGAATAGCCTAGTAGTAACATCTCTGACTGTGGCACTTGGTGAATCTTGGGATTGAATCTCACTTAAGAAATCAGTCGCTTCCAGGATGCATATGTGCCTTGATGACTAATGCTTACAGACGCATAACCTATGTTCAGAGATTCCTACTGACTTCTTCCAACTGTCAAAAAAATACTTGATGACATCCATTTGGATTGAAATTCCTTAGTGATGTGATGTTAGTTTAGTTTAGTTAGGATTACTGGACAGCTGTTTCGTCCTAGTTTGGGATTCTTCATCAGTACGCACCCACAGGGATTCGAACCCGCCGACTGGCCCTATTCAGGTAGGTAGTTACCTGGGGTTCCAGGGGGAAGTCGTCACCAGTAGGGTGCAGCAGGTCGGGTGTGAGGACAAATACTCGCCGAAGACATTGGCTAGGGGTCACGCTATATCGTGAATTGGCAGAAGTTAGAATTCATGGTCTGGTCATTGGACTGGGTCCCAGTGGCTTAATGGTCTACGAGCTAGCTCGCTTTGTAACCAGAAGGTGGTGGGTTCGAACCCTAGTGGTGGGTGTGTACGGCTGAAGAGTTCCAAACAAGGACGAAACAGCTGTCCAGTACACCCCGGTTTTCCAATGATTCTCTAACCAATGTCAGCTCATGATGAAATCGTGTAACCAATTAAGCAAATCTTTGAGTTTTGGTATCAGCACTAAAAAAATGAAATAAAATTTATCTATTCTCTCTTTCATGCAGTCATTACTAACTACTATTCCTTTTTGAGATACGAATGAAACACTGAACTCATTAAAAGAGGATTTCAGAGTTGGTGAATTATTTTATTGATTTATTCTGTGATGTAACTATGAGAACTAATTAGTATGACAAGAACCCAATGATAAAATGACTGGAAATAAAAACAGTTTTGTAAACTCCCTTCTCTTCTAATGGTATTAATCAAGTAATATTTTCGTATTTCCCACAGATTAAGAATTGAAGAACAATGCGTAAAAGCTATTTTGACCCGAAGTAATGGAGAAGAACCTGAACCGGATACAGTTCTTACACCACGCAAAGGACCACCATCGCGTAATCCACGTGCAGCACCAGCATCAGGAAAAATTTTTGAACGTCTTATTCTAAGTCATCGATTATGGCGGATAGTTCCATTCAACTTTGAAATCTATCCTGGGATTCGAATGAATGTACCCCCAGATAAATTGAACTGGAAGGTAAGTTGTTCAAGAATTAGTTAGGCGCGCTTGTTGTACTCTGTATTTTCGTAAGCTTTAAAGTGTTTCTTATAAGAAGTTGATACTGGTGAGAAAGCTGTGAGAAGCATGGAACAGTGGACCACAATCCACCTTTATTCATGTAGCTAGATTTTGCTCAAGTATTCCATATTTTGTTAATTACTCATAGTCTTGAATCTTGATTCAAGGACTGAAGCTAAGACAAAATAGTGATTCCATTGTGGGTAAAATTTATTTTGATAAAATCACACAGTGTTATCCAGCAATATTTACTAATGACCACGTTTCGAACACAATGCATTGTGTTGAGTATAGATTCTATGAACAAAGATTCAGTTATCAATCAACCACCTCTCTCTCCACCAACCTACATTATTTCTTAGAATTTTAACCCTCTCCCACCCCATTATGCGGTTGTGGGTTAATGCATGCACTGTAATTGCTGAGGATTTTTTCAATCATTCTAACCTTAGCTAAATTCTTCTGTTCTTACAATCTGGCTTCACTCAACCTATTAGTTTCACCTATGTAGTTGACCTCACTCACAGTCATTGCAAAATATTTTGTAAATTATATTACTTTGTCTAACTGGGTCAACCGAGAAGGTCCTTTAACCTACAGAGCTTATCCCACCTGAGCGAGTTTGTAACTTTGAATGCCACTCTAATTCCTGCTTTATTGAGAATCCTGCGTAGGGTCTCAAATGTCCCATCCCACCTTATCTGGTAAAACTGTAGATGCCTTATATTCTCTCTTATTTATGTCATCATTATCAGTTTCACCATTATTTTTGTCTTGCTTTTGACCTTTGATTTTATTTTACAATCTAAGAAAGCTAATTTTCCTTGTTCGTTTTCCAATTCTAATGTGAATTTTATTCCCTTTACTAGTGAGTTTACACGCGTTAAGATGCTAGACATATGTTCTGTTTTTGACACTGTGAGTTAAAGTGTCATCCACATATCTCCACCATATTCTTGGAGTAGGATAAAATGTATTAAGAGCAATATTTTCCCAGCTGTCCATAGAATCTACACCCAACGAGCGCAACAGCAATCACTGATCAATCATAACGGAAATATGGAAAATACTACTACCAATCAAATCAAGCGATGACAAATAATGGAATTATATATTTTTGATTGCACACTAGTCAGTAACTAGTGTAATGCGTCTAGTCCTATCTTCGGTGCAGACAGAATTCTATCAGTCATGTTTGCAATGTGGCCACCATGCTAGGTCAATTCAGTCTGCACCGAAGATAGGACTAGACGCATTACACTAGTTACTAACTAGTGTGCAATCAAAAATATCCAATACAGTTCTACAGGAGGTCAGTCGCGAGCCTGAATAGCTCAGTGGTAACGTCTCTGACTGCAGCACTGGGTGACGCGGGTTCGAATCTCAGAAGGGACATGAGTTCCTTCAAGGTTGCAGATATGCCTTGCTGATGAGTGCCAACTAACACGAAACCTAGGTCCAAGGCTTCCTACCGATTGCCTCCAACCATCTAATACCAATGGAATTATATGGACGAAGTTAGAAAGTTGTGTGAGTAGTGCCTTGATATGATTATGAGTGGCAATAAATTGTTCCCGAAACGTGATCATCAGTAAATATTACTGTATAACACTGTATGATTTTATCGAAATAAATTTCTTACCCATAATGGAATTATACCACTGTCTACCACAGTGCACAAGTTCTATTCTTATAACAAAATAATGACGTCATCACTTCTTATACGATAAAGGTACTTCATAAATGAATACACAGATCTGGTTTACATTTTTCCATCTTAGTATCACGCAACAGTTAACTTCACTGAGTTTATTTAAGTGAGCCAAAGTCTTGCCTGGTTGCTGGGATGATAATAGGTCATCGATTCAATATATTATAAATGTATTTGAACAAAGCAAGAAAAACAGTTTTGGCAGAATAAAATGGTACCACTTTTTATTTCGTTGCCTTCTCGTCAGTTGCTTACAGGGCAAAGACATTATAAAATGTATCTACAACAAACAATTTTAACATACTTGCACAGAGCTCATTTTAAACAAAAATCAATCGATCAATATACGCAAACACTAATAATATATATATATGCATTATTAAACACTATTCCGAACAATAATAATCATACACAATGAAAACTTTTCAGCATCTCGCATTCGGATGAAAAATATCTAGTTACCAGGGCAAAGAAAGACTGATAACCAATTCTTTCTGGACGCATAAATCAGGTTTCAGGCGCTTAATGGAAATGGCTTCAGCAAACTTGAGGAGAATTGAGCTCTTTACCTTATTGATAATTTTGAACGACTTTTCGACGTCCACCTCATGACCCATGTCGAGGAGATACCTGGCCATGACACTGTTTAAAGCATTTGTTCCCTTTAGACGTAAGCTTTTTGGTACATGTTCAGAAAATCGTAGATATGCCCCTCTTTCTTTTCCTCCAATGTAACTGCTCCCGCAGATACATGTTAATCTGTATATACAGTTGGAACCTAAAAATAAGTTACAATCCACGAAACTGCCGTTTAACACACACACATATCGTACTCTGACATTTTATGATAAACTATACCCTAATAAAGAAACGTTCCGTAGACTCCGAGCGATGCTTACTTTTTTAATACTTACAACGAGATAAATTCACGATTTTACAGGAAATCTTTCTCTAGAAAATAAAATATCAAGAAAATTAACACTCTACTCAAGTCAATCGTTAACAAAACGTTTAAAATGCTCTGACACATTTCAGACAGACAATTTGTGTCTTCAGATATTTTGATGTCAGAACTGATTAAGAGAACTAACTGCTTTGTTTTTCCAGGATTCATGTACCGTTTAGACATCTCTGGTAGATTTCATGTGAAATTAATAATTAAATTTCCTATTTAGACAAAGCAATAAGAAGACTTAATTTGTCTGAATCGTGTGGTTTATGTATTTTTGGCAAACCTTACATATGCGGGAATTCACAATCCGATGGTTTTAATGAATCAGATTTATCTTTACTTATAGCATTTAGGCCATCAAGCTTCAGTAGATTAGCTGTCACTGTGCCCTGCAACAACTGAATATCTTCTGAGGAGAGATCACGGCTAAATTTGCTTTTATCATCAAGAACAGATATCATTTTAGATTTGTAGTCACTTTTATTCATAATGATGACTCCAGAACCTTTATCAGGTTTCATCATAATTACATTAAAATTTTCCCGTAGCTCTTTCAAGGTTTTGAAATGCTGGGAATTAAAAATACTTTTCTCCTTTGGGTTGTTGTTCAAAAACTGATGAGCTATATCCACCATCTTGGCCTTGAACCATCTGATGTTGCGGCAAGAGGTTTGAGTTGGTCATATAAGTTTTCAAACTCAGCATGTATGGCTAAATCCGTGATTTGCGTGCGAGGAACACAAAATTTGAGTCCAAGGGATAAAGCTTCTTTCTGATGAGTAGATAGAGTAATATCAGAAAGATTTGTAACATACTTATCAGGATTCACCGGAAAAACATCTACGCGGTTTCGATCATCAATTGAACTCTTTAACTTATTTTGTATATTCGTCTTTATTTTCTGAGTAACGTCTTTACAAAACTGAAGAAATTTTATGTGGCATATTATTGATAATTCAGATAAAACAAGTGACGCATCGATATGAGGAACAAGTAATCCTTGTAACGTTTGTTTAACATTTTCGATATGTGACTTTGTACGACGAACAAGATTAGAGATATTTGGTTGTAATTTACTGAATTGCAAAGAATTTATAAAATTGCCTCAAGAAGGAATGATTTTCAATACATAATTCATAAAATTCCAACGTGTTACGTTCGATGATAATTTTACACCTAAGGTTAACAAGTTCATTTAACCTTTTGATAGTGTGTGGAGGGAGTCTTCTCTTTAAAAACTTAAAACAGTTAGTTTCCTTTATGAATTTAAATAAAGCAATAAGAAGATATAATTTGTCTGAATCGTTTCCCATTTTCCTGATATTTCTATGACTGAAAAAACCATGAAATTCTTTGTTTGACTACGGCCAGGATGTCTAACGCAAAAGTAGATAGGCTGAGCATAATCCATGAAATAAAGTTCATCACTGATAAGAAAATCAACTTAAACCAGATAGTCACTTTCTCGAATGATCCTGAGAGAGAAAACAATACATAAATTGTCAGGTAGTGGTACCAATTTGTATCTCATGATGACAATGAAGTTATTTTTTGTTTTGATACCCCTGATATTTAGTAGCATTAATTTGTTCATTAGATAAGATAACTTTATCAGGATTCAATCCATGAAGAAATTATTGTCTTCAAACACCTTGAACAAAATCTGAGTATTTCTCTGTGGTGAATAGTTTGATCATGACGCCTTCAGTGCTGTTTTAGGTGACGCTGGCTCCATAGGTACTCTAGTAACTACTCCTATTCAAATTCCCCAGCAACTAGTTGTTTCAAGTTCTAAGTATGCAATAAAACTGAAGTCTTTCTATTGAGTTAGGCATATTTCCCAACATTTGAAAGAATTAGCATGTTCAAAATATGACTTTCTGCTGTCAGATTTAAGAATTCATTGTAGGACTGACCTGCAACAAGTTTTATTTTAAAGACAGACATAATTAGTCGCGCATGTTCACCAGTTCAATTATTCATTACTACTTATTGAACCTGTTGGCCGGATTTCGTCATAGATATAGCAACTAATTAGTTGACTGGCTTTCATTCTCTTCAAGACGTGTGTGAGCTGCTTCTCAGTCAGTTTCGTTTTGTTTCCTTCATTAGAAAGATGGAAAATTTATCTTCACTTGAGAGCATATTGTTCATTTTCTCTATGTAGTCTTTTCGATCCAGAAGCACTGCAACAGCACCCTTGTCTGAGCGAGTTATTAGCAGATCTTTGTTATCTCTTAACTGTTTTAATCCTTCTCAGTGCCACTTTGTTAGGTGGTTTCGGAATTTTACTTTTGTATTCAGGTATTGGTGGCAGCATAGGATGAAAATTGAGTAAATCTTTACCGTGTCTCATCATCACCATCATCAGCAGCAGCATATGAACACTCAATAACCAACAATGTAAGTATAAAATAATCTGATCGTCTCAACTTTTCTGTTAGAAAAGATACTTACTATCACGTATCGTTTTCAAATAGAAAAGCATACTACTGAATACCTATTCCATAATCAGCTGTAAAGAAGATGAAGAAATTTAATTTTCAAGTATTGGTTTTCTAGGGATTTTGTTTGATTGGTTGAAACATTTCATCATGAGCTGACATCAGTTACAGAACCACTGAAAAACCTGCAGGGAGTACTGGACAGCCAACTCTCTCGTCATCCTATTTCGGGACTCTTCAGAAGTACGCACCCACCAGGCGAGGCGAGCTAGCGTTAATCATTAAGCCACTGGGATCAGATCCAATGGCCAGTTCCCGGTAGGTGTGTAGTGATGAAGAGTTCCCAACTAGGCTGACGAAACAGCTAGCTGTCCATTACTCCCTGCAGGTTTTCCAATGATTCTCTAATTAATGTCAGCTCATGATGAGATCCTCCAACCAGTCGAAGAAATTTAAGAGCAAAACATTCCGCCTTTTTTTGAAAATGCTTGCATAGTACTAATTTCAGTAACTGTCTTTATTTAAATGAATACCATATTTGTTGACATGTAATATATTCTGTTTTGTATTTCAGATTCCATATGACACTTATAGAACATTTACAGTAACAGATGACAGAATCGCTTTACCATATCCTGAGATTGAAGATGGACCAGAGGTGTAAGCTGAAAAAGAAATTTTTTCTCTATATAAAATTAAAACAAATATCGGACGTTAATAACACAAAATTTAATAAATTTAATAAAAAAGTGTGGCGTTTAAGCTGAAAGTGTAACTAATCTTGAACTATATTTACTGCTTTATAAATCTATTAATTTACTGACTTGGGCTTATCATTCTGATATTGTAAGCTGATTCACTGTGGATGCATGCGCTGTCGTGTTGGCATCAAATTAATTATCGCGTTACACTGTATCTAGACACGTGATAGCTTACAAAACTTGATTTTCATTCTGAGTGTTATACAACCACCTAAATATATCAGCAACATCCTTTTTATTACTAATGCTTGTTATTCTTATGTTTTAGGTCTCCACAGTCACTACCCTACAATGCATATGATACTGTCAAGGGCGTAAGTAGAATGTCACTGCGTGGTCGAGTGCGTGTTGTTCGCCAAACAGATCATATCACTGACCCAAGAACAACTAATATCGTCTCTACAACAGCAAAAAGCAAAGCATCAGCTAAATTATCCGAATATATTCCAGTGGGTTATCCTCTGAATCCATGTGGACGCACAGGTCTAAGTGGTAAAGGCCTATTACCACACTGGGGACCAAATCATGTTATTGTAGTTGCAATTACACGACTGGATCCTTCCCGTGCAATGTATGAAGATTTACCAATTATGCAAGTTGGTTTACTACATAATAATCAACAGCTGTGTCTACCATGGGTGAGTATCAAATGGTTTTCAGGCCTAATTATTTTTTAATCAATTCCATAAAGCTTAAATATTGCATTAAAAAGCTCTATAAGTACACGGTTTTCCTACTTTCTGACCCTTGCCACGTTGAGATGTCTTTGCTTTTAACAAAACGAGTGGTCCCTTAAGATTTAAGTTGATTAATGTACTCAGTTTATTCTGACAGTAGGTGAAATACTGCTCATTCACTCCGGCAGTAATGCTTTTAAAGTGGCTTCGAACTTAAGATATTGAGGTTGCAAGCAGAAGACGTGTTTTCCAGACCTAAAAGGGCTTTGCAATCAGAAGCTATCACGGCCCATTATAAAATGGTGGCTAAAGACAATCGGAAATCCCAGTTAGCACAAAATTTAGGTTCGAAATTCCCTTCCTTCTGCCGAGCTGGTGATAGATACATTGATCACGACTGTCTCTTGTCCACTCCAGCAACGTATATAACAGCTACCTGACTTCCCAAGCCCTCTGGTTGAACGAGAAAAAACAAAGAAGTGAGCCGGAAAAGTATATCTGCCGAAAGGAAACATTAATATACTTTGGAAACAAAGAATGTATACATGGATCCATTTGAGGCAGTTGCGAGAAAAGATAATCCATTGTTTAAGCATCTACCCATTCGTAAGACGACTGATAGTTTTATTCCCAGACTGGACATTGATCACCTGATCACACATTATAAGTAGAGAAATAATCAAGGATTCCTGTTTAGGAGCACTTATGCCAGGAAAAACTGGTCGTTTCATCCCGGTAAAACAACAACAGTAAAGCTCATTTTCACCAAACAACTTATTTTGAAGTAACATTAGTCAAAGAAACGTTGGTAATTGTGGAACACTTCTAAATAGTCCTGAACTGCCCAGTGCTTCATGTTTTCCAATAATTCTCTAACTGATCTGGGCTTAATAACATCATCTACAGTGAGATTAATCAAAACCTCTAAGTTACAGGAAGTTACAAGTGACACTGACTAACAAAATAGGGGCTCTCATGACTCACCAGTGTGATCGATAACACTTCGACATTTAAAACTGAATTTGAGTCACAGTATGAGCTCCACCACTCACTGAGATGTAGGTTTGTCTTGCCGGTAAGTCTCGACTAGCATGAAACCGGAGTCTTGAATTTCTCTATCATTTACAAACTGTCAAATACTTTCAAATTTCTTCTTCAATTTCACTGATTATAGCTAAAATTGACCTGATCAAACTTTCTTTCACTTGTAGTATTTAACTGACCATCGACAAGATTGTGATTTTCATGACTGTAGTGCAAATGTGATTCGGGCCTTTATTCAGCGTCGTTTAACAAATCTGTTTGAAGATAAACAGCAGGTTCAATCGATGCTTTTAAGTTTGAAGACTGCAAGTGTTTCCATTGTAAGTGTAATATATTTTTATAGCTTCTGCATAATAATAATTTTAATTACAATCTAATGTAAGATGAACATTCATTGAGAAAACAGAGTAACTCATTGGTAATAATATGAATAGTTTGATGATTGAGTTGTACTCAGGATACACACAGAAACAAAGTGGAGAATATGAAATTACGTAAGAGTTCTAAATGAATACAAGAATTATAAGCAATTAGAGAAACAAGCAAACAAACAAGTCATCAAAAATCAAAAAGGTTGTTACCATGATAGTAAAAGTGGTTGAGTAATTCTCCTTTCCACGCACAGCTCCGGTTTTTCTATGTGAATCGCCAGAGCTTCAGCAATACAAATGAGACGAAACCGTATTGCATTTGGTAGGTCATTCTTGAATCTGTAGATTACTTTGAAGCAGAAGGCGTTTGAAGAGATGGAATGATCAGTGTTGAACAGGTGTTCAATTATCGCACTACTGCATTTTCGCAACCATGCTGGATAGTGTTCTTGAATCCTCTTCGGCAGGATGCGTGTCGAACGACCGATGTACCTGGCTCCGCAGCAGCAGATGAACTGATATATGCACATAGAAGTGGCTAGATGAAAGATCTTGTCCCTAAGGCTTCTGTAGATAGGCAGGAGACCGGACAACACAATTCTTAGCGCAACTGTAGAAAAATGTTCTGCTCAAAGATGATGTGATCCTTCACTTGAGAATATCGCTTATTACATCTCCCTTGAAATCCAAGTTCATACAGAGTTTCTTTTTCGGCGCAAGTGAAGTTTCATTCCTCCAAATTCTCGGTTTTATATTTTTATCAATAAATCTTGGTGGGTATCCATTTCGGATGAAGATTTCCATCAAAATATATAATTCTGTTTCTAGAACATCGGGACTAATAATGCGTCAGATGTGGGTGGCAAGGGATTTAATTAAATTCCACTTTTTTTGAATGGGTACCCAGCTATAGAAGCTTGTTAATTGATCATTCCAAGTAGCTTTTCTATGGATCGATCTTCTTAGGGTTCCATCAGTTCTTCTTGTTAGTTCCACATCAAGAAAGGGAATTTTTGATTCGTTTTCTATTTCAAAAGTGAATTTTATTGCTGGATTTCAAGCCAACAAACAATTAATAATAGAATTTCTTTTGGAAGTTGACTAGCGTAGTTAAGACGTACACTAGGGTTGAGACCAGATTTGAACATGTGACCTACAGCTGCTCTATTGACTAACTCAGTCATTTTGACCTTATTCACAAAACCTGTGCTCAGCTGTCACTGTGAATAAATAACTTGTCTCACTCTGTCTGTCCCAACGTTACTTGTAGGGGACTTTCTAGCGAGCTCAGTAACAGAATAAGTATTTGAATAAAACTCCAAGTTAATGAGATGATAGTGTTACCGTAAATTATAAAAAATACGGTAATGATTTATATAAACTGATCGGTTACTTGGTTATACAGTTAAAGTCCACGGCTACAAATTATTAATATAATCCACAAATAGGGTTCACTGCTGGAGTCGTGTCTACTGGTGGAAGCTGTGCACCGGTTGTAGAATAGTCTTCGGGTGAGGATAAGAGGTTCCTGTAATAAATCCAAAGTATAAAACACGGTTATGAGTGAAGCAAGTAGACAGGAAACGGCCAGCAGTACACTGCATTTCAGCTTGTGCTCGGAAGTTATCTATATTCCAACATGAATTGTTTTAAACAAAAGTCATGTACAATGTAAATGTCTCTAATTTCAACATCTAACAAAAAAGGTGTACAATCATATTGTTACGTACTCCACATACTGTCCTAACTAACCCATTATATATCAACTTATGCAACACCAAATGATTAGAAAAAAAGATACGACAGTAAGCAAAAATGAGGTAAAGAAAATGAAAATTTTGTTACAATCCTAATTTTGTTTGTAAATTCAATTTTTTCTCTCATTCAAAATATGTCTTTCTAACTATGTAAAAGTATTCTTGTGATTGTAACGTAAATTAAGTTACAAGGATATTTCTTTAATTTATCTATTGATTGTTACGATTATGCATTATTTGTAAATAGTTTGTATCAGGTATAAGCATCGTCTGAAATTGATAAATCTCTCAATATGCTGTACACATGATTATTTCATGTACTTCACAAATTATCACTTAAAAGACGTAAGATACATTCCTTCCTATTGACTCACGTGAACCATTACGGGCATCGATTCGAATGGGACAGTGTGAACGTCTAAGGCTTAGAGAACACCAAAAATGATAATAGATCTGACCCTCAGATCACCTTGCAGTTATTAAACTTTTTTATAAGTGCGTCGGTGGCATAGCGGTTAGGACGCTCGCCGACCATGCACATGGTCCGGGGTTCGATCCCCTGCCGACGCACTCGCTTACCTCGCTAAGCAATTAATAATTCTGGTGAAGAGGAAAGGTTGGGCATGAAGCTAGCAACCCCATCCTGTAAAAATAAACACCACTGCTACAGAAACTTCAAGCCACTAGCTTGAAGCCCTATGTTCCACTGGGGAACGTGAAGGAAAAAAATAAGTCACTAAAAAACAAGATCAAATATCCAGCTAACGAAATGATCACTACCGACAAAGATGAATACAAAGATAAGACGACCATCAAAGACAACCAGTGTCATTCAAAGTCGTCAAGAAAGTTGGTTATTTCATTAGCGGAGAATTCAGAAACCTTAAATCACTTTGAAGATCGCTGTGGTGATGCTGTTTTAAAAGACACTGACAGCTTCTCGGTTAGACCACAGAGCCTGGAAAACGCAAAAACTCTAAAACTATTCATCTGACCTATAAATCTCAGTAATACTTCATGTTTCTTTCTTGAATTGAACCTAGTATCATGAGTAAGGAAACCGCTAAGTAGTAATAGAATCTTTCACAAATCCCCGAAAATTCATTTTCATAGTTACTTCCATTATCAGTGTTTCAGAGTGCTCCAGCATATGCCGAAATCCTTAATTTCCAAGTCAAACACTAGTAGTTCTTTATTTGACTACTTACCAATACAAGTTTTGTATCCCCTCCTAGGAATGAAAATCAATTTTGGAAATATTTTTCGCTAGTTATGATTAAGAAGCAAGGGGATTGCTATTTTATTCACACTTTCTAGGGACCCTCTAAAAGATTTTTTATTATTTTTCCTGCTTTGGATTTCAAGTGTAAAATAAGGCTTCAGTGTCAAATTTCCAATGTATATCCGTCATTTTTCAGCTGGCTCATTTCTTCTCCATATCACCCAGTAACCAACGCTTAACTCATCGCCTCCCATAATGCATTCCATTCGAGAGTCAGGAATGTGATATCACTTGGTAATCAAATAAATCAGAAACAATCATTCGATGGCTTGCATAATAAATTTAGCCTTTGATAATAGTGAATCCGTCTATGCTTATGTTAAAGACCTAATATTTGAACAAAAAGCTGTGATGCTCCATGTGAATTATAAATCTACGATTTTTGTAAATTATCATACAAGGAAAATCTAAGACAGGAAGTGTTACACATAAAATAAGCCTTGAAACTTAATAATTACCCGGATAAATTAGTCAAGAAATATGTAAAGAAATGTAAAAATAAAATAAATAATGATAGTAGTGATAATGATAATAATAATAATATTAATGACGACACCAACAATAAGGATTCTAAATCATCAATGGTAATTCCATACGAGGAAGGAACCTCGGAAACCTTACGCAGAATTCTTAACAAGGCAGGAATAAAAGTGGCTGGCACTCAAACCCACAAACTCAATTAGAAACAAGCTTTGTCGGTTAAAGCATCCTGTGGAGCCTTTAAAACAAAACAATTTGGTTTATCTCATACCCTACCTGCAATGATTATCAGGTCAAATACATAGGTCAAACTAGTAGAACAGGGGCAGTCAGACTAGCCGAACATAAAAACCTAGCAAAATCTAGATTAGTTGACCTGAATAACATAAAAAATCTAGAGAATAGTTCAGCTACAGCACTACATGCAGTTACACACAACCATACAATAGGAAGGGATAGGGTGACAGTTTTCAAATCTAATGTAACAGTAGGGTAGAGGGACGGATTGATAACAGAAGCTTTGTTTATCGAATCAACTACAAATGCATGTAATAGGAATGATTCAACACCTGTCCCAGATATCTGGAAAATTCTACTACTCAAACGACAAATAGGAGAGAACAAAGAAAACTATAAAACTCAAGTTTCGAAGTCGTGTGATTATAATTGACGAAATGATTTTGAACAATAAATTTTGTTCAAAACGTCATCCAGTAAATAATACTGTTTCACTGTGTGATACATCTAATAAACAAACTGATATGGAATCATACATGGTTACCTGAGTAAATTACTGGGGTAGCTAGATTTTCTATCCACCCAGATTCATCGTGTTTACTTCATCTCATAATTATGTTTAAGAACGTCACTATATGCTTATGCACATTTTCAAATGGGCTTCAGCCTATTGTTGGGAATTTTCTGGCAGAAATGGAGAAGAAACTTTGTAGATGATTGTAGCATGCCTGGGATAAAAAATTATTGTTACCTAATTTATTAGTCACTCATCATCTTACACATCTCTCGTCTTTATTGCGTAACTCCTTTACCATTGTGTGCATATATTTACTTTGATTAAACTTGAAATACCTGTGTAAAAACTATGTAAGCGCAATTTTCTGAGCACTGTTCACCAACTCCGGAACCCCCTGTCAACTAACATCATGTAAAATTAGCAAGTATATTGAAACTTTTCTGTACATAAACTTAATAATTTATTTAAGCTGTAAGCAGATGATGAGAAGCCAACGAAATAAATGATGGTACCATATTATTCTGCACAAACCGCTATTTTTCTTGCTTTATTCAAATTTATCAAGGGGAATAAATGTATGAAGCTTCGGTTACTATATTATCGCTTATTTTATGAATGGAGATTTTGTACAAAGAGTAAATACCTTGCAATAAGAAACTAGCCATAAATTCTGTATAGTTTAAAAACTCATTTTTTCAGAATAAAGCTATCATTATTATTAATAGAGTGACTAGTGATAAGGTTTTATCGACCAGTCTTAGTAATAACCCAAGATAAACATTATTGATTCAATAATAAAAAGGAAAACCAGAGAGATATTTAAGTAACATTCAGTTACAATGTTTCATCATGAGCTGACATCAGTTAGAGAACCATTGCAAAAACACAGGGAAAATTGGACATCTAGCTCTTTCGTCAGCTTAGTTTGGGACTCTTCAGAAGTACGCACTCACCCTCAGTGTTCGAGCTCAGGACCTTACAGTTACAAGGCTAGCGAGCTAGCTCGTAAACCATTAAGCTACTGGGATCAGATCCAGTGTCCAGTCCCCTGTGGGTGCCTACTGAAGAAGAGCTCCAAACTAGGCTGACGAAACAGCTAGCTATCCAGTACTTCCTGTAGGTTTTCCAATGGTTCTCTAGCTGATGTCAGCTCACGATAAGATCCTGTAACCAATCAATAAAATTCCTACAAATCAATACTTGAATAATTTGCATTTAGTTGAACATAGGAATCGAAGTAAGTTAACTAAGGCTCCCTTTATTATTTTATCATCACTCAAATGATCTATTGGGCATGACTGTGGAAGGTACAAAACTGAAGTACACGGCTGGAGTATGCGAAATCGGGAGACAAGGTATCATTTACTTGTTTCATTTGAATTTCACCACGTCTTCTGTTTTGGAAATGATTAAGGAATGCTAAAGTAGAAATGTACAATTTATCAGAGGATCATTTTAAACATTATAGCTTTGTGTAACTTGGGTTAAGTAACAATTAGCGTTATTACAATCAAAGTTCATGTATATGTCTTATTTTGCATTAGATTCATTTTACTACACTTAAATACGCGCTGGAAACGACATAATTCTGTATAACTTAAAAGTCTCAACCAAGATGCATACTGAGTCATAAGAAAAAGACGTAAACAGAAAAGAAAATTTTCACATCGACGATTCATTTTCATAAGCTACTGTACAGTCGTAATTATATTCTCTCTTGGTATAAGTATAAAACTTTGGCACTGTGGTAGAGTGTAACTCCATTATGGATAAGATTTTATTTGATAAATCACACAGTGTTACACAGTAATATTAACTGATGAAGTTTCGAGCACAAATTATTGCTCATAATCATAATGATTATGAAACTAGTAATGATAAAATAAATAAGAGAGAATATAAGTCATCTACTGTTATACCATATAAGGATGGGACATCTGAGACCCTACGTAGGATTCTCACTAAAGCAGGAATTAGGGTGGCATTCAAACCTACAAACTCACTCAGAGACAAGCTCTATAGGTTAAAAGACCCGATGGACCCAATTAAACAAAATAATATAATTTACAAAATACCTTGTAATGATTGTGAGGTCAACTATATAGGTCAAATTAGTAGATCAGGGGTAATCAGATTGTCAGAACATAAGAATTTAGCCAAGGTAAGAATGGTTGACCCCGAGAAGATAAATAATTTAGAAAAAAGCTCAGCAACAGCACTACATACAATAACACACAACCACACAATGGGGTGGGAGAGGGTTAAGATTCTAAGAAGTAATCTATGTAGGTGGAGAGAGAGAGATTGATTACTGAATCCTGGTTCATTGAATCTACACCCAAAACGTGCAACAGAAATGACTCAATGGAAATACCAGAAATATGGAAGATATTATTACCACCAGTCAAACCAGAAGAGGATGATAAATAATCTCAAAATTCTATTTCAATTAAGCACATCACAACATTCTAACAAATTACTTATTATAACTATAAGAACATTCGTCTTATTTCCCATCTAATTGTATTTCATCAGTAACGCTCATATTATTATCTCTGAATGTACATTATCTCATATTGATTTTATTCAAATATCTAGTCAATTCCATACATATATATAAATGAAGGAAAAAGTTGTGTGAATAACTTGATATGATAATGAGCAATAATTTGTGCTCAAAACGTCATCAGTTAATATTACTGTGTAACACTGTTTGATTTATCAAAATAAAATCGTATCCATAATGGAGTTATATTCTCTCTTGACAAACGTAACGTAAGGTGTAACCTAGAAGAGGTTAACAATTGGAAGTTAGAAAAGAGGCAGAAGTTGGCATGACGTAATAAGTGTGAGATAATGAATAATCAATATGATTGTGTAGAATGAACGAGAACTAGTGGAAAGATGACAAAGTGTATCTCCTCAAAACCTTCAACGCAGCATACCCAGCAATAAAATTCACCTTAGAACTTGAATCGAACATGGCATTTCCTTTCCTCGATGTACTACTTACCAGAAGACAAGACTGGACGATCCAAATATCAATATATCTCAAGCCAACATGGACAGGACAGTTTATCAACTTCCAGAGCTTCGTCCCACTGATCAGAAAGCAAAACCTGGTACGTACATTAAGTTCAAGGATGAGAAAAATCTGTTCGGAAGACATGATAGAGAAAGAATTAAATTTATTACATGAAACCCTACTAGAGAACGAGTATCCACCAAGATTCATAGACAAAAACATGAAAGAGAAACCTCCGTTGCCAAAAATCACAACTGTTCCCAAGAAAACTCTCTTCATGAACCTGGAATTCAGAGGTGACGTCGAAGCAGAAATTCTTAGAAACCGCCTTTCTAAATGTCAGAAGAAGATATTTCGAGTAGTCACCTTACGTATCACATTTTCCGGCAGACAGTTAATCCAGTCTAACACCAAGGATAAGATGCGCTTTTGGCCGCCTCAGTGTGTATTTATCAATTTACTTGTTCGTGTGGAGCAAAGTATATCGGCCGTACGCAACGTCAAGTCCATAAACGAATTCTGGAACATTGTACAGCTTGTTTAGCCAGGGGAGAAAAGAAGAATAATCGCAGCTCCATCCTGGAACACGTTGTCAACTCTGGACATCGAGCACCCCCCTCCCTGAATGCTTCACATTGCTACACAGAGTCCCTCAGTATCGTGCGAAAGGACTTCGAATACGCCATCTGTACATAGCTGAAGCATTAGCTATTCGGGATCTGAAACCGGACCTCTGCATTCAGAAGCACTACATACATTCACTCGCCCTACCGTGACCAGATTAACGTCCTTACTATTATTTTGCTTCTCTTTTATTATGTAAGTTTATTATTATTTCATTATCATTATTATTCCCATCATCCATATTTTATTATTATAAGTAACACTGCTTTTTCATACAGATTTTATATAAAAACACTTTATCGTCCTTCCACTAGTTCCCATCCATTCTACACAGTCATATTGATTATTCATTATCTCACACTTATTACGTCATGCCAACTTCTGCCTCTTTTCTAACTTCCAATTGTTAACCTCTTCTAGGTTACACCTTACATTACTTTTCTCGAGGGAGAATACAATTACGATTGTACAGTAGCTTATGAAAATGAATCGTCGATGAGAAAATTTTCTTCGCTGTTTACGTCTTTTTCTTATGACTCAATATGGTAATTTTGCGTTCATCAAAGAAAAATGCATATTGTTTGAATAATGCGGGTCATTAATATATTGATTGTTGATTCACTTTCTTAATGATTTCATAACTATTCTTGGTCTCTTATCAATAAAATGTGTAATAATTGCTGATAGCGTGAGTTATACTCACAAAAGTATCATCAAAACCTAGCTTAATCTTAGCTGTATGTATCTCTGAGACAATAATGTACTCTTCATAAAGACTTTGGTGTGTATCGTATCTTTACTCTTTTTTATTCAGTTGCTTAATTCTGCGTTCTTCAGTGTAATATAAGTTTATTTATATTGGTCTTTCTTCCTCATTTCTTGAGTTTCAAGAGCTTCAAACTTTAACGTTTCATAAACGGTGGTGGTGTTCTTAAGAGGTGAGTCTGCTAGACTCATACCTAACTCTAACTGCTTTCTGGGCTTACTATCAGCCAGTAAAATAGGTGAAGTCTTCAGGACTGTGTAGGCCTGCAGTCTAGCCTGGACCTCCTGTGTAATTGGTAATATTTAGCCACAGTGGTAGCATAATGGTCTTTTACACACCATTTATCATCAAATGTAAGTAACTACTACAGGTACATTCATGATATCTTGAACCAATTTGAACAGTTTATACAGACCATTTGTTTAAACTATTTTTGTGTCACTTAGCATTAGCGAAATGCCAGCTGGAACATTTTTGTCAGTGTGACTGCGTAATACTTTGTAGTTTTTGCTGCCATTTTATTATAAAAAGTATAGTCCATAGTTTCCATATGACTTTTCAAACATTTAATGATTAATAAACTTTATAAACACCTAACCACAGCCGGCATTTGAACCGGTGACTTCTGCATCACTTTATTACAAAGATCACCCTTCGGCTTTTATCATCATGCTCGTTAATTAATACGAGATTTTCGATAAAATTATTTCTAATATTATTCAATTAGTTGTCATTTCACCTTTTGATTTTAGGCTTATACAGGTTATATCACTGATCATTTGAATGCCGATCATGCATGGATTGAAGGAGTCTTACTCAATATACACGAAAATGAAGAGCATGCATTTCAGGAAGAAATTTTACAAGTATGTTTAACTGATTGTTTTTATTTACTGCATTTATCCAGCACTTTTATTTATCACAATACGACAGCAATACTTTGGAAAGTCCTGTTACATAAATGTATCTCATATAACACACAAAAAAACTGACAGCTTCTCGAGCACAGTTTATTGCTGCTCATAAGCATATCAGTGTAATGACACGACTGGGTAACTTGAACTATCTGGCCTTCCATGTATCTGGGATAGGAGTTGCGTCATTCTGATTGCATCTATCCGGTACTGACTTGAGGAGAACAAAGGTTTAACGATCAACTTGTCTCTCTGCCTAAATATAATACTTTTGATTACTTATACCCTATCCCAACCTGTTGTTGTGTAATTACATGAGACTGAATACATTACAACGGTAGAGCATTCTCCCAGATTACTTGATTTATCATGGCCAATCTTTCTAGCGTTAGCTAAAATAATATGGAGTTATATTCTGCCACAATGACCGAATCCTGCTCTTACATTAACTTAGAAACTTATTTTCTCCATATTTACTTACAATATGAGTGACAGGGATACCGATGACACTGACAAATAGAGGATTCAATTCACCGGGCTTTTTCAGTTTCCTGCATCGTTTGTTTGATTATTCCCCAAGGTAATCAGCTGCAGGTGAAAGAGTTGGGAATGTTTTTTGTCAGCCTTATATTGATGCAAACACAATTTTATTGTGTGAGTGTTTTGTTCTGATTAGATATACTCCCAATACCTTCACTGATAAATTTTGACCAGCCACAAATACATTCTGCTGATGAATCCTGAGAAGTACGAAAACCATTCTAAGTGATAATACTTAAAACCAAACAAGTTTTGAAGTCTGTGACTAGTGGACAACGAATAACTACACTATGCTTGATATTCGAACCTCGCTGGGTGCGTACTACTGAAGAGTCCCAAACTAGGCTGACGAAACAGCTGGTTGTCCAGTACTCCAGTGTTGATTTTCCAATGGCTCTCTAACCGATGTCAGCTCATGATGAAATCCTGTAACCGATCTTCATTCCGTTGACTACATTCTTTGAATCAATAAACTCAAAAGTCTACTGTGTGTTATGTGAATGAAACAGATTTTAAAAGAAATTATTTTGAACATGACTTAAATACGTTACAATGGGTAGCTGACCTTGATACCCCGGTTTGACAAGTCAAACTGAAAAGATATGAAGGAAAGACTTCACATTTTCTCTTCATTATATCCACTGCTTAAATGATTCCTTCTGTAGAACTATTTTTGTTTACAGAAATTAGCATGCATATTTTGAGAGTTGAGTTAACTTTTTTGTGATACAATCAATGAGATAGTCATTGTTCTATGACAGTTACTCATAGATTCGTAGTATTTTAAAATGTGTACCACCATTTGGTTAAACTCAATGCGATCAATATCTTGTCAAAAGAAGAACAAGAAAATGCAAACTATCTAACAAAATATAAATTAAATGACCTTATGGTGTCTGAAAATGAATAAACTAAAAATTTAACGTTTACAAAAACTATGCGTTAATTTTTATTCAGATTGCTAAGACTACTTTGTTTAAGGTTATATTAGATTAAAGCCTTTTGTTCAAACTATTCACAGTAACCTTAGTACTTGCATTATTGCGCAAGTAACTAACTGTGAAGTAATAAAATTACTTAACTTAGAAAATTTTAAAAATAACAGTTAGAACCAAGAAGTTCGAAGCGGCTCCATTCAAAAAGATTTGATAGGGGGACGAGTGTGGTATGTGTTGCTGATAGGATTTATCAGCAGTATATAAAGAGACGTTCATCAAAAAGCAGGGAGATACATTTGATGTCAGAGAAAGCAAATGATACAGCCTTGCGGAGATACATGGGAAATGTGAAAGGAACCCAAGGAAACACAGTATGAAGGTCAGAAGTGGCACGACACGGAAGATCTGTGCAAATTGTGCGTTGAAGATATTATTATATTATTGTTTCCTTTAATTCCTAGAGGAACATAGGGCTTCAGCCACACGTCTCCATTGCGTTCGGTTCTCTGCTAGAGTCTTCACCTGGCTCCAAGTCTGCCCACACGTTTTCATCTCCTCTTCACATGACCTCCTCCAAGTCACCCTTACACTGACGACCAACTCGCCGCTTCCCTTTCGGGTTCCACTCGAGCAATGGCTTGTCTAGTGATGTCACTCACTTGATGGTTTCCTCAGAGTATGACCAGCCAATCCATCTCCATTTCTTCCTGCCTATTTGTTTCACAATCGGTTCCTGCTGTGTTGGTTCGCTCATTGCCAGAGATCTCTGTTGCTGATCTTTTCTGGCCGGCCATCTGATCTTGAGTATTGAGCGAAGACAACTGTTAATGAAGGTGTGTAGTTTGTTTGAGATGCTCTTTATGACGCGCAGTGCAAGTCTCTGATCCGCATAGTAGCACTGACTTCACATTGGAGTTGAAAATCCGGATCTTATTTTTCATGTTCACGCTGAGTGCTGTTGACCTCCACACAGACTTGAGAGTAGTGAAAGCTTGTCTTGCTTTTCCGATTCTTGCTTTGATATCCTCGTCAGTTCCGTTGGCCTGTAGTTGAAACGATGCTTCCCAGGTAGGTAGGTAGATAAAGGAGGTTGTTTCTTTCAGGTTCCTCCCATTTATGCTGATCGTTGTCTGTTGTTGTTCTTGTCCAGGAATCTTCATCACCTCTGTTTTCTCTATGTTCACCTGAAGTCCTATCTTCTCTGGATGCTTGTTCTGCCAACTTGTTGCTTTTCACTTGCATATCTTCCAGTTTGTGGGAAATCAGACATATATCATCGGCAAAGTCCAGATCCTCCAAGTTTTTTGTGTGAGTCCATTTTATCCCTGTTTCCTGATTGCCCGCTGTTTGTCGCATTATCCAATCTACTGCAATCAGGAAAATCATTGGAGATAGTAGGCAGCCAGCTTGTCTTACTCCTGTCCTCACTTCGAAGGATTCTGTGAGTTTCCCATTGTGGATTACTTGGCATGCATCATTGTCGTACAACTGTTGGATCAAATGTATAATTGTCGGTTACACCCCGTTGTAGCGAAGTAGTTTCCAAATCACCTCTCGATTGACGCTGTCTACTGAAGGCCTTTTCAAAGTCGATGAAGTTGAGATAGAGAGGTGACTGCCATTCCAAGCTTTGTTCGATGATGATCCGTAATGTGGCGATCTGATCAATGCATGACTTGTTTCTCCTGAATCCAGCCTGTTTCGGTCGAAGTTTTTCCTCCAGGGCATGTTTGATTCTCTCCAGGATGCGTTGAAGATAAGGTGCACATAATTCCACTATATAGAAATACCTAATTACCAATAAACATTCCTTAACCAAGTCTATCGTCTTCTACCGTCACAATAACAACACCGAAATATTATCTATACGAGAGAAAGATCCCTGTGTGCGCGTGTGTACGAGGCTATAATTTTCAAAAATAAGGGAACTGTCTTTTGTTGTATGAATGATATTCTTTCAACCTCAAAACAGGAAACTGTCAAAATATAAACAAACAAAAGCTTTCCTTATATACATGATATCAAAGATTCGTAATAAAGTCATTCAAATACCAAACTCATTTTTATTTTTCATCTGATAAAAGAAAATGAAAATGACATAGGAAATAGCAAAAAAAAGGATTACAACATTTCTAAATCTAGTTTTTCTTAACCCTCCTCTGGTCTTTTCTTTTTCCTTTTTAGATCTTGTATGTTGAGTATAGTATATTCCTGTTTCCTATCTATCTTCTCTGTTGTCCTCTACTTTTCTTTGAAAAACTAACTTATACTCTCCTTCCCCCTTTCAAATATAAGTTGTCTTTATGGTGTATAATTTATTCAAATTTACATCATGTATTTTGACTGTTATCTGATTACCATGGCATTTGTGAAACAATGCATTTCGATGGAGACAATATGGATTCTTGAATAAGTTTTGAAATGACTGCCAAATGATTGTTAATCCTAATAGAGAAATAGATTAGAATGGTACAGCTACCATAACCAATGAGAGTAAACAATTCTGAAAGTAAAACGTGCCTGAAATTTTCTGGTCGCATAAATAAATAGGCTTGAGTTGCGAAGAAAATCAAAGTTCTCAGAACAGCTGTACTTAAAAGGTGACAGTATAGCCCAGTTATTCTCTCTCGTATTATTCTTCGGTCAAAATCAATTAGCAAATTACCAAAATTCAAAAATCTATAAACAACTTTTAGATTAAATTGCTAGACTTTGTAGCATCGTAAGAGTAAATTTAGAACGCTACATAAAGCCAATATCAATTTTCAAGAGTCGGTTTGTAAGGATTAGATTTGTTTTTACGAGTTTGCCCAAAGTCGTGACCAGTGAAGTCCATCCAGTCAAGTGTGAGGATGGATGTCCCCACCGATGACATTGGTTGGTGGTCACGCTAAATCACGAATTGGTAGTAGTTAGAATTCATGGGCTGACCTTTGAATCGGGTCCCAGTGGTTGAATGGCATACAAGCCAGCTTGCCTTGTAACCGGAAGGTCCTGGGTTCAAACCCTGGAAGTGGGTGCGTACTGATGAAGAGTCTCAAACTAGGACGACGCAGCTGTCCAGTACTCACAGCTTGTTTTCCAATGGTTCTCTAACCAATATCAATCGTAGAACCATTAAAAAGCAAGGATCACCAGGCAACTGTTGTATCCTTTTCTTAGTATCAGGACTACGGAATTCAGTCCATACCAAGCCTCCTTGATATGTCTTTTCAAGACATTGATATTCAGCATATCTACTCCCTTCAGGTGGCCCGGGGTTCGATACCTGGCCGACGCATTTACTTACCTCACTAACCCAGTAATAAGAATGGTAAAGAGGGAAGGTTGGGCATGAGGCTAGCAACCTAATCCCGTAAAAATAAACACCACTGCTACAGAACCTTCAAGCCTCTATCTTGGAGCCCTATATTCCACTGGGAACGAAAAGGAATAAAAGAATCCACTCCTCGCCTGTATCATTTTCTGATAATT